CCTCAGGATGACACTAGCTTTGTCCACTAACTCTAACAAGCTTTGGCCTATTAACTCTTTCAGTGTTTAACTCAAAATTTTGTAATCAAAAATATCTACTGTATTTTCTGCCGTATTAGACAACTATATAACCCTGGAAAGTCTTATGAAAAGTTGGGGGTCGTCTAGTATGCTGGGTATAAAATTAAAATAATTAAAAGAAAAGAATGAAATCCAACTTCCTTAGTGGCATGGCCTGAGAAGGAGGGCATAGGGAGGAGGAGCGGCAGGCTGTAGGGCAACCACAGAGAAGGCCTACTCTCTCGTTCCCACCAACTGAGCTTGAGATGGTGGTGGGACCAAGAGAAGGGCCCCTCCTGAAGATCTCATGTTCCAGGTAGGGTTGTACAAGGAGATGTGGTCAGCCAAACAGCCTGTACACATTAAGTGCAGAAAGGGAAGAGACACTACAGGACATATTGCAAAGTTATGATGGATAACACTACGTAACAAAATTTGAAAATTTCACTGTTCCTGGTTTGAGAGTTTTATTTCTGTTTGTCTGTTTAATTGTTATATTTCTGTTTAATTACTTTTAAAACAGCTGTTATACACCAGAAACTTGCATTTTTGTAGCTGCCACAAACTATGTTAAATTGGTTAAGACTTTATGAGATATTCATTGAAAACCTATAGCAAAATGTGCTGTAGGATGTCCTGCAAAAACAATGTTTTTGGAGTTTAATAAACCTTTTCCATGTTTTTATGTTAGAACCAATTGGGATATGACATTTATATCCCAAGAACAAAAATCATGTTACATAGTGTAATGGAGCACACTACAGAATTTCAGAAGAGTAGCTACTAAATTGTGCTTTATAGATTAGCAAAGCTTTTGACTGTGTAGATCATGAAAAACTATGGACCATTGTAAAAATAAATAAATAGGTGTTCCACAACATCTGATTGTCCTGATATATAATCTGTGCTAAAAACAAGAGGCTGCTATAAAAGGACTAGACAAGTCCTCAAGTGTAAATTTTGTTTGTTAATAGCATCCATGCCATCATATTTCAGATATCTATGTATATTTGTGGAAGCTGAACAGTGAAGAAAGCTGATATTTGAAATATGATGCCGAAAGAAAGTATCACATCCAGGCAAAAGTTCTGTGGTTACCACACATTCTTTCTTGCCCAAGGGTGCTTATAGCAGGTGTCGGTAGTAGACCAATTACCGCTCTATAAATTGTATGGCTACAACTTCCATCAGTTCCAGCCAGTATGGTCAATGACAGGGATTTTGGGAGTTGAATCTCAAAGCATCCAGAGGGCACCAGGCTACCCACTCCTGGTGTACAGGATAGAATATGTTTATTTTGTTTAGCTCAAAACACATGCTGCCTCTACATCACCAGTGTCAAATAAAGGCAACACTCTACAAAAAAAAAAAAAAACCCAAATAGATAGGGTTCCTCTCTTACACTACCTTGGTCATTTTGTACAGATTATTTTTTTTTGCTGAAGCATATACAGTTGCTTTATTTTCACTGTTTTAAAAGACATTTTATATAAAAAGAAGTTATGATTCAGAACAGGCACACAACAAAATCCTTCTAGACTACACCACCAATCCTGTTTAAAATTTAAAGATGAAACAAAAGAAAGCTAAGATCAACTGATCACCAATGTCAATCAGAAAAAATGTACATCAGTTTAAGCTGGCACTACTGTATTCCATTAATAACATTCAGTTGAGATTTTTATGAGAATGGAGAAGGATGAATTCTTCAATCTTAGCAAAACAAATGACTTCTAGCATCTGAAGCCTAATAAAGTTATTATGGGATATATTTCCACACAACACAATATACTTCAGTGATACTCAAAGTAGTGGTCCGTTGTCCAGTTTCCAGGAAAGAAAGTGAATACAATAACAAGAAGCAAAGGAAATTTGTAGTATGAATGAAAGAAGTTGTATCATACATTTTCATTCTTCCAGAGCCATGTAACACAGAATATCAAGGCAGATAATCCACAACATCTGCTTTGAACTGGTTTATCTGAGTCCATACTGCCATATATTCCAGTTCAAAGCAGATAATGTGTGGAAGGGGACTGAGTCTATTTCCTTAAGTGCATAGTCTTTGAATTCTACAATAATAATAACATGGTTCCTGGCACACGGGAGAAAAAGCCTGCAGGTCAGTCAACATCAGATAGTTTCGAGAATCACTGGTCTCGTTCATAAGAGGCATCATAATCTGATCTGCATTTCTATACATACTGAAACAAGTGTGGCATGATTATTTAAGTGATGTATTTTCTACACCTACCATATCAAGATGAAGCAAAATGTGGCCCAAAAGTTTAAACACTAACAAATATGTTATGGCATAAAGTGCCACAAGAGTACAATCAGTTTAAAGTTTTCTTCAAGATCCTTGGTGGAAAGCCAAGAAGCACTGGTTAATACAGTTCAAAGAGCACTGTATTATAACCCAGCCATATAACCCAGAATATCAAGGCAGAAAATTCCACAATATCTGCTTTGAACTGGGTTATCGGAGTCCACACTGTCATATATTCCTGTTCAAAGCAGAAAATGTGGGATTTTATTCAGCTGTGTGGAAGGGGCCTCAATTAGGTCTTCTTTGCTCTGATCTTGCCTGAGATAAACTTGCCTGAATGAGCAGAAAGAGACAAACAACATCAGGAATAGGAAGTAATCTGGCAGCGGCACAATATTGTGCCAAGTTTAAAAACATACACACACACCACCTGCTTCATTTTACACATGAGCCAACGTAGACTTTGAACTAACAGCGTTTCCCGTAACGAGACTCCCGCGATGAGATCAGCTTCATCAAAGGAACTTCTGCATTTTGAGGAACTATAAACGCTGCAGCAGCATTTATAGAAGTACCAGGAACAAAGTGGAAAACCCACACCCACCCACTCTCTCTCCCCGTAAATAGCTTTTCCTAGGCACACCCTCAAGAGCGGCTCCTAACATCCCTTTCGCAACCATGGTTTCAGCTACAAGAGAACCAGCAAAAGGGGACAGCCCTCTTTTTCGAGTACAGCTGGCTCTCTCTATCCACAGGTCCCACCACCCTCGGTTTGGCAATATCTCTCTCGAGTTTGACATTTTATATAGGATGGGTCAAAAGCAGGGATGGGCAAACTTGGGCCCTCTAAGTGTTTTAGACTTCAACTCCCACCATTCGTAACAGCCTCATAGAATCATAGAGTTGGAAGAGATCTCATGGGCCATCCAGTCCAACCCCCTGCCAAGAAACCAGAATATTGCATTCAAAGCACCCCTGACAGATGGCCATCTAGCCTCTGTTTAAAAACCTCCAAAGGAGGAGCCTCCACCACACTCCGGGGCAGAGAGTTCCACTGCTGAACGGCTCTCACAGTCAGGAAGTTCAAATAGAATCTCCTTTCTTGTAGTTTGAAGCCATTGTTCCTGGAGACTAGGATGCGGACTAGCCTCAGGTCCTTTCCCCTTCCCCCTCAGTTGCTTGAGGAAGTAGACTTAGGGTGCATCAACACTGTAGAATTAATGCAGTTTGCCACCACTTCAGCTGTTGAGAGTTGCAGTTTGATGAGGCACCAGCACTTATTGCAGAAAAGACTAAAGATCTAGAAAAATCACAAGTCCATTCCGATACCATTGCGCCATGGCAATTAAAGTGGTGTCAAACCGCACTAATTCTACACTGCAGATGCACCCTTTGTCTACAGAAGCTGATGCTACCAACTTCTTTCCCCCAGTTACATTTCCCTTTACAAATGAACATACACTTATGCCTTACACTTCACATGATATCTAACATCCCTGAGACATTGTGGTTCCGGCCCAGCGTATCTGTCCGAACACATCTCCCTCTACCTCCCACCTCGGAGTTTAAGATCCTCTGGGGAGGCTCTGCTCTCGGCCCCGCCTCTATCACAAATGAGACTGGTGAGGACGAGGAGCAGGGCCTTCTCGGTGGTGGCCCTTCACCTATGGAATTCACCGGGGAAATTAGATCATCGCCATCCCTCCTTTCCTTTAGAAGGAAATTAAAAACATGGATTTGGGTCCAGGCGTTTGGGCAATCTGGCAGATAAATAAAGGACAACGGCCACTGATAGGAATGGAAAATGTGGAATGAGGTTATGGACTCTGAGTTGCGAATGTTGAGCATAAGATTGGTTTTTTATTGACTGTGATATATATTGATTGTTTTTAACTGTTAAAACTGTTTTAATTGCTGTCTATATTTTATCTGTATTACTGCGTAGGCATCGAATTGTGCCTTTTTGTAAGCCGCCCTGAGTCCCCCCTCGGGGGTTGAGAAGGGTGGGGTAGAAGTACACGAAATAAATAAAAATAAATAGATGCCTGTCCCAACAATTCTCCACACTTAGTCCATGATCTGAAGGTACAGCTACACTGCAGAATTAATGAAGTCTGACACCACATTAACTGACATGGACCATTGCTATGGACTCTTGGGAGATGTAGTTTGGCGAGGCACCAGAGAAGGCTCAAGATCTTGAAAAACAACTCCTCTGGTGATTTTGTATCTATATTCAAGTGGTGCCAAACTGCATTAACCCTACAGTGTTGAGGAGGTGTGGGCAAACTTGGGCCCTCCCTCCAGGTGTTTTGGACTTCAACTCCCACCATTCCTAACAGCCTCAGGCCCTTTCCTTTTCCCCCTCAGCCGCTTAAGCCGCTTTTCTGAGGGGGAAAAGGAAGGGGCCTGAGGCTGTTAGGAATGGTGGGAGTTGAAGTCCAAAACACCTGGAGGGAGGGCCCAAGTTTGCTCAGGCCTAGTCCACAGAGAGACCACGTCCCAAATTTATAGGCGGCGTGGGAGGGAGGAGAGAGACAAAGGAAGAGCCCTGGCTCCAAATCCACACGAGAAGGGAAAGGGGTCTGGAAGGGGAGAGGCCTCTGGCGTAGACTACCCCTAAGGGCCCGGCGCCTTTCCTCCCGCCCTCCGCGCTCCGGCCTAGGCTTACCTGGCCCCTCAGAGCCGGTCCCACCAGTTTGTTTCCCTTCCGACCCGAACTCAGCGCAACACCCCCCACCCTTCCCTTCCCTGCTCGGCGCTTCCGGCGCAGGCCCCGCCCACTCACGCCCTCCTTTCCCCAACGCTGGGGGCGGGGCGTGGCCGCGGCTGTCCATCAAGGGAACCCGGAGCCCCGCCCCTTCGCCGCGGTTCCAAACAACAGCTGTTACAAAGCCGGGAGGGAGGGAGGGGGAGTGGAGGAGACGCCGACGCGCAGGCGCAGTACGAAGGATGGGCAGGTTGCTCTGCTAGAATCAACCTCAGTGTTTCTAATAATGAGTAAATATAGGAGTGCACAAGCGTGTGGACAGATCTTCATAGGTAAAGTGAAGGTTTCCACGGACATTAAGTCTAGTCGTGTCCGATTCTTGGGGAGGTGGTGCTCATCTCCATTTCTAAGCCGGCGTTGTCCCTAGACGCCTCCAAGGTCATATGGTCGGCATGACTGCCTGGAATGCCATTACCTTATCTGCGCCACCAGGGGGTCCTTAGGTAAGGTAAAGATAGTCCCCTGACATTAAGTCCAGCCATGTCTGACTCGGGTGTGGTGCTCATCTCCATTTCTAAGCCGAAGAGCCAGCGTTGTCCGTAGACACCTCCAAGGTCATGTGGCCAGCATGACTGCATGGAGCGCCGTTACCTTCCCGCCGGAGCGGTACCTATTGATCTACTCACATTTGCATGTTTTCGAACTGCTAGGTTGGCAGAAGCTAGGGCTGACAGCCGAAGCTCACGCCGCTCCCTGGAATCGAACCTGCGACCTTTCGATCAACAAGCTCAGCAGCTCAGTGCTTTAACCCACTGCACCACCGGGGGACCACCAAATGCAGCATTGCCGTAAGACGAATGAAGGAACATGAAAGGTACAGCCCTGGAAACAGCAACAAAAAAGCCCACAATATGGTTCAGATATGTGGATGACACCTTCACCATTTGGAGTCATGGAGAAGAACTAAACAGGTTCCTGGACCATCTCAACAGCATCCACCCAAATAATAATAATAATGATAAACCTTTATTTATACCCCGCTACCATCTCCCAAAGGACTGGGTGCGGCTTACAAGAGGCCGAGCCCAAATACATCAACAAAACAACAACAACAACAAAGCAAAATAAATGAACTCATAAAACAAAGCAATAAACATTAACAAAACATCACGATGCATTAAAATCTGTGGCAGGGCCAACTGTAGTAGTTAAAAAATTTAAAAAGTGCTGGGCATGACAAGCATCCAATTCACCATGGAAAAAGAAAATGAAGGAAGACTGCCTTTTCTAGATGTCCTAGTCATCCGTAAACCAGACCAACAATTGGGTCACACCGTTTACAGAAAACCCACACACACACAGATAGATATCTACATAAAAACTCCAACCATCACCCAAGCCAAAAAAGAAGTACCATTAAAGCCTTGGCAGACCGTGCAAAAAGAATCTGCGAACCCCACCTCCTCCAAGATGAACTGAACCACTTCAACTGGTCTCTCCAGGCCAATGGATACTCCACCTCAGACATCAGAAGAGCTGCAAGACCAAGAACAAGCCACGAGAGTAAAGATGAAGATCCACCCAGAGGAAAAGTGTTCCTGCCATAAATCAAGGGAACCACTGACCGCATTGGGAAGTTGATGAGGAAACACAATACGCAAACTATCTACAGACCCACCAAGAAAATCCAACAAATGCTACGTTCAGCAAAGGACAAGAGGGATCCTCTCACTTCTGCAGGAGTCTACCGTATACCATGCAGCTGTGGACAGGTCTACATAGGGACCACCGAATGCATCATTTCCCAAACATGAATCAAGGCACTGTAGACTACTTCAACCATAAAAGTCAGCCATGGCAGAGCACCTGATGAACCAACCTGAGCACAGTATATTACTTGAGAACACAGAAATGCTGGAGCACTCTAACAACCACCATGTCAGACTACACAGAGAAGCCACTGAAATCCACTAGCATGTGGACAATTTCAACAGAAAGGAAGAAACCATGAAAATGAACAAAATCTGGCTACCAATATTAAAAAACACTCAAAATCAGGGGAATTCCAGACAAGAAACAATCAGGGCCAGCTAATAATTTCCCAAGAAAGGATTCCCCCAGGCAGGAAGCAGCCAAGTCTTGGCATGTGTCCTCTGAGGTTGTGAGGTCTGTTGGAAACGAGACAAGTGAGGTTTGTATATCAGTGGAATATCCAGGGTGGGAGAAAGAACTCTTGTCATGAGGCAAGTGTGAATGTTGCAAATGGGCCCGTTGATTATCACAGAATCGTTGAGTTGGAAGAGACCTCGAGGGCCATCCATTCCAACCCCCTGCCAAGAAGCAGGAAAATCTCATTCAAAGCACCCCCAATGGAAGGCCATCCAGCCTCAGGCAGGCCTTCAAATGCTAATGAAGGTGATCAGCTAAACATTCACACCTAACTGCAGCAGGGAAGAGCTCCTTGCCCCACCCCAGCCATTCCACAGATATATAAGCCCATTTTTCCTACTTCCAACAGACCTTCTCAGCCTCTGAGGATGCTTGCCATAGATGCAGGCGAAACGTCAGGAGAAATGCCTCTAGAACATGGCTCTATAGCCCGAAAAAACCCACAAGAACCATCCAGCCTCTGTTTAAAAGCCTCCAAAGAAGAAGCCTCCACCACACTCCAGGGCAGAGAGTTCCACTGCTGAATGGCTCTCACAGTCAGGAAGTTCTTCCTCATGTTCAGATGGAATCTCCTTTCCTGCAGTTTAAAGCCACTGCTTCACGTCCTAGTCTCCAGGGCAGCAGAAAACAATCTATTCTGCAGGCTAAACATGCCCAGCTCTATAAGCCACTCCTCAGAGGGCTTGTTTTCCAGACCCTTGATCATTTTAGTCACCCTCCTCTGGACACATTCCAGCTTGTCAACATCTCTCTTCAATTGCGGTGCCCAGAATTGGACACAGTATTCCAGATGTGATCTGACCAAAGCAGAATAGAGGGGTAGCATGACTTGCCTAGATCTAGACACTATGCTCCTATTGATGCAGGCCAAAATCCCATTGGCTTTTTTTGCCGCAGCATGATATTGTTGGCTCATGTTTAACTTGTTGTCCACGAGGACTCCCGAGATCTTTTTCACATGTACTTCTGTTGAGCCAGGCGTCCCCCATTCTGTATCTTTGCATTTAACTTTTTTCTGCCGAAGTGGAGTATCTTGCATTTGTCCCCAATGAACTTCATTTTGTTAGCATCATCTCTCTAATCTGTTAAGATCATTTTGAATTCTGCTTGTCTTCTGGAATATTGGCTATCCCTCCCAATTTGGTGTCGTCTGCAAAATTGATGATCATGCCTTCTAATCCTTCATCTAAGCCATTAATAAAGATGTTGAACAGAACAGGATTAGCATTTAATGGCCTTGCAGCTTCAAAGCCTGGCTGGTTGCTGCCTGGGATAACCCTTGTTGGGAGGTGTTAGCTGGCCCTGATTGATTCATGTCTGGATTAATTCCTGTCTGGATTTCCCCTGCTTTTTGAGTGTTCTGTACTTTACTGTCCTGATTTTATTTAATACTTTCTGTTGAAATTGTCCACATGCTTGTGGATTTCGATTTCTTTTTGGATAAATGTTAAAATTATATCGCAGAAGTACTTAGCAGTAGGGCAGTGGTGAGAAATGATGGGATTAGATTTTTCTTTTGGATGAAAACACTGCCAGAAAGAATTTTTTTCCAACTCTACCTATGAAAGGGCAGGAGTTAGAGCTGGAACTTCCAAGTTCACGTGCTGTTGTCAACATGAAGATGGAGAGGGTTCCCATACTTTTAATGGTTGTGTAAAAAAGGGAATTTTGGGTGTTGTTGCTTGGTGTGTGGAATTACCACTTCCACATAACTATTCAAGATCCAGTTTTCACTTTGGCAATTCCAATGGAACTTGACCATGACCCTGAGGGTGAATTAAGCCCTGGACTCACTAGAAGCCCATAGGACAGTGGTTGTCAACCTTCCTAATGCCGTGACCCCTTAATACAGTTCCTCATGTTGCGGTGATTCCAAGCATAAAATTATTTTCATTGCTACATCATAATTGTAATTTTGCTGCTGTTATGAATCGTAATGTAAAAATCTGATATGCACGATCTATTTTCATTCAGACGAAATTTTGCACAAATACCCAATACACTCAAATTTGAATACTGGTAGGGTTGGGGGGGGGGTGATTTTATCATTTGGGAGTTGTAGTTGCTGGGATTTATAATTCACATACAATCAAAAAACATTCTGAACCCCACCAACAATAGAATTGGGCCAAACTCCCCACACAGAACCCCCATGACCCCCAGAATAAATAAAAATACTGTTGTTTTCGGATGGTCTTTGTCAACCCCTCTGACACCCCCCTTGCGACTCCCCTCTCCAGGGTCCAGCCCTCCAGGTCGAGAATGGCTGTCATAGGACTTCATGGGAGGCCCAGACTTTGAATGGAGACATGAGTCATTGGAAAAGCCAACTATGTTCTTTAAAGTGGAAGGCAAAAGGGCGAGGGAACACAATAAAGTAAGCGTGGACTTGAATCTGCCTGTAAATGTCTAGGCCTCTTGGAGTGCATTCACCATACAATTAATGCAGTTTGCCACCATTTTAATTGCTATGGCTCAATGTTATGAAATCATGTGTGTTGTACTTTTACAAGGTCTTATCTTTCTCAGAGTGAAGGTGTTGCACTAAACTGCAACTTTCAAGGTTCCATAGAATTGAGCTATGGCAATTAAAGTGATGGCAAATTGCTACTCGATGAGTCTAAGGGCATCATAACTCTAAAGCCGTGAAGACACAAAAATGTCTTTACAAAATCCAGCCCAACACTACTAATGTAAGGGCCTGCTGAAATGAACAAATTGGGCGGTGTTATCTGTTGTGACCTGCTTTATGACACCAAGAGAAGATAAAATCGATAGGGTATTAAAGAATTATAGGCTAGCTAGATTTCATACACTACAATGGACTGTTCTTGAAGATGATTTGGAAGCTGTATTGTCGAAGGCTTTTATGGCCGGAATAATTGCTTATCAAGGTGGCCAACTGAAACATTCACACCTACCGCCAACAGACAAGAGTTCTTTCTCCCACCCTGGACTTTCCACAGATATATAAACCCATTTTTTCTACTTTCCAACAGACCTCACAACCTCTGAGGATGCCTGCCATAGATGCAGGCCAAACATCAGGAGAGAATGCTTTTAGAATATGGCCATACAGCCCAAAAAACCTACAACCCAGATTTGAAAGCTGGCTGAAACATCTGACAGAAAACATATCTGCCTTAAAGAAATTCTACTGCTTACTAAAATGCTCTCAGTCTGAATTCATGATGCTGACAATCATTTAAACAGCATTTAAAATCTCAACAGCATTTAAAATCTTACACTGCGCCTATGCCTCCACAAGGATTGGAGATATAATGCAAGGACCTCCCTGGTCTCACACGTGGGTTAATATACTGTGAGAATGCATCATGTTAGATGTTGCAGATTAATCATTATTTTGGTTTTTTTAAATTTAGATCAAGTTTTTGGAGGAAATAACACTGATATATAAAATGATCGGATATAGACTCCCAATGGATATAGAAGATAAGGCAGGATAAGGTTTGAAAACTGCCAGAATCTTGACTTACAGGACGAAAGAAATTTCACCACTAGACTTTTTTAAAAAAGTGAGATATACCAATAACTAAGGTAACTCAGCTGCAAACATTTGTTTGAAACTAAATTCATATAAAGAATTGTTCTTTTGGAACATATTTCATAGAAACATTCCCCTTTCTTCTTATTTTGTATTGTGTCTGAATTACTGTGTGTCTTAAAATTGGAAAATTAAAACCACTAACATGTTGAAATAGGATTGAGTCCATCAAAACAGTCAGAATTCAAACTACTGCAGTTTCACAACCAGTCATCTATATTCATTATTTCATGAAATGGAATGGAAGTGATAACATAACCTAGAGATAGGTACAAAGTTCAGATCAAATATATACATTTTTAATATCTGAAATATTTACATGGTAAGACCTTTATATGATCCCATTTGTTAAGAACATGTTTTCCATCTGAGACACCAACCTATTATGTAATAATTCAGTAACTCTAGCTCACACATGCCTTCTACATAGGTCAGCTTGTATTTCTTCAGGTAGATAATAGAATAACACATTTTTAAAAATGGAGAAAACTGTTGCTTCCTGGAAACTATCCATCCTGCCATCAAGAATGTCCACAGCAGTCTTTTCACTTGTGTGTGAGATTTCTTTTTAAAAAAATGCGTTTTACAGTACATTGTTATTTATACCACATCAGCTTATGTATAAAAACCATACAGAGTAAAGAGCAGGAAATACTGCCCCCTAGCAATCTGACATACAGTTTACAGTACAAAAAAAGAACAGTCACATCTGACTTGATGGCTTAGATTAAAAAAAAAACCCTCTGCATTGTTTGAAAACATGCTTTTACATTGTAAACTATTGTGCTCAAGTTACATCTTAAAACCTTTTCATAAATATCCCGAGCAATTTTTCTTTTAAATATTTAAGATTATTTTTGTGTGTATCAGAAGCAACTTGAGAAACCACAAGTCGCTTCTGGTGTGAGAGAATTGAATTGCAAGGACATTGCCCAGGGAATGACCGGATATTTACCATCCTGTGGGAGGCTTCTCTCATGTCCCCACATGGGAAGCTGGAGCTGACAGACAGGGGCTCGCCCTATCTCGTGGATTCAAACTGCTGGCCTTCAGGTCAGGAGTTCAGCTGGCACAAGGGTTTAACCTATTGCGCCCCCACAGCTCCTATTTAATAGTTGAATTGCTTAAAAGGGCCAAAATCAAATAAATACTTGTAATCCTTGATTTTTTTTTTAAAGGTGTGAATATGTTTCATGACTTTAACTGAACAAAAGGCCTCATAATGAACAAGAGAAAACAAGAGCTTTGTAAGGATGTCTTGAGTTGATCCAAGTCCACCATGTTTTGTACTGGTTTGTCTGGAAGAAATATTATGGAATCCAACAAGGGAATAAGTTCACATCCATGCACATAAAACTGAGTGTCAGCAAAATTACTCCCATCCATTTCTTTGTATTCTGAAGTTTATTATTTTTTAAAAATGGAGGGCAAAGAAAGAGGGATGCATTTACATAAAACAACTATTTTTGTATGTCGTAAGTGCAGATGTTTCCTTACATGGGTCTTTTAAAAATATTTACAGGATCAGTTAGAAGATGAATATCAGACTGTATACAGCAGCTGCAATTTATAAACAATTCCTGTAACATTACATGGTGAATGAAAAAAAAAAACACCAATGCAGGATTCAAATAATTACAACCAAGGAAGCTTAGAAGTCGAGCAAGGGGGGCACCTCAGTGTAACAGAGGATGAAAAAAATTCACATTTTCTACATTTAAAAAATACAGGTCTCACAAATGTCTCTGAAGATAAACTTCAAAGTTCTTCAGTGATGTGAAACAAAAAATTGAAATGGAGCCCTAAAAACAAAAAGAACCTTTATTTCACAAGACCAATTTTTTTGGCTTCTGTTTCATATATCAATAATCTCCACATTTTTACTATAAAAACTTCTGCTTCTTCATCTAGCACCTGCAGGAAACAGAAAGATATATTAGCAGATGGAGGAAACATTTGTTTGTCATAAATTGGCGGAAGTACTGATTTCATTTTCCAAATTCTAAATTTACAATAGTCGGAAATTCTGGGTCTCTTTCCTTTACTTACCATAGCGACATCGTCCAGGATGCTCTGTGGTGAGCTATGAGCCATAACCTGAAAAAGGAAGAGAGGTACAAAGACTTAGAAGAGAACACCTGAATGATTGTGAAAACCATTATTACATGATTTAGTAGATTCATAATAAACCTAAAAAGAAATTCTAATAAAATTTGAACCACATCTCATTTCATGCTTTTCTAAGAATTCTCCAGCAAATAAACCAGTTATCCAATCTCTACATGTCTGTCCCAGTTCCACTTCTCTGGTTCTCCACAGTAAACCAAAGTTATTTTTTAAGAGTTGAATTACTGAGGGTTGCAACTACTACCTGTGACTCAGAATGTCACTCAACAAAAGGATCTCACATTATTTTCTATCATGTCTGGAGCAGATCAGTTTCCAAGATAGATTACTTATGTGGGATGCACGTCCAACATGAATATTTTGACCCTTTAGTATCAGTTAAAATCTGAACACAGAGAAGATGCTACACACTTACAAATAGTAGACAAAGCAACCAACTATCACTGTGAATAGTTTAACATGAATAATTATTGGGCAAATGACCTTACACCCAAAGGACAGATCACCCAAATTCTATTTATAAAAGTAAGCAAACCTTTGAACAAACAAAATCGACTAGTGTTGCTTCTTCTTCGCCAATATATTCTATTATTTTCTTGTTGATCCAAGGTCTAATTCGACGTTCCATTAATGTCTAGAACAAAAAGCAGAATTATTGTAGGTAATCACATCTTTTTGTACTGGCATCATACATAATTTTCATTCCACGAACCATCTGTCAACATTACAGGCAGTCACCGTGTTACACCCAAGATAGATTCTGTAGGTTCGTTCTTAAGTTGAATTTGTATGTAAGTCAGAAGAGGCCCAGGGCACGCTGCTGGTTGGCATGTGAGGGGAGCACCACAGCAGCAAAAAGTGCACTGCATGCATAGAATTCCTTCTTTAAAAACAAAAGTGTAAAAACACCAAAGCTTTCAGCAATATAAAAGGAAAACAGAAGAAAAAGGTAACCCTTCTCTCAAGAAGCCTCTCCTGTTTATCCTGTCTCAGCTTCCTTCTATTCTGTAGAATGAATGCAGCTTGAGACTATTTTAAGTGCCCTTGCTCAATGCTATGAAACTTTTAGCCTTCGCTGCCAAAGAATGCTGCTGCTTCACCAAACTACAAATCCTAGGATTACATAGCATTGAGCCATGACAATTAAAATGGTGTCCAACACAAAGGAAAAAGGAAAGAGGTTTAGAGATATATAGAAAGGAAAGAAAAAGAAAGAAAAAGATGGATGGAGAGATACAGACACACTTTGGCTCCGTACTAAAATTTCCTGGCAGGAAGAAGGGAGAGGCTGTTTCGTAACTAGGAGTTGTACCTAAATCAGATGTTTATTTTATGAATTTATTTACAGTATTTATATTCCGCCCTTCTCACCCTGCAGGGGACTCAGGGCGGATTACAATGTACACATATATGGCAAACATTCAATGCCAAAGACGCACAACAGATATAGACAAACAGTCAGAGACTATTTAACTTTTTCTGGCCACCAGGGGAGCTGTCGCTTTCATCATCCATCTGTGACGCTGATGAAGGACTTCCGCATTCCCTGCATGCTTTTGCTGGAGTCTTTTTTATGGCCTCGTAGATTTTGTTAAATTAGCCTCCCCACACATAGGTGGTACCTAATTTTCCTACTTGACAGATGCAACTGTCTTTCGGATTGCAAAGGTCGACAACAAGCTACACAATTGGTCAGAAGCTCACTCCGACCCAGGCTGGCTTCGAACTCATGACCTTGTGGTCAGAAGTGATCTTAATGCAGCTGACACTCAGACAGCTGCGCCACAGTCTCGGTGAGTTACGTTAGTAATTCAGGGACTGCTTGTACTTAACATTAGAACTACACACTTCAAAGACCTTATATCTGAGAAGTAAACCAAAGATTACCTCAGGCTTTAACTAGTACAGGTGTATACTTTCATTATTTCTTAAGTTAATCTGTTATGGTGTTTTACTGGAAGTGAAATGTTTAAGGTTGCAAATTATGTACAGTTATATGGAAGAATACTGCACTTCTGTGACATTTACTTCCAAGAAAACACAGAACTGTTACCTTTTCTCTACTATAAGTGGTAACATGTCACTTCAGCATTACATTATTCCATACCTCCTTCAATTTCTTTTAAAAGAAACCAACACTTAGGTTATTGTAGTATACAATACAGAACAATTACAGACATGTTATAGAAAAGGTTTCAGTAACTGAAATAGAGCTAACTCTTAGTCCTCCTCCATAAACAGAAGTCAGGATTCAAAGCAAGTGCATAAACCTGTGAATGTTATCCCAATCTATTATGGGAGTGAATAATGCAGTCCTCTTTCATATGATCACAACTCCAAGTAGCCCAAGAATAACAAGCAATGGTGAGGAATGCTGGGAGTTGGGAAATGTTTGTGCTTCCCACTCCTGTTATATGAGGCTATCTCATTTGATACCACAAACTCACAGCAAGGAGATAAATGACTTTTAATCTGAATAAGAACAGTAACCTCCTACTCTGTTACCAGAATAACTTTATTTATTTATTTATTTATTTACTTACTTGCCACATTTGTGTACCGCCTTTCTCAGCCCGGAGGCGACTCAGAGCGGTTCACAGTCTTAAGATGTAATAAAAGGCCTTGATTCCTTACACTAGTGGCACATTGGTGAAAACTTATGTGGAGGATAGGGGAAATACTCTAGAAAATGTGTTGGGGTAATGGTCAAAACTGGATGTCTGACAACTTGCTGTAATAAAAGTTCTGGAAATTACATTCAAGATGATTTTAAAAGAAATATACACACCGAATCCACAATAGACCAGTCAAGAGGATAAGCAAACAGCTCTGGTTTGGCCGTGGGGATCTTCTCAATTAGACTCTTGATGTGTTTCCGCTTCTCTTCAGTATTGACACTGCCTTTGGAAGAGCCTTTGTCTTCATCACCATAATCCAAAGGCACAAGTTTCCTTTTACGTGGCATGTCATCGCTATCTTCATCTTCAAATTTATTAAAGACACTGTCTACAGTGAGTTTCTTTCTTTTCACAGCATTGGGCTGGTTAGGACTATTACATGCACCTGTAAAAACAAGAAAAAAAAGTTCTAAAATATGAAAATGTTAATTCACCCTTAGGAATTATCCCAGGTTGAAGATAAAACCCGCAAAATCATATGAATAATCGAAGACAGTGTTTCTCAAACTCTGCTCCTCCAGATGTTTTGGACTTCAGCTCCCACAATTCCTAACATCTGGTAATATGGCTGTGATTTCTGGAAATTGAAGTCTGAAACACCTGGAGGAGCAGAGTTTGGGAAGCACTGATGATACAAGACAGCAACTGCATAGTAGAGCAGCTAGGATTAAGGCCAAAATCCAACTGTTACTTCCAACAGAACCTATTGAATCAAATGTTTGATAAATATTCACCTACCAAATTCCCACCGGCTCAATGAGTCTATTCTAGGATGGAATTAACAACTGGGTTTAGCCTATTCTGCCTCACTCCCCTTCACTGTTCCCTCAGGCCAATACAGTTGTACTTCCAATAACAAAGCCCTTGCTTGACAAAGAAGTTGCTTTTTTACAACGTGCAACCCATCTTTCCTCCTGGTCCTCAATCTAGCTGCCATTTTTTAAAAACAACATCAGCATTGGATGAATAATCAAAGAAGGCTAGGCAAGTGGACTTTCAGTGTCAGGTTGCTGTCAGTGTCAGTGTGACTGCAGTAATCCATTAAATAAAGCTTTTACTAGGACAGAATGGAATTCTTCTCTAGTCAATTCTATACTGTAACTGTTTGCACCTGTCTAGAACGGGATAGGTAAAAAACATTTGCCTCCAGAGTCCCTTACTACACATGCATGAACAACAAAACTGAAAAAGGAGACTAGCCTGCCTTTTTGTGTACTCTTGAACATGTTTAAAACAGCACAGACCTGTATGTTTAACTAAGAAAATTAAAAAGTGATAGCTGGGGAAAGCATAAATCCTGGATGCATTTTGGAAAGAGGTCTCTAAAAGATTGACTTTTTTTACTTGTACAAGGCTTACGTAATATGATTGTTTTGTAACACATGGGCATATTATTAGTTTCAAATGAAGTTTTTTACTGAAACATGTTGAATTACTCTTTTTTTCTGGCTGCTGGAATCTATTACTTATCCTTTCTGCTTTTGGTACTATAATTTCTGTTGAAAAGTGTAATGTCCAAAAACATCTACTTTGTAAATTGAAATGTACCTGTAGTCAAATTTGATACTTTTATTCAGAAAATCTGAAGTAAGGAGTTCATTTCCAAGTTAACTGTGATAAATGTTAAGACCATAGTCCTATCTATCTGCTTTTTTAAAAACAGTGGAAAGAAAATAAACTTGCCAAGTTTGAGGCTTAGCCCTATTTTAGGCCTATATTCCTCTGGTTGTTGCTGATCAGGAGAATTTTCATGTGGGATGATGATACCACATGGAGATTCATCCCCGGGAGTGTTGGGAGTTGCATTGCCACTTGCAGATGAAACAGATGGTGCAGAACTGATGGGTCGTAATGTTGGTTTAAGGCAGGGCTTCTGTTCTGGCTCTTCCTCCTCTTCTTCAGGTTCTTCTCTTTTCTCTTCTTTCTCTTGCTTTTCCTCCTCCTCTTCCTCAGATTCTGGCTCCTGTTTGGTTTGCGGCTGTCGCCGTCTTTCGGCCTCTTGTTCCATCTTAAAACAAGAGAAATGAATTTAAAGAGAGAAGAATAGAATCAAATTAAGCAAATATCATTGACATTTAAGTCTCTATGTACTGTCTTCATTATTAGAAATTAAAAATTACAAAACCAGTCTGGCTATTCCATGATAAACAGATAACTTAAGTCCATTAAAAATAATTTTTGATTTGTGAGAAATGATCTAAATTAGCAATACTAATGTTTATAGAGATTTCTGAAACCAAGTATTTATTAATTTAAATATTTATATCCTACTCTATACCAAAAGATCTCAGAGCAGAAATAAAATCAATTTACCCGTATATTCCGGCATATAAGACGACTGGGCGTATAAGACGACCCCCAACTTTTCCAGTTAAAATATAGAGTTAAGACGACTCCCATGCATAAAACTACACCCACGTATAAGACGACCCTGACTTTTGAGAAGATTTTCTTGGGTTAAAAAGTAGTCTTATACGCCAGAATATACTGTATATCAATAAATAATAAAACTAATGTTGAAAGAGAGGAAATATATTAAATCATTTCTCAGGTCAAAACCAAAACATTTAAAGCCAGTTGAATACTAACAAAAGCATATACACTAACTGGATAAAATCAATCAGGCCCAAAGACTTTAGTAAAAACCATGCTGTGACTTCACACTAAAACAATACTAGCATTTGGGCCAATCAGGCCTTGAAGGGTAGAATAATCCAAAGCATGAGGCCATCCTGGAGAAGGCCCTCTCCCATGTTTTTCCAATAGTGAACTGGCAACCAATACTGTCCATATCGATATGGGGATGAACATGTCAACTTGCAGGTCTTGTTTCAATTCTCTAGCTTACCAATTCTCAATTACATGAGACAGTATACATTACAATAATGCCAATTCATTTTTTGCCAGAAAAGCTGTTTCTTACTCTTTGCAGCTCAGCATCTGGATCTGGGTGTCCTTCTGCAAGAAGACGTTGTCGGATTTCTTCTAGTTCTTCCTTTTCTCTTTTCCTGTCTCGTTCATCTGCTTCCATTTCCTTCTCTCTGTCTCGCAATCGTTTCTGCAAAGCACTTCCCCTATAACAGGCATTTGCTTTATAGTTTACAAGTTCTTGCAACAGAAAGTTTTGATAAGCATAGCCTAATAAATACATTCAGAATGTAAACTACAGCATATTATTTGAGAACACAGAAATGCTGGACCACACCACCACCATGTCAGACTACACAGAGAAGCCATTGAAATCCACAAGCATGTGGACAATTTCAACAGAAAGGAAGAGACCATGAAAATGAACAAAATCTGGCTACCAGTATTAAAAAACTCTAAAATTACAACAGCAAAACAGCAGAGAGGAAACAACCAGGCACATCTTAACACCTCTCAACAAAAGATTTTCCCAGGTTCAGCCAGGCCTTCAAATGCTAATGAAGGTGGTCAGTTGAAACATTCACACCTAGCTCCAGCAGAGGAGAGCTCTTTGCCCCATTCCACAGATATATAGACCAATTGTCCTAATTCCAACAGATCTCACTACCTCTGAGGATGCTTGCCATAGATGCAGGCGAAACGTCAGGAGAAATGCCTCTAGAACATGGCCCTATAGCCCGAAAAAACCCACAAGAACCTAGTGATTCCAGCCATGAAAGCCTTCGACAATACATGTAAACTACAAAGTTTCAGGTTTTATACTGTAACTGGAAAGAAAAGACCTACTGCTACATTGACCAGATGGTCACTGGGGAGACTGCCTTTTCAACAACAGTGCTTTGGAGTACTCTCTTCAATGAGGGATCCCTGTTCTCCACTTTGCTCTCTTTCTTGGGCACTGTCATTACAGAACTGCTTTTATTATTATATATTTTACAGCACATTTAATAAAATATTGAAAATTATTAGTGTCTCTGGAGAATGGGATCCAAATTTAAATAAAAACAGACATGCTTAAAAGCTACCAGAAATGACTGGCACAGCCTTAGCACAATATTCATTGGCATCAGAATCCCTTTGTTTAAAAATTATGTGTAATTTCAAGAGCTCTGGCAGAAAGACAACAATTTAAAAGTAAAAACTGCCAAAGACACCTCACCCTGATAGCATGATGGGTGAAGCACTTTTAATTGCACTCAAAGCATTTGTTGGAGATGGGTAGAGGGGAAGACCAGGGTTGATCAAATCTGCTTAAGTTACATTGGCTGTCTCATAATCTCTGGTTTATCACCCTCACCGGTTCAGATCACAACAATGTAAGCTCTGTGCTGAATCAGTCCAGCATTCTGTTTGCACAGTGACTATTCAGTATCGGAAGCCTATGTAACTGCCATTTGGCCCTCACGCTCTTATTCCACAGGAACTCATAGAGGAAAATCTGCTGTTTCTTATACTGGTAAAAGTATATACGGTAGTTTTTTATTAGTAGCTACTGGTGGTCCTACCCTTCATGAATTTGCCTAATGCCCTTTTACAGCTTTTAAAACTGGCAGCACTCCTCACTGCATTTTGTGGCAAGGCGTCCAACTGATAAATTGAAGAATTTAAGAAAACCCATTAGGTAAATAAACATACCTGTAGTATTTTGGGTCGTCTCGGTCATCATCATAATCTTCCAGAAATTCTTTTAGACGTTTTGCTTCTTTTGCCTATGAGTGTTCAACACAATTTTCTTAATTCAGATAATTTTTATCCCGCTCCTCTGTCACAAAGGCACTCAGAGAGGCTTATAATCTACTGTATATACTTGAGTATAAGCCGACCTGAATATAAGCCGAGGCACCTAATTTGACCTCAAAAAACTAGGAAAACGTATTGACTCAAGTATAAGCTAAGGATGGGAAATGCAGCCGTGAATGGTAAATTTCAAAATAAAAATAGATACCAATAAAATTACATTAATTGAGGCATCAGTAGGTGAAATGTTTTTAATATTTACATAAAGCTGTAATTTAAAATAAGACTTTCCAATTCTGATTAAACCATCATTCTAACCTTCTTCAATGTAAATGTGCTTACGTATCCTTCCAATAATAATAATAATAATAATAATAATAATAATAATAATAAAGCAAAATAATAAATGTAATAATAAAAATAACAATAGAGTAAAATAATAATTATAATAACAGTACTAAGTAGAGTAAAATAATAAATGTAATAATATAGTAAAATAATAACTATAATAACAATAACAATAGAGCATAATAATAATAGAGTAAAATAATAAATGTAACAAAAATAATAGAGTAAAATAATGTAAGTGTAATAATAATAATAATAATAATAATAATAATAATAATCACAGAGTAAAATAATAAATAACATTGACTCAATTATAAGCTATGGGGGGCTTTTTCAGCCTAAAAAAGGGGCTGAAAAACTAGGCTCATACTCGAGTATATACTGTACTTAAGGTAAATAAGATGTAATGCAGAAGATGAGACACAAGGTAGCTGTGTCAATATGGCTGGCTCCCTCCTTCCCACTCAATGGCCAGCGGAATGGCAGTTGAAATGTAGTGGGAGGAGCTCCCAACGTCTGTTAGATGATACAATGCCTAAGAAAGTTTAACACATTTAACAATACCGTACACGTCTGCTTATTTTAAACAGAATTTTTGGGGTTAATCACCCTGACATAAAAGCAACTGAGGTCCACAAAATACACCCACCTTCTCAACATCAGATCGTTAAAATTACTACCTCTAAGTATCAAAAAACAGTTTGTTCTATGTAATTTATCTAAGGGAGGCCTGTTTCAAGCTACCAGCAACACTATTTAAAAAGTTAGTTCACATGGTTTTACTGCACTTCTTAAAAGCTGATGTCCCAGATTTTATTGAGTTTATGTTCTATACCAGGCATGGGCAAACTTCAGCTCTCCAGGTGTTTTGGACTTCAACTCCCAGAAATCCCAGCGACCTTACAGGCTGTTAGGAATTGAAGGGGTTGAAGTCTAAAACACCTGGAGGGCTAAAGTTTGCCCTTGCCTGTTCTATACATATACACAAAGTTGGGTAGGCCAAAATGTGCCGCTAAATTTCAGCAGTCTGGCACTGTTGTGGCGATGTAGGGCATTTCTGTTTGATGTAAAGATGGGTGGGGAATGTGCATTTCTTGGTTCAAAACAGATTATTTATTTATTTATTTAGATTAACACCCACACGTTCCCTTCATGCCTTGATTTAAAATATAAATACAACAAAGGTTGTGTTCTTTGCCACTACCACCATATAGATGAATGTAGCAGGAACAAGAGGAACTACATATCGTCCATTTGCAGCCTACCCATGATGTATGCAGAACACTGTATATTTAAAATTATGGCAATTGTACTGGCCCATGAAAAAAATCTGAATAACTTTTTTTAAGTCACAATGGAGAAATTGGTTCTGAGCTTTTGCAGAGAAGCAGAAATATGCTGAAAGTAAAGCAAATGTTACAAGCTTCATGTACAATACATTAAGCCTTCAAATAAAGACCCAGGTACCTCATTGCAGACTAATTAGATTCTATCATACTCTGTGCTAATATAACAAGTATAATGAAATAAAGTAACAAAACCACTATTAGTATTTAAGCAGCCATTCGTTATGTACTCCTACCTCTATAGTTAATTGGAAATGACAGGCACTTTGAAAGACACCAGCATAACAAAACTTAGATATAATGGAAAAGCTGCACTCTTTAGAATGCTTATATGATTGGATTCTGAATTTTAATTTTACCTTTGAAGAATGTAGGACGCAGCTATAAAACCTCCTGGTGTTTTAATATGCAGGACATATTTCAATTCTACTTGGAACAACTTATGCAGATCTTTTTGCTCCCATATTCACCTTTGCAAGCCACCCTGGGAGCCAAATGTTAGCAGACTAATAAATGATCACATTCCCCTCTGCACAAAAGCAGAGCTTTAAATCATTTCACAAAATATTATTTTGTGACATTGTAATTTAAGAGCAATATGCAGGAGGCATAAATCACAATTCTAATATACTTCAGTGCAGATTCTGTTCAGTCAATGGAAAGAGATGAACCCCTTACCATTTCTCTTCGTCTTTCCTCTTCCCTCTCAGATTCTTTTTCATATTCTCTAGCTTTCTTTCGTTCTCTGATCTCCCAGTTTTTAAGGCGCTGGAAGAAAGCAAATTGCTTATTTCATTATTCACTGGAGAAGTAAAAGTAGTCCTTTTCAGAATAGCAAATCTATCCATATTTATTTTATTCACATCAGCCAAATCATTCATTCTGATAAACAACTCCATTGTTGAATACTACCGCATGATGACAATAAAGACCACAATATCTGCAAAAATTAGAAACTGAGTTGGATCCTAACCTCTGGGACCAATAATCTAATCAAAATGATCAGCACACTCTCCTTGGAGCAGCTTCCCTCGGGGGAGTAAAGCACATGCTGGGAAGTTGCTGTTCAACGCACTGCAGCTGCAGGAAGCCCTGGTGGAGATCAGATTCCTTGCCCACCACATGTAAATCTCTCACTTGCTTTAGGACCAAACCCCATGGATAGGGAGTGACTTCCCCAGATACCTCTTGATAAGCGGCTTCTTTTTCACGTAGCTTTCTTTCCAGTTTACGACGCTCATAAGCATCTTCTTCGTCTTCTTCTCTATCCCTTTTCTTGTCCTTTTCGCGTTCCCTTTCCCGCTCTCTTTCTCTTTCCCGCTCTCGTTCCCGTTCTCTCTCTCGTTCCCTCTCTCGCTCTCTTTCCCGTTCCCTTTCTCTGTCTCTGCTTTTCTCCCTGTGAACAAGCATAATACCAAGTGATTAATTTATGAAGTTTTCAACATCTAACACAACGGATAACAAAGTTTAAGTCTAAGTAATTCTGCAAGATAACTGAAGTGTCAGAAAAGTGATTTAAACTGCAAATAAGGGAAAAAAATTAACAGCTTTTGGATTCATTGCCATTGCTTATGAACAATCATCAGGCAAAAGATCTTTTGAACAAGGATAGTTTAACAATTGGTTGGCTTTCAGTTACCACACTAACAAGTCTTTGTAACTTGAATAGGGTCCAGCTCGCATATAGGGGTTAAACCTTCTTGCTATGCTGAGAATGGGGCTTTCCCTGCTGCCAACCAAACTTTAGGAAGGGGCCTGAGGGACAAGGCAGAATTGCTGTAATCAAATTACTGTATTTCTTCAGTTCTAACACACACTTTATCTTATGTATTTTTATGGTGGCAATGGAACGGAAATTAGAATGCGCCTTACAACTGAAGAAATATGGTATTAGTTAACAAAGAGCCACCTGCTTTATTACACACTATTGTTTGGGAAACTGGAAACTGTTCTGGAACTATTTCCCTTCAAAATTCAATGTTAGCAATGTTATTTAAAAGATCCATAACACAGAATTATTTACCTGTTATTTTTTCTTATTTTTTGTTGTTATTTTTAGTCTATTTATGTGATTTATGCAATGTGTTTATACTATGTGTTGGGTTATTGTTTATATGCCTGGGCTGGGGAGATGTTGTGGTGTTTTTGTATCATGTAGTCATGTTTTTTTACCTTTGTTTGCTGCTTTGAGTCCCACCATGGGAGAAAAGCAGCATAAAAATAAATAAATAAATAAATAAATAATACCTAGATCTGCTCCGATCCTTGTTGCGGTCCGAGCTTCTTTCACGGTCTCTGTCGCGATCTCTTTCCCTGTCCCGGTCTCTGTCTTTAGTGCGGTCCCGATCTCTATCCCGTTCTCGTTCGCGCTCCCGTTCCTTCTCCTTCTCTCTTTCACGCTCCCTCTCTCTCTCTCTTTCACGCTCCCTTCTCTCTCTTTCACGCTCCCGTTCCCTTTCTCTTTCACGGCGTTCTTTTTCAATTTCTTGTCTCTCTTTCTCCTTTTTGCCTTTCTCCTCCTCCAATTTCTACAAACCAAGATGTTTATCAAAGTTAATCGGTAGCAATATTTGGGGGCCCACCTCCCCCACCACGCAGAACACCCAAGGTTGGTAGTGAGCATATATCAAAATCACCAACAATTTAACATTTTAATTAAATACTTTGCTTTCAACTCATAAGAATGAAAACAGTTACATTTCGTGCAAATGCATATGTCTAACATAGATCAGCAATCTCCAACCGTGGTTAAAAAGGCAGTGCTTATTTCATATGTAATAGTAGTTGGATATCGCATTGCCTGTAATAGTTCACAAGCAATTCTGAATGCAGTAAGACAGAATAGCCTGAACAGAAACAGAATTTTTAACAGTTAATCCTGCCCTTATAGACAATTTAGTAGGATACTGACCAGGTCAAAACAGGTGATTACCACATGCTGCAGTCAAACCAAATTCATTCTATGTAAGGATAGAAGATAAAGCAACATCCAACCACATAATAAAGTATATAACTGAAACAATACTATCCTACTTCATTTTGCATATATGCCTAAAGTATATTCTAGACAAAAGGAACCTCAATTAGGAAAACGTTGGCAATCACAGAAAGACTAAGATATTGTTCAATGTTTTTTAATTTTATTAAACAGACTAGCATTCTTTTATTGAAAAATGCATGCCTATTTCCAAAACTCCCATGAAGACAACAGAAAAATAAAATTGCACTAAAATGATAGATAATTGCATCCTTGGAAGCAATTGGTGTGTGTTAACTTACAGATGCTGTGCTAGGACATGGACCGCCAACACTGGATTAACCTTGCCTACAAGCTATATTTCTGGGAGGAAGAGCAAGTACATGGTTCACAAGTAAACCAAAAGGAAAAAAATAACATAAGCCATGTATGAGCCCGATGGATGCCAAAACATTATGGGTATGATCCTTCCATGCGAAAATGTTGTGTAAGGAAGGATTTACACAGATCATAACAGAACACTTTACACGCATCTTCTGTTTTGTATATATGCGCAATTGGCACAATGAGGCCATTTCAGGTAATGGGAGGATGGAATTCCTCTCTTATATCCCCCATCCATCTCACTTTTGCCAAATGGTGAATGAATACAATCTGCTTGGATTTCTAAACTAAATAGTGGAGGTAAACAGAGATATAAGAGGAGTACATATGCCTCCTATTCTGGCCTGTTTAATAAGCACAAGGTAACAGAGCACTGTTATTCCTTATTGGGGATACTATACCAGTGTGAGGCAGGATCACACCGTAAACATTTTCTTTGCAGTTTAAATAGAGGAAGACAGTCGAATCGGTCCCATTGGCACCATGTGCTTCTAGTGAAATTATAAACTGGAACAATAAATGTGTGCATATATTTCTCTCTTTTAACAAAGAATTCAAGACAACTTGAAAAACAAGCTTACCTCTCTGACAGTCTTCTGGAAATCACTCATGGACCAGAGAACCAAAAATAAGATAACAACAATAAAACTAATAGACAAGAGATCAATGTATCCAACCACCATGATAAAAAGATACTAAAAACGAAATATGGTCACGATGGCATTAGATACATTGAGCCCACAAAAAAAAAATGGTCAAGAATGGGAGAAAACAGCCATTATAAGGAGACAGAGGTGAAGGTGTACAAGATGTGGAAGATGTGACAAATCTAATTTCTAAATGAAGTGTTCTTGGATAGGATAAATCCATCTAATACCGACTATTATAGTATGCTATGCAAACTTTCAAAGGCCAACTTACCTCAAATTTCATATACATTTACAGAAAAGTTTATACACTGAAGGGGTTGATACTTACAGATTATTGTTGTTTGAATAAGAGCAACATTAAATTCCTGGATTTTCTCTTAAATTTACTCTATAGTAAAAGCCATGATCAAAAATTGTCTTGATTTCAGCTCTTTAGAAAAAAGCAGGTTTTACATGACAGATTTTTTGATGGCAAAGACTGAACTGGCACTAATTTCATATTAAAATTTAAGTAATAGGCTGCTTCCATGTAAACAAAATAATATGTGGTAGGAAGAGATGGGGAAAGGATCACAGATGGATGAATAATGAATAAAGAGTATAATTAGAAAAATATTAAATCTTACCTTATGTTCTCTTCAGACTCATCTGTGCTGTAAATGGACGCCCCCTGCAATTCTGATACTCTTACATTCTGAATATTGTTTGTAAACTCTAACCCAAAAACATGCAAAGGTTCACTGTGCTCATAGGCCAGCCCCTTTTTTTGAACATCCCACCCAATATAGGAAATGGCCCCTTAAAATCAGTATTTTATTTTAAAAGGTAAATCCAAAATATTACCCATAGTATAGATCAAAGGTGTAAAAAGCCCAATTGCTTCTGAAACAGTGAAGCATTTTTGTTTGTTTTTTAACCACATGAATTATATTATATTATAATAATATGGGGCTTGGAAATAAGACTATGTTTCACCACTCATTAATGTTAAACTCCCAAAATAGTTATCCTCAGGTTCTCATTCCCAAGTAGTATTGGAATATTTTGCATTGGTAGCAATGTACATCAATTTTTACTTTAAAGTTAGATATGCAAATAAGCATGATTTTATAACCAGAGATATATTACCATTCTGTACCTTCAAACCATTACATAAGTATTAGCAAACATAATGCACTCGTTTCAGGGGTAAACACTTCATGGGCATGGAGTACTCGAGCCTTTGTGGGCAGTTGTTATTCTGTTAAAAGTTAAACATCAAAATACAGTGCATGCATAATTTGCATTTCACCACCCTTGCACCACCCTTCCCAAATGGAACACATTAATAAATTCACGTTACAGGAACTTCTGTAGGTGGGAACCGTGAGGTAGGATTTGCTGTGTAAACGTATTTCCAAGCCAGTTACCCCTTTGCATATTTTTCTGAGGGGGCATCCATAAATAATAAAAAAACAGAAGCTCATACTTACATCCTATTCCATGTTACTTTCCAAGCTGTGTTTTTCATCTTGCATTAGTCACCATATGATCTCTATCATAATGGTGGGGGTCAATGAATAGATTAGCTTTATGGGAATTTACAGTTCTTCCATGCATCTAAATTTTGGTAAAATCTGATAACCAATAGCCTAATTTATTTTACCCCCATTTTCAACTCAGAGCTAAGTTAAATCTTAAAATTAAATTAAGCATTAGAATTGTCTGAATGTTGTAGGGGTCAACGTATGTTCCAGAAAGCAGCCTAGTCTAATTATGTGGGCTTATAAAAATAGCATTAGCTGCTTTGGATTAATTTAAAAGAAAAAGTAGAGAAGAGAATGTTTTTAAAATAAATATAATTGTGTTTGATAAATGACTGCAATGCAATCATTAGAAAGTTGAAAGATTAGCTATAAGATATTAGATCAGCCAAGTGGAAAACTTTTCTTGACTTTTTAGATACATAATCTTGCCTACAATAAAAAATTAAGTGATATGGTTATGTGGTTCTCTAAGGGGGAGGGGGCTTGTTTTGTAAAAACCTACTTTTGCATTAGCAGCAAAAACAAGTATATTACCTTGTGAGTATCTCTGAATTTACTGATCTCTCGGGATATCAGGTCCCTTTTGTCTTCTTCCATTTCTATAGCGTTGATATCCTCCTGTAACAGAGAAGGGGAAAGGGGGAGAGATCGGGAGATAATATATTAAAACCCATCTGTACAGGAATAGGAGAACCAAAAGAAAAACTAAAGGTTAGATGTTCTGAACCAGTCTTGTAAGAGATAAATAAAGGCCGTCTGCAGTACCAAACCTCACAGTCTGATGTTAAATGAATGAAAAAAAAATTAGATGGACACAAGTCACAAATCTGGTAACTAGCAGTAAACAAAGTCATTGTCAAAGCCTACAATGTAAACGAACCTTGGTGATGAGTGGATAAGGTATCAGTGGGGCCACTGGAAATCTGCGGAAAATCTGCGGAAAAATCCACGGAGATTTTTTGTTTTTAAAAATAGATTGCACACTACTCTGAAAAAAACAATGTTCTGTATGTTGGTAGAATAAGCAATAAAGTATTGCCGTGACCTTTGGTCTGACTCAACAAAATTACAGAAGAACCTCGCTAATTGTCCTTTTACTGATCTACTTCTCAGCAAAGGTTTACTGGGTGCCACCTCACCCTGGAGTGTCTCCATTTAAAATTGTAGGATTTTATTAGCACACTAGGAGATCTTGCAAGCTAAGCTATGCTTGTTAAGAAGTGGCCAGTGCTTTTTTTCTTTTTGGTATTTGAAGTCTGGTTTGTTTCTTACTCGCTAATTCGCAAAATTACATAGTCTTAAAAGGGGATTCCCAATAGCTACTGCAAATTAGCGAGGTTCCCCACATCTGAAATCAAGAGTCAGATTTCATTTGTCATTTTTACCCACATACTCAAGTCTCCCACATTTACTCTCATCTTTTCAACAGTCAAAATGGGCAAGGGAACCAGCTGTGAAGATAAGCATTCAATAAAGGGGACAACAGTGTCTCAAAACCAGCTTTACATGGCACCCACCCCAATTTCCTCTTCTCTCCCACCATGCAGAGATTATTTAATTCAAAATCCTATTAAAAGCAAGAGATGATGTTCATGTCCCATCTGCATTCCATGAAATCCAAAATGTATTTCCACCTTCTCAAAGGGTGGGAAGAAAAGGATAGGGTTACACAGTTCTTTGTTGTGACAGAACACAATCATTTAAAGTTCAGCCAAGTCATTTAGCCATGGCTCCATATTCCCTAAACTAGTATACTGAAGGGATATGCTCAATATTCAGTTTCCGTAAAGGGCTTCCTATAAGTAACCCTTTCAGCACTCTTGCATAATACTAGATTATACACATAAACACAATCCATAGCATGGATGAATTTAAATGAAAACTGGCCCATAAAGAGGTACAAGAGTGGTAGAATTTCATTGCAAAAGTAAATTCTCAAATTACTGGACCCTAAAAAAACAATTAGGGGAGAGATTACATACTTACTCCCTAAGTGAGAAGTATTGCACTGCTTTTAAAATAATTCATTGGCAGTCATAGATAACTTGCGGCTGGCTACCAGTGAAGCATGCCATAGAAAATAAAGGAAAAGCTCCAGGACCAAACCAAAATTCAATTTTGAACTCTAATTGTGACTGGCAGATGATACAGCCAATCATTGAAACAAACATAATGCGTATTCAAAGTTGTACTTTGCATTATTCCTACCAGACATTACCCTTTTAATCCCAGAGGAGAAAATATTTAGCTCAACCATTTGCAAGACCATCCACAAAAAGTGGATTATAGCATCCTGTGCCAAATATTACACTTTAAAAATGGAAATCAGTTGGTCCAATAGCCAATATTGACAAACCAATTTATAGCAGTGTGGCTTCATGCCTTAAAGATAACAGTCTTTTTAGATATATGCATACATATGATTAAAACAGGACAGTGAAGAAAATTCAAGATGCCCAGAGTCAACTGAAGTATGGCCATTATGCAAGTACAAACCCTTAAGACCCAGTGACTTAAATCTTTTGATATTGAACAATACAGGCAGGATTTCTGCTTTTAGACTCTGAAAAACAATCTGCAATTACTTCAATACATGTATTTTAGAAGGGATGAAAGGCTGAATCAAACCTGCTGAGATTCAAACCCGCAGCTCCAAGAAGTTTGGGCACTGAAACTCTTTTGTATACAGACCTACAACATCCATAAGGTTTGGCATCTAGAACTGATTTTATTTCAGTATGAAACATGAAAACTGTTGCTAATGTCAAGACTTGTTGATTTGTGTTCTCATCAGATGCTTTGAGCTAATATACTGGCACAAGGTCTGGCCCTTATGTAAGGAGAGATGAAGTAAATCTGTTTGTGTCCAAAATCAAAACACATACGTCCTCCTTCTTTTCCTTTTTCTTCTTCCTGGGATGAGAATCAGACTCTTGGGAGGGGGCATTGAGCTCGCTGGAATATTCCCGTATTAAAACTTCAATGGCCCCTTTAATTAGCTGGTCTCTTCTCTTCGTATCTTCATCAAGTGCTTCATCATCATCAGTTGTAGGTTCTGGTCTGGAGTTCTAAGAAGCAACACAAATTTTAAAGTCAAGTATATGAGGTATGGCAGTGCTGTGTTCCAGATATTTATGTTATTGGTAGTTTGTATTTCTCTTTCATGTAAATAGTGCATGTAACAGTCATACAAGTCTTAAACTGTATATTTGCTCTGATCTCACAAAGACAATATACTGGCATCGCAGTAGAATTTTAGAAACGTAGTTAGTGAATGCAGAACTGATATGGTACAGCAAAAGAGCCAAGTTAAGACAGGAGAAGGGTATTAAGAGAGATACAAAAAGCTGACTGGTGGATCTTTCACAAATGCACAGAAACTTCTTATATTTACTGCTGGGGGTGCACAAAACAACCAAATAAGCAACAAAATAGCATTTGTGCCTTAAAAATAACTTTTTTTAAAAAAAGTATCTACTGACAACCATAAATGTTAATAAATTAGAATACAGCTGTCATTCCTACCCCCACTGCAGTTCGAATTAAAGATGCTGACTGACGAAAGGGTTAGAGGCAGGAGTTACTGTGAGCAGTGCTGTTCCAATGTGCACCTTTTAGGATGTAGTACCTCATCTTCTTTTCCCTTAGACCAGGGGTCCTCAAACCTTTTAAACAGAGGGCCAGGTGACATTCTCTCAAACTGTTGGAGAGCCAGATGATAATTTGGAAAAAACCCCATAATTTTAATTCCTATGCACACTGCACATACCTTATTTGTAGTGCAAAAAACTCTTTAAAACAATACAATAATTAAAATAAAAAACAATTTTAACAAATATAAACATATTAGTATTTCAATGTGAAGTTTGAGCCTGCTTTTGGCTGATGAGATAGGATTGTTGTTGTGGTTGTTGTTGTTGTGTGTTTTCAAGCCATTTCAGACTTAGGTTGACCCTGAGTGAGGGCCGGGTAAATGACCTTGGAGGGCCATATCCGCCCCCCCCCCCCGGGCCTTAGTTTGAGGACCCCTGCCTTAGACTCTTCCATGAGAAGCAAGTTAATAATCATTGAGAGCTAGAAAAGGAGTTGCCTTTTTGCCCCCTTTATACTTGAAGTAAAAGCATTGTAGGTTCCTTTACCATATAGCTGCCAAACACATCACAGCTAGTTTGAAAGGTGTGAAGGTGGTGGGCATCACTGTGCAATAGCTCAAATGATACTACCCACCTCTGCTGTTTCAAAGAGGGGAGAAAAATGATGAGTTATCACACTCGCTAAAAGGTGAAACTATACAGCACATACATCTGTTGAAGTCTGGTTCAATAACTGTCTAAAAAGACGATAACCCTAGGAAATATGCATGCTTTTCCTCTACATGGTTGCCCACAAGAGTTCCAAATGTCAAACCTATGGATTCAAAATGACTAGAAAAAAACCACACGATTCCCTCATAGAAACAGCCAGCTAGTCGAGTCATGCAGAAGAGAACCTGAGGGCAAGTGCCAACAGTTTGCTCAAGGCTATTTTCAGATCAAGTCATGGCTGTAATCTGAACTAATCTGAAACATAATTTGCACACTACATGAAACCAATGCTTTCCCCGCAACATTTACTGTTCTTTGTTATTAAAAGTTACTTCCAGTCCTTTAAAATTAATTGCAATAGAAAAGGTAGTGTTGTTTATCAACTCATATTTTTCTGCAAGCATAACTTTGCTTGCTGGTAAATTTTAAAGACAAATTTAAAAAACCTACAAAATGGAATCTCACCTGAGAATCCAAGATGGGTGTCCAGTCAAGTGTCAGGTTAAGAAACAGAATGGGAAAGGGAAAGAAGCACATGAAGCGGCAGTAAGTAAGAAGTAGAGATAGAAGGAAAGAGGGGGTTTCAGCTGGAACAGAAGCTCTCAGATCATAGATGATCAACCTGGAAAGAACTAGAAGGTGGTAGTGACTAGGTGATATTAAAAAGGGAACCAAAGTGCTAATCAGGTATGGAAGCTGAAAAATTTCAAACATTTACTTTCTCAATTAAAAAAAACCCTGGATGTAATACTAAAAGAAGAATTTTTAGAGTTTAAACACATTATCAGACCATCCAGTCTGTGAGCAAATTCACTCAAACTCACTCTTAATAGTGAATTTACCTTCCTGTTCTACAGCCCATAAGAAACACAAAAGCACTCCTACTGTGCATCCTGTTTCATGATTCCCAAAGGCTAGCAATTGAACATCTAAAGGAAACTACATTAAAATTAGGTCTTGACTAATTACAATCTTTACTCATTCTTTTTACAGTCAACAGTTCACAAATCAAAACATTTAATTCTTATCCACTGCTAGGCAAGTTCTCCTGGTATACTTGATAGACACCATTCTGCAATGTCAATCCCTTTTGTAACTAATAGTGATATAATAATATAGTATGTTTCAATCACCAATGTCTATCAGTGTTCTCTATTCACTTCTGTGCCCTGAAGCCATCACATGGAAAGGTGCACTCTGAATAATACCTGTTGAAGGATTGAAACCTGCTGGAGGAAGTTTCCACTGTGCCATACCAGTATCATGGAGAGAGCATTCTCTGCTGTAGCATCTATCTTTTAATGGCCCAACAGGCACCAATATTGCTTTCTCCCCAGCAACAAATTAAAACATGGCTTTCTCTTAAAGCCTTTGGGGGCCTAAATGATTTTTTCAGAACCGGTATACATATAGTCATCCTTCCAGATTTGAGGTTTTGACCTTTGCGGATTTGATTCTTCCCATATTGTATTTGATATATTCTCTCTAGAAATCTTTTAAGTTTCCCAGTGTGACTTTATGGTCAACTTCCTCCAGGCATGCTTATAGTCAGCTCTGGCAGCTTTGCAAGCCATGCCCATTCTTCAGGGACTGCAGAATTCCATGCCTGCAATAACTGTGCTAACTACAATGTACATGAAGTGAGGGTGCCGAGGTTTGGACTGTCAAAACTCATAGCAAAACAAGAAACAAAGAGCATAGGAACAGCATGGCTACTCATTTATAAATGAGATGACAGTCAGCATAGCAGATAAAACAGGAAAAGAAAATATGCAAACTGAGTATGAGAAAGAATCACATTTGATACTAAACTTTATTATTTCATTATAATTCAACCACCTGCCTGTCAAGTTTAGGGCATGTACTTTTAACTTTGGTTTAGAGTAGACTGAGACTTTAGCAAAAAGACAAACAGCATACATACCCCATTGGAAGACCTTTTCTTTGCCTTCCATTCATCTAGCTGTGCTTTTGTCTTGGCATCAACTTTCACAAGTAATTTCTTTTCTCCAATTTGAAGATCATGAAGTAACCTGAGTGCACGAAGGGTGGAATCTGGTTCTTTATACTCACAAAACCCAAAAGCTAGAAATAATAAATAAGATTTTTTTTAAAAAAATCCAACAACCAGAATTAACAATGTATACAAATGCATAGGAAAAACTCAGGGCTGCAACTATTTTGGCAATTTTACGAGTTGTAACACAGTGCAGATGACATACGATAGTTAACGCATAATTTTAAAAGAAAACTACTGCATAATGAGTATATGAGAATAGAATAGGAAAAGTAAGTCCTTCTAAATGCTGTCAACCAATCTGATGAAAGCAGAGGGACAACAGATTCCCTTCACTTGGGTTAATATGGCATTGTATGAGTTTCACTTATACTTTTAGCTATCAATTACAGTGCATCCAGCACTGAATGTAAACAGAAACACTGCTAATTTGTTAGCAGGCTAGGACAACAGAAATTGATGCGAAGTTGGAGTCCACCACTGGTGCTTTCTCATCTCTGTTTTTAAACTCTGGTTGTGTGAGTGTCAGCATTTCAGAAATACTAAAAAGTCATACACATATCTTTATATTTAAAGAGCCAAAAGTACATACCTTGAAGTTTTCCAGATGCTCCTTGAACTCTCTTCCAACTCAAAACCAAACCACATTTCTGTAAAATATTATTTTAAAATCATATTTAGGTAATAGATGTTTTTTGCACAGAAGAACAATCATCACACCTGAACTTCTGAATAAGGAAAACAGTGTTAATTCTAAAGTGAAAATCCCAATAGATGAATAGATGCCTACCTATTTTGAAAGTGAATAATCAGATTCCTTGGGACCTTGGTTGCTTGTAGAGGCATCTCCCAAAAATTTCATCCCATGTGATGAAATCTTTATAAGAGGCTCTTTTAAAAATATTTCCCCATTATCTCAAATAGGGCTTGTAGTAATAACACGTAGGACATTCTCAGAATTGCACTCTTATTTTGTCTATGGAAGAATGCAAATCTTCATGAAAAATGTTGTTAGAGAACATCTGCTCTCTTTGAAGCCAATCTGACATATCTTTCAATGAAACTAGGCTCCAGAAAAGAAGTTCTGATTTTGAAACTGTGAATAATTTGTTCCCTGAGCAAATTTGTTTCCACTAATGGAGACACTATTACATGTAACCTAATACATGCAAATGAATAAATTAGCACACCTGCTTGTACTTTATCTGTAGGGCTAAAGTATCAAGCAGTATTGGGTTAATGTGTACAATTACAGCAGGAATGGGAAAATACAAATACAATATATGTTGGTTGGTCTGCACCTTCCAGCATGGCTATATTGGAAAGGGCTATCTAAATTTTCAGACTGCCATTACTGTCCCCAAAAGCTTAAATTCAGAAACCTGTCACATACTGTGACCATGAACATTACAAGGTACAGCAAACCCCTGGCCCTCCAGATGCTTTTAATGACAACTCCCAAAAGTCCCAAACAACACAGGAAATGGCAAGAACCTACAAGAGTTGTAGCTGAATAACATATTTGGATAGTGAAAGGTTATTTACACCTTCTCTGGAAAGTTTCTGCTGATTAGATGAGGTACTTTTGAGGACTGTATGAAAATGCTGTCACAGAAGTGAACAGAACAATTCTACATGCCCATGAAGTATCATAAGAAGTATTTTAAATGTTGGCCCAAGCTAATGTTTTAAAACCAAAACAGTAAGTACGAGGGAACTAATAAATGATACCAACATATTGAAGAGAAAACATTACAAAGATAGGCTATGAAAGGCCATTTCACTTACAGCAAGAAGCTGACGTATAAGCATGTCTGATGCCTTTTCAGATATATTGCCTACAAAAACAGTGGTAGTAGGACCACTATTTTCATCGTTTTCTTTGTTCTTTAGACCTGGATGGTCCTTTCTGATTCCCATGTGCTTTCCAACCATTGACACGGCAGTTGGGACTAATACCTGAAAATATAAGAAGAAATGCCTGATGAGTAAGCAAATTTTAGGATGATAACTTATTAACTCAAACAGAATCGGAAATATACAAGCAGCTTGCTATCAATATGCTAGATCAGGGGTTCTCAAACTTCTAAAACTGCTGATGCCTTTTTGAAGGAAAAGTTTCTCATGAAGTCCTTATAAAATGCATTGCATTTTAAAATTTGACAGATGGGCCAGACCACTGGCAGATGGATAGGGAATGGTTGTGGAAATTAACTGAAAAAATATGAACAAATTCCTATATACACTGCACATATATTGTTTGTAGTGCAAAAGAAATAATACAATATCTATTATTGTTTACCATTGCCTTCTTCTGAAATATAGCCTACAGCATCAACTACTTTCTCCTGGTTGGGGGCAGGGAGCACATGGCTGCTCCCAGCATGCCTTTGAGGCAGGCAGAGGTCACCTGCAACAGCCAGCCAATGGCATCCTCATACTTTTGCTGCTTTGGCAAGCTGGGCACCATCTTAATGAAAATAGCTAGGCCTGCTCCCTTGGATCGGATTGGCAGCTGATCAAAGTGGCTGACAAGACTATTCAAAGGAGAAATTATGGGGTGGGGGAGTATATTCATGGGACACACCTAGCATCTACAGGTGACACACTAGTGTGTCACACAGTTTGGAAAGCTCTGCATTACATCTTAAATAGTAGGCAAAGAGTATGCATCACATCTGAAATCCTGCGACTGCGTCCTCCAGAATTCTGGAGCTTGTAGTTTAGGGGAGGGGTATTTAAAATGTCCCAAGATTCTGCAAGAGGCAGCCATGGGATTTCAGTTGGGATGCATACTCTTTCAGCTCTAGTGTGATAACGCCATTAGTCACATCTTGATTTCATTACTGTAATACACTGTGCATGAGGATGGGCTTAATGAAAGTTTGTAAATTTCAACTGTAGTCTGATTACTACTAGACTGATTAAAGACAGCACAGGTTTTTCAGGCTATATGGCCATGTTCTAGAAGCATTCTCTCCTGACGTTTCACCCGCATCTATGGCAGGCATCCTCAGGTGCCTGCCATCTTGTTACAACAATTCCACTAGCTACCAATTTGCTTCTGGGTGCAATTCAAAGTGACGATTTCGATCTATAAAGCCCTATACAGTTCAGGCTTTTTGGCTGGCCGTTATTTTCCCATAAGAGACTTAATGAGTTGCAGGAGAGGCACCTCTCTCTATCCCACCACTTTCACAGCTATGTTTGTTGAGAAAATGGGAGAAGACCTTCTCTATGGTTAGTCCCATGCTTTGGAGCTCTCTCTCCATACATGTTAGGATGGCTCCTTCTTAGTCTTCCTTTCAAGGATAGGTTAAGAACACTTTTTCCAGTAAGATTTTAGAAACTGATTTCAACAAAAAGGACTTTTACGGCACTGTTTTTTTTTTAATGTTTTAGATTTTAACTGGCATTATTTATTTAATTAATTGTGTTGTTTTTTAAATCTTGATTTTGTATGTTTTTAAATACAGTACATGCGTGGAATTCCAGCCTGGGGAAAAGATAAGATATAACGAAAGTAACGGGTGGGATGAAATGGACTGCTATACATTATACTTACTGTTGGTGCAGGAGCCATAATACCCATTGGCACAGGAATCATTGGCGTCCCTATGAAAAGAAGATGTCAATACTTTTAGAGCAAGAATAAACCATAAATCTCTTTTGTGCAAACATGTACATTTGAAAAACTGTAACAATATTCTAAAACAAATGTTTTCACTGTTGACACAAAGCACATGAAAGTATGCTGATAACATTCAACTCTATTTCTTTCCACCTGCTGCTAAGGAGGATGTTCAGGTCCTAAACTGGTGCCTGACAGCTGTGATGATCTGGATGATGGCAAGCAAATTAAAACTGAATCCAGACATGACAGAGGTACTTCTGGTCAGCTGTAAGACCGAACAGGGCATAGGGGTAAAGCCCTGAAGACGCAGGTTTGCAGCTTGGGAGTTCTCCTGAATTTATTGCTGAGCCTGGAACCTCAGGTTTCAGTGGTGGCCACGGAACCAGTTGCACAATTAAAACTTGTGCAACAGCTGTGCCCATACCTTGAGAAGCCAGACTTGGCCTCAGTGGTCCACACTCGTGTCAAATCTCGAATACACTACTGCAACGCATTCTACATGGGGTTGCCTTTGAAGACTGTTTGGAAGCTTCAAGTAGTCCAATGGGCAGCAGCCAGGTTGCTCACTAGAGTGGCATAGAGGGAGCATACGATCCCCCTGTTGCGTCAGCTCCACTGGCTGCCAGTCTGCTACCGAGCAAAATTCAAGGTGCTGGCTTTAGCCTATAAACCCCTAAATGGTGCCAATCCAACTTACCTGTTCTAACACCATCTTTCTTTATGAGCCAGCTAGAACACTAAGATCTACCGGGGAGGCCCTGCTCACAGCCCCGCTGCCTTCGTGGGTGCGATTGGCAGGGACAAGAGACAGGGCCTTCTTGGTAGTGGCCCCTCAGCTGTGGAACTCCCTCCCCCATGAGATTAGATCAGTCCCTCCCTCCTAGCATTTAGGAAACAACTTAAGACCTGGCTATTCAAGCAGGCATTCGGTGAATGACATAAATATGGAAATATGGAAGTAGCTAAAGATAACCTCGGGATTGATGCAAGGTCTAAATGTTTTACATTGTATCTGTGATTGTTGTTTATAGTTTAAATGGTTTTAATCTATTATCATACGCTGTTGATTTGATATGTGATGTTTTTATACATGTGAGGCATTGAATTTTGCCACTGATTATGTTGTGAACCACTCTGAGTGTCCCAAGGGATGAGAAAAGCGGTATATAAATGCAATAAATTAATACATAAATAAATAATCCTGATCTACATGCATTTTTATTAGTGCATTGAAAATATGGCTGTTTTCACAGGCATCTGATATAACTTACCAGGAGGTACAGGTGGAGGAAAACCTGGGAACTGTGGAGGTGGCATTCCAGGTGGAAGAGTTGGGATACCCATAGGAGGGCGATTCAAGTGAGGTGGAAAAGACATGTTTAGCAGTAACCTGGGGGGGGGGGGGGGAAACCAAGGTGATCAGCTTAAAATGTATTCTGCTTTACTGCTGTTACCAGTCTTTATCCATGCTGCTCCCAAATAAATAGCATGCATTAAGCCAAGTAAAAATTATAACTCTACTGATTTGCACCCAAAACAGGACTTATACAATCTGGTGAATCTTCTCAGATGTACCTATCATGGTGCACTCTTCAAAAGTGGTTTCCATTATTCTTCATGCCAATCAAATTGTTAATATGCCATTAAAAAAACAAACACAGACATATAACAAAAGACAGGACAGCTGTTTTTGTGCATTTTTCTCTCAAGATGTATATGAATGATAATAATCACAATCAGTATTCAGAAAACATTAGCTCTTTTTCTCGCAAATGTTAGCTTTTATTGAAACTAGATTAAAAAGCAAGTATCTGGATATGCAGGGCCCCAGTCAGTTAGACCTTCAAAAAAACCAGATACAAAGTTCAGTGAAAATTATACTGGAATATTGCACCCTACAAATGAAAAACTAGGATCAAAAAATGAATAATGCTTCTAAATAGGTAGATAATTGATTTATATCACCTCAGCAGTTATATAATATGATAACATTTGATGGTGTATGTTTGTAACAATAAATCCAGTAGGATCTGGCAAATTAGCCAGAATCATTTCTGTGGCAGATGCAACAGATGCAATCCTTACATTTTATAAGTATATGAGTCGCCTACGGGCCGAGAGAGTGCGGTATACAAATAAAGTAAATAAAATAAATAAATAAATATTTCTAAGTGTATTTTCCACATTTTCTGTTGTGTACTTAAAAGCCATTTCTGATTTTTGTTAACCCTAAGGGTTATTTCTTGGCAAGATTTGTTCAGGAGGGTTTCCCATAGCCAACTTCTGAGATTGAGTGTGATTTGCCAAAGGTCATCCCATGGATTTCCATGGCTGAGCAGGAATTCAAAACCTGGTCTCCACAGTCATAGTTTAAATGCTCAAATCACTACATCATGCTGGCTCATACATTTTACAAAAACATTGTAAAGCCTTAGAATAGACATTCTGAACATTTATTAAACCAATAAATTCTGAATTATTGTCTCTAATTGGATTCTTCTTCTAAGTAGACAATATTCTATCATTCCTCTAAAGGAATAGGTAGAAAGCAGCTATGAAGCCTCCAGTAAATCTCTTGTGAACTTCAGTTCAGAAAGTAAAGACTTCTGATTCCCAAATATTTATTAAGGAAACCAACAAAATTACTTCCTCTTAGTATAAATGCTATATGAATTAAGAAAAACTGGGATAATCAAGAGTAGATGGACTATTAGCTTTGATCATTTCTGGTACTCACAATGAATTCCTAAATCAAGTATTATTTAATTCTAACTGAATGTTTGTATTTCAGGTTCTAATAAAAAGCAAAGCACATCATGTAAAACTGAAACGTGCCCACACATCTTCAAGAACACATTATTCCAAAATACTGTTAATAATAAATATAGCTAAATCCAGTTACTAAGAGATATAGAAGTATGGACTACTATGCAGTATTACAGTTCCTCCAAGGAGGGATAATGTGAAGTATCTGCTCAATTGCAGCAGTCTATAGTCTAGCAGAGATTTGTGTGCTAGAGAAGTTATGGGACTGGAAATAGGGAGCTGGAGGAAGAGGGAGTAAGGAGTATCACCGCTTGGTGCACTCTGCAAGTGGAGTTCTATTTATGAGAACTCTGGCTCTAACCTGAGAAAAGTTAGAACTGTAACATTCTGCTGACTGAACTGCTATTGTCAACTGAACTGAGACCGTTCAATGGGAGGACAATTTGCTTTTCCCTCCTGAAGTTTCCCAATCTTAAAATCTGACCCAGAGAACTGGAGAGCCCTCTTGGTTGGATTTTTAGGAGATTCAGGGGGTTAGAAAGCACAAAGGTACTAATAGATGTCTATGATGTTTGGCCAAAGCCAAACTTAAGAATCCAAGTGTTCAAAAACCTGAAAAAGAAAAAAAATGGATACATGTTGCTTTTACTCTTTGTTAACCGAGATTAAAACTACTTTTAGTTTTTCAAACTTTCTAACTAGGTTGATGTTTCAAAAGCCCTGTAGATTAGTTATATTAGGCTTCTCCAAAGTAACATAAAAACCTGTGACTGAGAATGTTACATTCAGCAATATAATTTAATGGAGACTTCAAAGTTTAGTTTGAGCAATTAAAACATTCTGGGTGGCAAAATATTACTCCTGATTAACTGGCAACAAATTTTTAAAACTGTCGATTTGTTCAAATATTTATCAACTCTGTTAATGAACTGTACTATTTTTAAAAGAGGTCTTATTTAAAAAACAATGCTTGCTACAACATGTGCATAATACAGTTGCATAGCTGTTGCTACAAAAGTAATACAACAATTATATGCAAGTATGTGAAGATGTAATAAAGGTTCATAGACTGGACCGACAGGCCAAGGGCCCACAATATTACCTTCAGCTGTTCGGGGTTTGAGGTTATTTGACAAGACTCTCCTTCTACCAACAGTAGGAGTAGTCTAGTAACTATTATGGAACTGGCCTTTTATGTAATAGTGCTTCTTCTTCTGAACACTATCACTGAATCCATGTTTTAATTATCGTACTTTCACAGTTTGTTGAAAAAAACTTTATTCACACGGTATGTTATTTTCTTGCAGCAATCCTGTAAGAGTAAGAAGCACTGAACACAGCAAGACTTATTTCTGAAGAGATATGTACTATAAATTTGACTAAAACGTTTAGAAAATCTAAATGCTATGACTATTCTCAAAGAATATGGAAACTAGTCCTGGATAGGTTACGTGTTCCCAGAGTATGTTGAATCGAATTTTGGATGCTGTGATATTATTGTTAATAATGTTTTTAACTGCCTATTTATATTTAATGTTTTAGTCAATGTTTTAATTGTGTTTTATTGCTATGTTGTGTGTTGGCATTAAACTGTTGCCAGTGTAAGCTGCCCTGAGTCCCCCCCTTGGGGGTTGAGAATGTCTGAAATAAATAAATAAATAAATAATATATCTAACTTGCGTAAATGGTAAGTTTTAAGTAAGTTTTGTAATAATAAACAGATTACACACAAATTTGTTATAGTTTTAGTAATAAGAACCATATAAAAACTTTTAAAAATACATATGTATATACCTTACAGTACCCATATGGAATGTGTTTTATGTTTACTTCAAAAATGTTAGTTTAATCATTATTTTGTAATCTGGTGGCCTCCAGACACCCTAGCGGCCTACAAATCTCATTTCAATCCTTGTCTGAGCTGTTGATTGTAATAAATTATTCGTTCATTCCAATCCAACAATGTTAGTTACAATTCATACACCTACAAGACACAAGGTATAGTAAAGACTACCGTAATGTAATCAGCTTACACTAGAATACAGCTTAGGTTTAACAGATGTCATCTGAGCTGGACTAATAAGACAAAAACTATTACCATATTTACTCAAATTTAATCCTCAACTTTTTTGGCTAAATGACCTTGCCAAAATTGGGGTGTGCATTAGATTCACGTCATATGGCAATCTTAGTGTTGAGACAAAGCAAAAGGGGGAGCTGCACCTGGAGCTCCTCTTTGAGGGATATCATCTCTAATTAAATGGACATGGCTCAATGCTATGAAATTCTGGGATTTGTAGTTTGGCGGGGTATTTATTTATTTATTTATGGCATTTATATGCCGCCCTTCTCACCCCGAAGGGGACTCAGAGCGGCTTACAATATGTATCTTCAGTTTGGCAGGGTACCAGCATTCTTTGGAAGAGAAGGCTTAAAACCTTGTCAAACTAGTCCCAGGACTCCATAGCATTGAACCATGTGGATTCATTCTACAGTATAGATGCACCCCAAGGACTAACTTTCCATTGCTGGAAACATTGGTATTCTAACACAATTGTTTAGTTAATAATGAAGGAATTCTAAGCGGGCAGCAACTGTAATGCACATCCCCCCCTCATCACAAAGATCACACTTTTTGTTGCTGTACATTACATTCAGCAGCAACTTTATTCATTTATTTATTTGCATTAGATTCAATGGCCTATTAGATTTGAGCAAACATGGGGTCAATGTAGATACAACATAAGACTTTTTTTGGTCTCACCAACTTGTGATCTAAAACACAAACGGGCAAGCTAAGAATAGGTGGAAACTATAAACAATTGCTGTTTTAATCTAGCCAGTGCACAATGATGATGAACCAGGTAGCTGAAATATTTATAATGTGATTTTACAAGATTTCTCTAAAGATGCTTTATGATTTACACAGGATCTCCCAGCACTGAACTGGACTTTCAGTCTAATTCATGCACAGCTTCATGGGAATTCAATTTCAAGCAAATACTTTTAAAAATTAAAGTGTTTTAAATAAATTTTATGGAAGTCTTCTACTCCATCTACAAAACATCACAATGAATCACCTTTACTAAGAAGAAAATACTACCTTAAAGCAATTACGATGGCTCTGTTCTATAATATGAGTAAAAACTGTACAAATCCTAAAAAGCCATGTTTTTGTTTTAAAGCCTGTGATACTTAGGGTTCTTTGACACAGCTCTGGGAAGTCTCTCATTCAGAAGTCAAAGGGCCCTCCCACACAGCCCTATATCCCAGAATATCAAGGCAGAAAACCCCACATTATCTGAGTGTGGTCACAGATAACCCAGTTTAAAGGGATTTTCTGCCTTGATATTCTGGGATATAGGGCTGTGTGGAAGGGCTCTTAAGAGATGTAGGAGATCAAAGACAATAAGTCAGTATGCATAAGTAGACTGGGGCCCCCTCCACAGTCATATAACCCAGCATACCAAGGCAGAAATTCCCACAATATCTGCTTTGAATTGGGTTATCCACACTGCCATATATTCCAATTCAAAGAAGATAATGTGGGATTTTTATTCATCTGTGTGGAAGGGGTCTGGGTTAAAAAATGGTATTTCAGGTTCCTTCCACATAGCTGAATTAAATCCCACATTTTCTGCTTTGAACTGGACATATGGCAGTGTGGACTCAGATAATCCAGAAGCAGATATGGGACCATTCTACACAGCCCTTTTGTTGTTCATTAGTTCAATCGTTTCTGACTCTTTGTGACCTCATGGACCAGCCCACGCCAGAGCTCCCTGTCGGCCATCATCACCCCCAGCTCCTTCAAGATCAATCCAGTCATTTCAAGGATGCCATCCATCTTGCAGCCCTATATCCCAGAATATCAAGGCAGAAAATCCCACATCATCTGAATGTAGACTCAGATAACCCAGTTCAAAGCAAATATTGTTGGATTTTCTGCCTTGATATTCTGGGATATAGGGCTGTGTAGAAGGGCCCTTTGTGGGATTTCTGCCTTGATATTCTGGATTATATGGCTGTGTGGGAGGGCCCTCAGAAAGCTTCAGTCTTCGATCTATATCTTGCTCAGACATCTGTCCTTAAATGAGCAAAAAAACCTACAAAGGAAGATTGCAAAGAGAAATTGGAACCCATCCATAGCAGGCAAAGCAGAGACAAGGATCCTTTGGCACACTAATATAATATTAGTTAACAAGCCAGATTCATGAGGGGCCCTTAACCAATTTATCATATCTCCTTTCTTGCAGTAAACTACATTCCAGTCACTACCTCCACATTCATATGATTATCCATGCACCTTGTCCTTAGGCAATACCTTCCTTCCTGCCTTTGTTTCCAATCATTAATACTGAACTTATCACCTTACCACCATAACCACACGTTTTGCATTTCTATGGGGATTCACACAAACTCAGGGCCCTTCCACACAGTCATATAACCCAGAATATCAATGCAGAAAATCCTACAATATCTGCTTTGAACTGGGTTATCTGAATCCGTACTATCATATATTCCAGTTCAAAGCAGAATATGTGGGATTTTATTCAACTGTGTGGAAGAGGCCACAGTCTACCTATAAAGTTCAGTTCCTAGGCATTTCACTCTATGCATCTGAGGAAGTAGACTTAGGGTGCATCAACACTGTAGAATTAATGCAGTTTGCCACCACTTCAGCTGCCATGTCTCAAGTGAGAGATGCACCAGCACTCTTTTGCAGAAAAAACTAAAGACATAGAAAAATTACACTTTTGTGCCATGGCAATTAAAGTGATGTCAAATTGCACTAATTCTACAGTGCAGATTCAACCTTTGTCTACAGAAGCTGATCCTACCAACTTCTTTCTCTCAGGTATGTTTCCCTTTGCATATGCATATATGGTTATGTCTTTGAATGTCTTATACTTCACATGATATCTAACATCCCTGAGACATTTGTGGTAGTTGCACATCCCAACAATTCTCTACACTTTGTGCAGGATCTGAAGGTACACCCACACTGCAGAATTAATGAAGTCTGACACCACTTTAACTGACATGGTGAAGCACCAGCCCTTTTGGGCAGAGAAAAATATCTCCTCTCATGATGTTGGATCTATATTAAAATGGTGCCAAAATGACAGAAGTGTGAAAGATCTTCAACCTATATGTTGTTCATTCGTTCAGTCGTCTACGACTCTTCGTGACCTCATGGACCAGCCCACGCCAGAGCTCCCTGTCGGCCGTTACCACCCCCAGCTCCCTCAAGGTCAGTCCAGTCACTTCAAGGATGCCATCCATCCATCTTGCCCTTGGTCGGCCCCTCTTCCTTTTGCCTTCCACTTTCCCCAGCATAATTGTCTTCTCTAGGCTTTGCTGTCTCCTCATGATGTGGCCAAAGTACTTCAACTTTGTCTCTAGTATCCTTCCCTCCAGTGAGCAGCCGGGCTTATTTCCTGGAGGATGGACTGGTTGGATCTTCTCGCAGTCCAAGGCACTCTCAGGACTTTCCTCCAACACCACAGCTCAAAAGCATCTCTCTTCCTTCGCTCAGTCTTCCCTAAAGTCCAGCTCTCACATCCTTAGGGAAGACCATGGCTTTGACTAGGCAATGGATCTTTGTTGCCAGTCTGATGTCTCTACTCTTGACTATTTTATCGAGACTGGACATGGCTCTCCTCCCAAGAAGGAAGCGTCTTCTGATTTCCTGGCCTACAGTCTGCATCTGCAGTAATCTTTGCACCTAGAAATACAAAGTCTGTCACGGCCTCCACGGTTTCTCCCTCTATTTTCCAGTTGTCAATCATTCTTGTTGCCATAATCTTGGCTTTTTTGACGTTTAGCTGCAACCCGGCTTTTGCGCTTTCTTCTTTCACCTTGATTAGAAGGCTCCTCAGCTCCTCCTCGCTTTCGGCCATCAGAGTGGTGTCATCTGCATATCTGAGGTTGTTAATGTTTCTTCCAGCAATTTTCACCCCAGCTTGCATTCATCAAGCCCCGCACATCGCATGATGTGTTCTGCATACAAGTTAAAAAGGTTGGGTGAGAGGATGCAGCCTTGCCGCACGCCTTTCCCAATCTTGAACCAGTCTGTTGTTCCATGGTCAGTTCTGACTGTTGCTACTTGGTCCTTGTACAGATTCCTCAGGAGAGAGACAAGGTGGCTTGGGATGCCCATCCCACTAAGAACTTGCCACAATTTATTATGATCCACACAGTCAAAGGCTTTAGAATAGTCAATGAAGCAGAAGTAGATGTTTTACTGAAACTCCCTGCCTTTCTCCATTATCCAGCGGATATTGGCAATCTGGTCTCTCGTTCCTCTGCCTTTTCTGAACCCAGCTTGAACATCTGGCAACTCTCGCTCCATGTATTGCTGGATTCTTCCTTGAAGGATCTTGAGCATTACCTTACTGGCATGAGAAATAAGGGCCACTGTACGGAAGTTGGAGCAGTCTTTCGCATTTCCCTTTTTTGGTATGGGGATATAAGTTGATTTTTTCCAGTCTGATGGCCATTCTTGTGTTTTCCATATTTGCTGGCAAATGGCATGCATCACCTTGACAGCATCATCTTTTAAGATTTTAAACAGTTCAGCTGGGATCCCGTCGTCTCCTGCTGCCTTGTTGTTAGCAATGATTCTTAAGGCCCATTCAACCTCACTCCTCAGGATGTCTGGTTCTAATTCACTCACCACACCGTCCAAACTATCCTCAATATTATTATCCTTCCTATACAGATCTTCTGTATAGTCTCGCCACTTCTCTTGATCTCTTCAGCTTCTGTTAGGTCCCTGCCATCTTTGTTTCTTATCATACCAATTTTTGCCTGAAATTTACCTCCAATGTTTCCAATTTTCTGGAAGAGGTCTCTTGTCCTTCCTATTCTGTTGTCTTCCTCCACTTCCATGCATTGCTTATTTAAAAATAGTTCCTTATCTCTTCTGGCTAACCTCTGGAATTGCGCATTTAACTGGGCATATCTCCCCTTATCCCTGTTTCCTTTTGCTTTCCTCCTTTCTTGGGCTACTTCCAGTGTCTCAGCAGACAACCATTTTGCCTTCTTGGTTTTCTTTTTCTTTGGGACGTACTTTGTTGCCGCCTCCTGAACAATGTCGCGGACTTCTGTCCATAGTTCTTCTGGGACTCTGTTTACTAAATCTAGTCCTTCAAATCTGTTCTTCACTTCCACTGTATATTCGCTAGGGATGTTAGTGAGATCATATCTAACTGGTCTGTGTATTTTCCCTGATCTCTTTAGTTTTATTCTAAATTGAGCAATAAGAAGTTCGTGATCTGAGCTACAGTCAGCCCCAGGTCTTGTTTTCACCGACTGGATGGATGTCCGCCACCTTTGTCTGCAAAGGATGTAGTCAATCTGATTTCGGTGTTGACCTATATAGGAACTTGTAATATTTGAAATAATAGAGCAAATACACTTCCTGAACAGTCTGAAAAGAGAAAGATCTCTCTCAACTCATATAATGGCAATAGAAGTTTGTGTTTGAAGTCTGTTGTCAATGTTGACTTCTATAGCATATGATTTCAAGTTCTTTTATTTACTGTTATGCTATTCCATTGGCTCTTCTGCAGCTCGAGAATGGTTTAATAGTGTGACATACTAGGTCTGGAGTAAGTGGCAATTCATTTACATGTCTCAACAAACACATCTGCTCTGTTCAAAGCTGCAGATAATTTGTATTCACTTCTATCTTAACCCATTACTTCTGTATAAGCGGCTGAGAGGGAAAAGGAAGGGGCCTGAGGCTGTTAGGAATGGTGGGAGTTGGAAATCCAATACAACATGCCTGGTGTAGAGGCATCCTAAGTCTCTCCACTCACACGTGCTCTTCTAAACGGGCCGCCCAGTTTCAGGCGAAATAAAGTCCCCACTACACTGTCATAAAATGCAGTTTGAAACTACATTGTGTTATGATTATGATTGTTTGAACTGCATTTTAACTGCATTATATGGCAGTGTGGATAGGGCCTTAGCCTGGATGGGGATTGAGGCCGCCTGATACAAAGCCCGCCTCCTTTAGTGGCCCCAACTGTTTTTGTGTTTTCAATGAAAGGGCCTGCCTGCGTCGCCCAACCCTTCAACCCCTGAAAGCGGAGAGAATCCTCTCCCTTCCCTCCCGGCCTGAGGCACCGAAGGAAGCCATTCCCAGCCCGTTCCCGCCCCCCACACCACAGCAGCGCGCCCCGTTTCCGCAGCCGCCCCTGCCCAGTCCTCCCCGTTCCTCACCGCAAAGGGCCGCCGGAGGAAGCGAGGCCCGTCCCACTCGACGCCCCTGAACCCGGCAAAGGCGAGTAGGCCGCGAACGCACCGCGCACAGCCTCCCCAAACGACGACGACGCGTGACGCTCCTGGTCATGTGACAGGCCGCGCCGGCGTCCGAAGGCCCGCCCGCGCGCCACCCCATTGGCTCGCCGTAGGTCTGCGGCGTGACGTCACGGTGAAAGAGTCGTTTCTCAGACCGCGCTGTCTGCGCATGCGTGTTGCTGGACCCTTCTTTTCCCTCCTTGGGAGGCTGGGCTAGGAATGCACTTCCGGGCCAGATGGGACTATGTTTGGAGGAAGGAATATTCAACCTCAATGTTGCCATTTTATATTTCTATATAGTTTTGCACATCATATGAACTAATTCGGGTATCAATGGAGGTCCTCAAAGCAAAATAATCAGGTCCTACTGTTTTGTTTTGTTTGTGTCAGAAGCGACTTGAGAAACTGCAAGTTGCTTCTGATGTGAGAGAATTGGCCATCTGCAAGGATGTTGCCCAGGATGTTTTACCATCCTTGTGGGAAGGCTTCTCTCGTGTCCCCTCATATGGAGCTGGAGCTGACATAGGGAGCTCATCCACACTTTCCCCGGATTCGAACCTGCGACCTGTCGGACTTCAGTCCTGCCGGCACAAGGATTTAACCCACTACGCCACCGGGGACTCCTTGGCCCTAGTGTTGGATTATGACTAATACTATGGGTGCATCTGCACTGTAGAGTTAATGCGGTTTGGCACCGCTATAAGTGCCATGGCTCGATGCTATGGAATCCCTGGGGTTTGGCTGACACTATTTGGCTGAGAAGTCTAACAGATTTGTGATAGATCTAGAAAGAGAGAAGGGAAATGGCGTGAGGGCTCCGCCGCCATGTTTCCTGTGGGCAGCCAGACTCATGACGGGTTTGCAGACAGACGCCATCTTGAGGTCATTCTTGGGTCTGTTTGGAGGCTCAACTATGGAAACTCGCGAGGAAATGTCTTCGTTTTTGTTCGCCTTCATTCCTTCGCAAACAGCATGCCATCATTAGAAGGGAAAACAAAACAGATGATCCAAGAGCCCTCTTCGTCTTTTTCAACAGGAAAAGAAAGAAGGGTGGGAAAGAAGGAATCTCTTTGAAGCACCTTTTGAAGGTCAATTTTTGGTTCATCTGCTGTTGGTCTCAGTCCAGGGTTTTCCCCCCCTCAGATTCTTCAGAGGATTTCCACCCAACATTTCTGGTGGTGTTGCTGGCTTGAATCAAAATATAATTTGAACACGGTTTTTACACCATTGCGCTGTTTGATTTTATCCAACAATATAGAATCATTAGTTGGAAGAGACTGCATGGGCTTTCCAGTCTTACCCACTGCCAAGAAGCAGGAAAATTGCATTCAAAGCACTCCTAACAGATGGCCTTCCAGCCTCTGCTTGAAGGCCTCCAAAGGCCTTTAAGCCCCACACACCACACTCCCACCACATTCCTGGGCAGAGAACATTGTAAGAAGATCTGTTTTCAAAGGCTTTCATGGCCGGAATCACTGGGTTGTGAGTTTTCTGGGCCATGTTCCAGAAGTATTCTCTACTGACGTTTCACCCAGATCTATGGCAGGCATCCTCAGAGGTTGTGAGGTCTGTTGGAAACTGGGCAAGTGGGGTTTATATATCAATAACCATAGCAGACACGCACTGGAACACCCCAGAAAGCGAGAGTCCAAAAGTGGCAGGCTCAAACCCAGAACCTCAACCAATGGCTGATACCAAATGAGAGACTCCCCCCTGGGCACACAAAAAACTGGGCGACTTGGAAGGCGCTGAACAGACTGCGTTCTGGCACCATGAGATGCAAGGTCAATCTTAAGAAATGGGGCTACAAAGTGGAATCCACGACATGCGAGTGTAGAGAAGAGCAAACCACTGACCAACTGCTGCAATGCAGCTGCAATGCAACCTGAGCCCTGCTACATGCACGATGGAGGACCTTCTTATAGTAACACCAGAGGCACTCCAGGTGGCCAGCTACTGGTCAAAGGACATTTAATCAACTACCAAGCTTGCAAATGCTGTGTTTTGTCTGTCTGTTTGTTTGTTTGTTTTTGTTAAAAATGTAATAACAGATGTCTGGTTGCTGATGACACGATAAATAAAACCATAGCAGAGCACTTCATGAACTAACCTGGACTCAGCATATTATTTGAGAATGCAGAAATGCTAGACCGCACTAACAACTACCATGTCAGACTACACAGAAAAGCCATTGAAACCCACAAGCATGGGGACAATTTCAACAGAAAGGAGGAAACCATGAAAATGAACAAAATCTGGCTACCAGTATTTAAAAAAAACAAAACTAAATTCAGGGCAGTAAGTAAAGAGCAACATTCAAACAACAGAATTCCAGACAAGAATCAATCAGGGCTAGCTAACATCTCTCAACAAAGGATTCCCACAGGCAGCAACCAGCCAAGCTTTGAAGCTACAATGCTAATCAGGCTGGCCGATTGGAACATTCACACTTGCCTCCAACACACAAGAGGTCTTTATCTCACCCTGGACATCCCACAGATGTATAATCCTCACTTGCCTAGTTTCCAACAAACCTAACAACCTCTGAGGATGCCTGTCATAGATGTGGGTGAAACGTCAGGAATAATGCTTTTGGAGCAAGGCCCAGAAAATTCATAGCAAGCCACTGTAAGAAGAATTGAATGAAAATCGTCAGAAGAATATGAAAAAAAAAACTGGGCCCAGTTTACACAGTGAGGCAAATTGTGATAATGTCCATAAATTTTTTCCAAAATCATGTATAAGATTATTCAGGTCAAAGACCAAAGACCAGGAAAATTAAAAAGATTAGAGAGAGAGAGAGCTGGATTGAATTACCTGTATTTATTTGGTTCTGAGACAACATTGATTGTAAACTGCACACTTATTTTAGTATCATCAACAGAAAAAAAGCACTTACAGGCAGTCCTCAATTTAGACATACCTCGTTTTTAGAAATATTTGTAGAAGAAAAGACATACCTCGTTTTTAGAAATATTTGTAGAAGAAAAACACATGTCTTAGAATCAAAGTATATTAACAGCTTGCAGTCCATGAGGAGAGGTATGAACAAAGACAATGGCCTCATGGCATACTACATACATAATGCAAGAGTCCTTGCTACCACAAATACATTTTGAACCTGGGAAAACTGACTTGGTTAGCAGGTTTATTGCTTCCATGCAGCCACACTGACTTTCTACTATAAAGGTCTGAAAGACCTGTTTTGTCTCTTTCGGCCCTTTGAAAAATTAGGGCAAGGGATGTGATTTCCATCTTTCTGGAAACAATTACATTCTATACCATTCTCAAATCTGTAAATACGTTTTCAAACTGTGAGACGAGACACTTTATTGGGTAGATATGTAATGATATGTAATGGAAACATAACGAGAAGCCTCTGAATCTGAGGATTTAATAAAAAATGCCTCCACCTTCATAAGTCCTCAACAGATGGCAGTATGCGGCAGGTACTGGCTTGTTCAGTAGATTATCCTCTACAGTTCCATTTTGGTGGGAAGCCTTAGTATTGAATGGTTGTGTTGTTAAAGTACAAAGTTAAAGTACAAAGTATTGTGTTGTTAAAGTACAAACCCTGTGCAGACGGTCAGTCAATGTGACTTAAGCAATGTGCAGTCATTGAATTCTTGACAGAAGGTGTCACCTCAACATCTTTAAACTTACTCGCCCAATGGCGCACAGTACTCACATCAACACAATCACCATAAACAGCTTGCATTCTCTGATGAATCTCCTATGGGGTGACACTTTCTGCTGTCAATAATTCAATGACTGCACATTGCTTAAGTTGCATTGACCGACCGTACCAGTATTGCCATCTGTTGAGAAAATCTAGTGTACAGTTGGGAATGATGCAGAAAAGATCAGCCTAAATAATCCAAAGACTTCTACAACTCTAGGACAAAAGTTCACAGTTTGAGGATGTTGAGTTTTTAAAAAGGATGAAAAAAGGAAATACGTTTGTGTGTATATATGTGTGTGCGCGCACGTGCCTTAAAATTGCCTGTTGACTTATGGCACCCCACTAATTTCAGAGGATTTTCTTATTTTATTTTTTTGGCTGCAGGACTTCACCAGCATCTCTTCAGATTTTCCCTCTCTGGGTGTTATTATTATCATTATTATTATTATTATTATTATTATTTTGCCATATTTATATCCCGGCCTTCTCAACTCCAAAGAGGATTCGGAGCAGTGCACAAAGAGACAATTCAATACCATACATACAATTCATATCCAGCAAATTAAAAATAATAATAAAACCCAATAAAAATATCCAACATTAACATTATTAAAATCACATAATCCAATATCGTAGTCCAGGCTGTTCCAGTTACCATTGCACCATTCCATGTTCACATATTGCACTACTCAGTTATCCAAACACCTGTTACCACATCCAAGTTTTAATTTTTTTCCTAAAGGTGAGGAGGGATGGGACCAATCTGATGTCATTAGGGAGGGAGCTCCACAGCCGAGGGGCCACCACCAAGAAGGCTCTGTATCTCGTCCCTACCAACCACACTTGCAAAGGAGGTGGGACCGAGCGCAGAGCTTCCCCAGAAGATCTTAATCTCTGAGATGGTTCACAGAGGGAGATGCATTTGGATAGATAGGCTGGGCCAAAACCTACTTCCTATTGTGGTGATCTTTGTTTTTATCGTTATATTCATACCTGACAAAGAAGAAGCATCAGTTTTTAAACATGTCAGTTATCAATGGATAAACAAATTACTTGCAGCACTACAACTCTTGCTCCTTGTTTCTTAATTCACCAAGATCTGGTTCCTTTGGAGCCATCTCCTTGTTAATCTACCTAACTAGGTTTCAATCGCTAGTAAATTCTACAGTTTAACTATGCAGTGTGATGAGTAGTGCCTTTCGTCTGCTCTGAATCTTTTGCTATTCACCTTCACGGGATGTCCCTGGGTTGGTTAGTCTATTTATTACCATTTTATATCCTGTGCTATATCACAATATCCAATGAAAATATAGACTTCACAGAGTGAGGGTCCTAACCAGAGGCGTAGTTAACACGATGACAATAGCTACTTGATCTGTTACAGCCTTCTTCTGCTTTCACAGCTGTTGTAACACGTACCATGTTATCTTACGCCTGATCCGCCATTGAGGTCTTCAGACTGTGCTCAGTCTGGAACCTCCCCTGCAGTCCCCCGGGAGTGCATGACTGGTGATTACATCAGCATGTTAATTGGAACATGCAAGCCCCCTCACCACGTCAAGGTGACAATATAATAATAATAATAATAATAATAATAATAATAATAATAATAATGACTTTATTTTTATACCCCGCCTCCAACTTCCCGAAGGAACTCGGGGAGCTTACATGGGGCCATGCCCAACAGAACGGTTAAGGCATAATACATTAAAATGCATATCAACAAGGTGATAACAAAAACAATATAACAAAATAAACAGCAACATTGAACAGTATATAAAACAACATCAAAACCAAACAACCAGAAGCAAAGTTCAATGTCTCGTCAAGGATGGGTGGACTGGTGCCAAACATTAAAGGATAGTGTTGTATGTCAGCCTGTGATTGAGTCTGATGATCAGGTTGCTTTGGATGATGGGAATGAGAATTATATTCAGAATTATATTCCAGAGTCGGAGGGCCACAGTGGAGAAGGCTCTCTCCCTAGTGCCCACAAGGCGAGCTTGTGAAACTGGCAGGGGCAAAAGGAGGGCTTTCCCCGAAGATTGGAGGACTCGGGCTGGTTCATGGAGGGAGATACGGTCACAAAGGTAGGCTCCTCCAGGTCCTAAACCGTTTAGGGCTTTATAGGTGATGACCTGCACCTTGAATTGGGCCCGGAAAATAAACGGCAGCCAGTGGAGCTCTTTAAACAGGGGAGTCGACCGTTCCCTGTAACTAGCTCCAGTTATTAATCTGGCTGCCGAATGTTGGACAAGTTGTAGGTTTCGGGCCGTCTTCAAGGGTAGCCCCACGTAGAGTGCATTGCAGTACTCTAGTCTAGAGGTAACTAAGGCATGGACCACCATGGTCAAGTCAGACTTCATGAGGTAAGGTTGCAGTTGGTGCATGAGTTTTAATTGTGCAAAGGCTCTCTCGGCCACCTCCGACACCTGTGCATCAAGCGTCAGCACTGAATCCAGGAGGACCCCCAAACTGCAGACCTGTGACTTCAGGGGGAGTGCAACCCCGTCCAGCACAGGTTGCAACCCAATACCCCGGACAGATGGGCGACTGACCTGGAGGAACTCTTGTCTTGTCAGGATTGATCCTCAACTTCCTCATCCAGATCGTCACAGCAGCCAGGCACTGGTCCAGTATCCTCGGGGCTTCCTTGGAGTTTGGTGGAAATGAGTAGTGGAGTTGGGTGTCATCTGCGTAGGGATGGCACCATACTCCACAACTCCGGATTACCTCTCCCAGCGGTTTCATGTAGATGGTGAATAGCATGGGGGACAGAATAGAGCCTTGCAGGATCCCACAGATCAATGGCCAGGAGTCCCCCAGCTTCACCAACTGGGAATGACCCTCCAGGAAGGACCAGAGCCACAGTAAAACCGTGCCCCCAAGACCCATCCCAGCTAGTCTTCCCAGAAGGATACCATGGTCGATGGTATTGAAAGCCACTGAGATATCCAAGAGAACAAGCAGGGTCACACTCCCCCTGTCTAGTTCCCTGCGGGGGTCATCCACCAAGGTGACCAAAGCCATCTCGGTACTGTGCCCAGGCCTAAAGCCAGACTGTGAACGATCCAGAAAATCGGTGTCATCAAGGAATCCCTGAAGCTGCGAGGCCACCGCCTGCTCCAGAACTTTGCCCAAGAAAGGGAGGTTGGAAATTGGTCTGTAGTTGTTACATACCATTGGGTCAAGGGAGGTTTTCTTTAATAGAGGTTTTACCACCGCCTGCTTGAGGCAGGACGGGAATTTTCCCTGGCCCAAAGAAGCATTTATTATTGCAACAAACCATTCCAACCTTTCTCTGGCGAGGGCAAGAATTCAGAGTGCAAGTGGTCGCTCCTACCGTCCCAAGGATCCCCTCCATGTCATTAGGAAGAACAAGGCGGAAAGAATCCCATAAGATCAAACAGACAGGTGCCTCAGTTACCTCATCTGGCCCTGCATTTAAACTGGAGTCCAGCTCAAGACGTATCTGAGCAACTTTGCCTGCAAAATGGTGCGCAAAATCGCTGCACCAGGTTGCCGAGTCATCAGGGAGCACCCCAACCTCAGGAGGCCGGAGGAGCTCCCCAACAACTCAGAACAACTCTGAAGGTCTATTTGCTGCAGATGCTATGTGAGCAGTCGAGAATACTTTCTTGGCTGCTCACAAAGCCAAGAATAGCAGCTTTAGCCCATGCTTGGTCAGATTAGTCACAAGATTTTCTCTAGATCAGGGGTCCTCAAACTATGGCCTGGGGGTCATAGTTTACGGCCCTCCAAGGTCATTTACCCGGCCCTCGCTCAGGGTCAACCTAAGTCTGAAACGACTTGAAAGCACACAACAATCCTATCTCATCAGTCAAAAGCAGGCCCATACTTCCCAATGAAATACTAATAAGTTTATATTTGTTAAAATTGTTCTTAATTTTAATTATTGTACTGTTGTAAAGTGTTTTTTTGCACTACAAATAAGATACGTGCACTGTGCATAGGAATTCATTCTTTTTTTCCCCAAATTATAATCCGGCCCTCCAACAGTTTGAGGGACTATGACCTGGCCATCTGTTTAAAAAGTTTGTGGACCCCTGCTCTAGATGCACTCTAGACTCCCCTCCAGCGCTTTATCATAGCCAGCTCCTCGGTGAATCAAGGAGTCGGTGTGACTCTACTCCTAGCAATCTTCCAGATAGACAAGATATATAGATCAGATAGAGATAGATAGTAGATCAATCAGTCAGGAGGACTGCTGGGAGTTACAGTCCAAGAATAGGTAGAGAAGGAAGAAAGGAGATAAAGAAAAAAATGAGGGAACGTAGGAAAGAGGTAGACACCTCAGAATTAGACCTCAGAATGACCATATTCCTATTTTATAGTAAACCCAAATAATAGAGTGAGTTGTTCGTTTGTTTTTTTAAGGAAAGAAAAAAAGAAATGAAGGAAAGAGGGAGGGATGGAGGGAAGGAAGCAGAGAAAGAAAGAAAGAAGGAGAGAAAGAGGGAGGGAAGGTTGGCCACAGCAACGTGTGGCGGGTACAGCTTGTACATACTAAAACAACCAGCACATATTTGTGAATGTAAACAAAACGTATGATTTTAGTAAATTTAAAATACTTTAAAAATATATAATTTGTTGTTGTTGTTCATTCGTTCAGTTGTTTCCGACTCTTCGTGACTTCATGGACCAGTCCACGCCACAGCTCCCTGTTGGTCGTCACCACCCCCAGCTCCTTCAAGGTCAATCCAGTCACTTCAAGGATCCCATCTATCCATCTTGGCTTGGTTGGCCCCTCTACCTTTTTCCTTCCATCTTCCCCTGCATCATTGTCTTCTCAAAGCTTTCCTTTCTTCTCATGATGTGGCCAAAGTATGTACTTCATCTTGGCCTCTACTATTCTTCCCTCCAATGAGCAGTCAGGCTTTATTTCTTGGGGTATGGACTGGTTTAATTAATGCTATAATTTATTTATTTATTTATTTATTTACTTTGCTTCTATACCGCTGTTCTCAGCCCGAAGGTGACTCACAGCGGTTCACAAGACACAGAACACAGCAGAATTCAACACCAATATAAAACAGTTAACAACCTAGTCTAATATACAATTAATACACAATTACTACAATAACCATTCACTGGCGTCTCGTCACTAAAAACATGATCCAGATTCGTCATCCATTGTTCATTCCTATGTCATTACCAGTCTTTGCACTAATTATTCGAACGCCTGCACAAATAACCAGGTCTTTACTTTCTTGCGGAAGACCATTAGCGGTGGTGCTAATCTAATATCTTTGGGAAGGGCGTTCCACAGCCGGGAAGCCACCACCGAGAAGGCCCTGTCTCTCGTCCCCGCCAGCCGTGCTTGTGAAGCTGGCGGGATCGAGAGCAGGGCCTCCCTGGAAGATCTCAAAGTCCTGGTGGGTTCATAGGCCGAGATGCGGTCGGAAAGGTAGCTTGGGCCGGAACTGTTTAGGGCTTTAAAGGTCAACGCCAGCACTTTGAATTGAGCCCGGTAGTAAGTTGGCAGCCAGTGGAGTTGGCGCAACAGGGGGGTTGTATGCTCCCTGCGTCCCGCTCCTGTTAGTATCATGGCTGCCGAGCGTTGGACTAGTTGAAGCTTCCGAGCTGTCTTCAAAGGCAACCCCACGTAGAGAGCGTTGCAGTAATCTAGGCGGGATGTAACCAGAGCGTGGACTACCGTGGCCAAGTCAGACTTCCCAATTTAGCATCCATAAATACATCATGACTCTTATAAATAGGTCAGTATCATAGATGGGTCGTAATTATTCCTTAAATGCTGCAAGTTCCCCAACGCAGCCCTATCCCCACTGCACGACACACTCAGTCAAAAACATCCCCCCCTGCCCTGAGACCAGCTTCGAAACTACACCTCCCGGCATGCCTTGCGGCTCCCTTCCCCTGCTTCCGGCCGCTCCTATGCGGGCTGGTAGTCCTCTCCCCATTCGGAGTGCGCCAGCATCCCAGGCCCCGAAGACTACATTTCCCACGATGCAGCGGGCCTTTTTTCTTCTTCCCCTCCTCGGCCGCTCACCTTCCTGTCTGAGGGGGAAAAAATAACCCTGAAGTTTCCTGCCATCAGCTGATCCTCAGTGACAACAAGGGAGGAAGGGGGAGAAGGGCTGCGGACTGGTCCGGATCGCGATCCCTCTCCCGGGGGCTCCAGTTCTTCCTTCCATGGTGGGCTCCCAATTCCCTTGCGGGGAAAGCAGGACTCGCCTTTCCCCTCCTTTGCTGCCGAGAGGAGGAGACTGGGCGCCGATGACTTAGTCACCGAGACTTGCAGGGAGGAAGAGGAGGAGAAGGAAGGGAGGAAGGAAGGAAGGAAGGAAGGAAGGAAGAAAGGAGCCTGCTGTTTTGTAAACAATAGATCGGCCTGTTTCGTTCCCAGGCATGGTTTGTCATTGCTTTTTATTTCATCTCTTCATTCCCCTCATAGTCTTGTTTATAGGAAGATTTGCTACTTCACCAACAATAACACTTAGTCATTCCTGTAATCTCTTGTACCTAATGTAACTTCAATGAGCCATCTGTTAGGTATGGATTTTGTCATTTGTACTTATTTCAAGTATACTGATATGGAACTATTTACTGGGTTTGAAGTGAGCCACAAGTGTAAGTATGTTCTGGTAAGTATGTTTTGCTCTCACTCTTGTTGGGTTAAACATTTCTTAAACAACAATAACAACAACAACAGTAATAATAATTTGAAACACAACAAAATTAGTACACAGCAAACAAGACCATTATTATTATTATTATTATTATTATTGTATTTGGGGGGTTGTAAGTTTTTTCGGGCTATATGGCCATGTTCTAGAGCAGGGGTCCACAAACTTTTTAAATAGAGGGCCAGGTCACAGTCCCTCAAATTGTTGGAGGGCCAGATTATAATTTGGAAAAAAAAAGAATGAATTCCTATGCACACTGTACATATTTTATTTGTACAGCAAAAATCACTTTAAAACAATACAATAATTAAAATGAAGAACAATTTTACCAAATATAAACTTATTAGTATTTCAAGGGAAGTGTGGGCCTGCTTTTGGCTGATGAGATAGGATTGTTGTTGTTGTTGTTGTGTGCTTTCAAGTAGTTTCAGACTTAGGTTGACCCTGAGTGAGAGCCGGGTAAATGACCTTGGAGGGCTGCATCCGGTCCCCGGACCTTAGTTTGAGGACCCCTGTTCTAGAGGCATTCTCTCCTGATGTTTCGCCTGCATCTATGGCAGGCATCCTCACAGGTTGTGAAGTCCTCACAACCTCTGAGGATGCTTGCCATAGATGCAGGCAAAACATCAGGAGAGAATGCCTCTAGAATATGGCCATATAGCCCGAAAAAACCTACAACAACCCAATAGTTCCAGCCATGAAAGCCTTCGACATTACATTATTGTATTTATTTATATGCTACTATTTCTCATAGCAGAGAACAGTCCTAAAAACAATAAAATAATGATGATGCAGTTCAGGTATAAATAGGAGTCTAGTGTCTAGATCAGCGTTTCTCAACCTGGGGGTTGGGACTCTGGAGGGGGGTTGCGAGGGGGTTTCAGGGGGGTCACCAAAGATCATCTGAAAACACAGTATTTTCTGTTGGTCATGAGGGTTCTGTGTGGGAAGTTTGGCCCAATTCTATCAGTGTGGTGCAGGATGCTCTTTGATTGTAGGTGAACTATAAATCCAAGCAGCTACAACTCCCAAATATCAAGGTCGATTTTCCCCAAAGTCCACTAGTGTTCACATTTGGGCATATTGAGTTTTCGTGCCAAGTTTAGTCCAGATCCATCATTGTTTGAGTCCACAGTGGTCTCTCTAGATGTACAACTCCAAAACTCAAGGTCAGTGCCCACCAAACCCTTTCAATATTTTCTGTTGCGCATGGGAGTTCTGTGTGCCAAGTTTAGTTCAGTTCCATCGTTAGTGGAGTTCAGAATGCTCTTTGATTGTAGGAAACTATACATCCCAGCCACGACAACTCCCAAACTGCAAAATCAACCCCTCTCCCTAACTCCACCAGTATTCAAATTTGGATGTGTCGAGTATTTGTGCCAAATTTGGTCCAGTGAATGAAAATACATCCTGCATGTCAGATATTTACATTACGATTCAAAACAGTAGCAAAATTACAGTTATGAAGTAGCAACAAAAATAATTTTATGGTTGGGGGTCACCGCAACACGAGGAACTGTATTAAGGGGTCACGGTTGAGAAACACTGGTCTAGTTCCAGAGAAGTCATGCTACCCCTCTATTCTGCGTTGATCAGATCACACCTGGAAAACTGGGTCCAATTCTGGGCAAAATAGTTGAAGGGAGATGTTGACAAGCTGGAATGTGTCCAGAGGAGGGTGACTAAAATGATCAAGGGTCTGGAGAACAAACCCTGTGAGGAGCGGCTTAAAGAGCTGGGCGTGTTTAGCCTGTAGAAGAGAAGGCTGAGAGGAGATATGATGGCCATGTATAAATATGTGAAGGGGAAGTCATAGGGAAGAAGGAGCAAGCTTGTTTTCTGCTGCCCTGAAGACTAGGACACGGAACAACTGCAGGAAAGGAGAATCCACCTGAACATGAGGAAGAACTTCCTGACTTTGAGAGCTGTTCAGCAGTGGAACTCTCTGCCCCGGAGTGTGATGGAGACTCATTCTTTGGAGGCTTTTAAGTAGAGGCTGGACGGCCATCTCTCAGGAGTGCTTTGAATGCAATTTTCCTGCTTCTTGGCAGGGGGTTGGACTGGATGGCCCCCGAGGCCTCTTCCAGCTCTATGGTTCTATGATTCTAGGTCCAACCTATCTTCCAGACTGCATCTCTTTCTATGAACTAGCACAAGCTCTGAGATGGGCCAGGGAAGCCCTCCTCTCGGTCCCACCTTCGTCTCAAGCTTGGACAAGAGAGAGTTCCTTCTTGGTGGTGGCTCCCTGGCTCTGGAATGCCCTTCATAGAGAGATTAGCTTAGCCCCCACTCTCCAAGTTTTCTGAACAAATTTCAAAACATGCCTCTTCAGACATGACTTTTATCTTGTTTATGGATCCTTAATTATTATATTTGAGGACTTAGTGCTTATTTCACCTTGCACTTTATGGGACTGATACTGATTGCAGTTGTTTTATATCTGCAGCTATTGTTGCATTTTATTGAATTTTTAGCTAGTAGGATTTTATGATGCTATGCCATTTGTTATCGCTATTGTGCCGTTGTTTATGCACTTGTATTTTGTGTGTTTGCACTATAGAATGTTTTTGTGAGAGATAGTGGTGGGGTATAAAGTATTGTTGTTATTGCTGTTGTTGTTGTTGTTGTTGTTGTTGTTGTTGTTGTTGTTGTTGTTGTTATTATTATTATTATTATTATTATTATTATTATAACAACATGACCCCTATTGACATGACTACAGGTAAATGAAGGTTATTGCCACTGTAAAACAAGCTTCTAGCCATTGGTAGAGTTTCAAGACCCCATTAAGCTTTGATGTGGTTCACTCTGATATTTGTTTACAAAATTGCTTAGTAGGTTGCGATCCTATGTTCATTTACTTAATTGTGTCACTGAACATGGTCCAGATATGAAGCTTATAAATATTTAACATAATTCAGCAGGAGTGAAGTGTGTGTGTGATTAGAGTTGCAAAGCCCCACTGGCTACTTTATTCTTGACCTCAAAATAGTTTTTTCCAGATATAGTGACAGCTAAAATAGAGATTTTGAAGAGGCTGCATTCCTAAAATTTGGAAAAGAAATTATTTATTTTAGATCTGAGTAGTGCTTACAATTGCTTTATATTCTGTGGGAAGAGCCAAACTATTTGAAGAAGCAGCGGACTTTGTAATGCTGTCTGCATTTTCTGTTGAACTTTATGTACTGACTATTTTTTTCTGTCTCTCTCCACTTTCTCTTTCTTTTTCAGGTGCTTGAGGGGAAAGGTCTGGTTTACATTCTAGAAACACATCATATTGTATTTTATACATGTATCTAAGTTAATTGTGACATTTAGTCTGGGATTTACCTATCGTTCATTTTGAAAATTTGCAGCGTTTACATTTTGGAAGCACACATACAAAATTGCACTTTCATATCATGAATTCATTCTAACATTACAATAGGGAGAATCAAGACGGATCATGTGTTAGGAAAGGCACTCATTTCAAAATACTAATTTTAATTTGTGGAACTAATACACATATCTTGTTTTGATTATTTTTCAAATACATAGTTTTATAAAACTGATAATAAGTTTCTAAACATGAGTGCCCAGCCTCCAACAGCAGATAAGGGACTGAATACAGCTCTATTGTGCCAGGAAAGTTATGCTTGCAGTGGCACTGATGAAGCCAGCTTCGAATGCGATGAGTGTGGAAGCCTGCAGTGCCAGCGGTGCGAGGAAGAGCTTCACAGGCAGGAAAGGTTACGGAACCACGAACGGACCCGAATTAAAGCTGGCCATGTCCCGTACTGTGACGCCTGCAAGGTTGCCAGTGGGAATATCATGCAGAGCAATATTGCAAGCTCCAGGCAGAGAGCAGCTGTAAGGTGCCAAGCGTGCAAAATTAACCTGTGTCTAGAGTGCCAGAAGAGGACTCATGCTGGTGGAAACAAGAGGAAACACCCCATTACTGTATACCACTGTGGCAAAGCTCAGGAGCAGGAGGCAGAGGAAGGGATGGATGAGGAGACCAAGAGGAAGAAGATGACTGAAAAGGTTGTAAGCTTCCTGTTGGTGGATGAAACGGAAGAGATCCAGGTAAAATGGCTGTGGAAGTGTGAAAAACACAATAGTGAGTTTTCAAAAGTGCAGGGTAGATAGACTAATGGGAAATTGTTTCCTAGGCATGACATATCTGCTTGGATCAAGACAGTATGGTGTTGGGCATAAATGGGCAATTTGTGGTCCTCCAGATGTCAGTGGACTGTAGCTCCTAAGTCTGAGCCAGTATAGCCAGGGCAGAGGTGTGATGGGAGCTGCAGATCCAAAACATCTGAAGGGCCACCAGTTGCCCATCTCTAGTCTTGTGGGAAATATGCAGTTGTTTGCACAGTGTCCAGACTTGTAAGGTAAGAGACCAAACTCTTGATTTGACACAGTAAATGGGATGCAAACATACAGGTCCCTTCATGGATTGCACAGAATTTTTCCCCCTACATGTGTCCATTTTGAATCTACGTTACAAAGCTATAGGTTTTGAGATATACTTACTGTATGCAGGCAGGGAAAAAAGTGTTTGGCTTGATCTGATATCTCAAGAAGTAGTGGCATCATTGACTGCTCTAGCTCTGGTTGGCTTAGCTGTACTAACGTTTTTTAGAGCAAACTATGGGCCTGGCTACCAGGATACATGAACTCAAGTTACAGTTTAATGGAGTTCACTGTTATCCACAGTTTTGTGTACCTATGCAAAGTTCGATAACTCATCCCCTGCGGATACAGGGGTAAATGTTATTGGACTACTTGTAGGTACACATAACTGGATAATAGCAAACTTCATTATAACGAGCGACTTTTGGCCCAAAATACCTTGAAGTCATGTTGAAGGACCTAGAAAATGCGTGAAACATGAATACTGGTCTTGTAGAAACAAGGGTTATAATGTATTTGAATTGCAAGTTCTGTGAGTCACTTCTGTTAAACTAAACTGTGCCAAGAATTGTGGAGCCTGTAAATGAAAACTGACAGATGGTTTGCTGTCTGGCTTGATCTGGGAGAATCAGAAGAATTCTGCCCCTTCCAAATGGAATTTTCTTTTGTTCTCAAATTGCTAGCCTTGTGGTAACTTAAAGCACAGTTTAGGTGTCCAAAGAAAAGTGGGCAGGCAAAGTTACTGAGAGAATGAGGACACAACAAGAGTTCTAGATGTGAAGGCTTTTCAGTGTCTCATTCTGAGCAATACTACAAATTTGGGAATAAAAAACAACATTTGGGAAGCAGAATTCTTTTTTTTTTTTTTGGAAGGGCAATACTCTCACTTTGTACCCTGTTACACCCTAAGCTGAATTTGAGCCTCTGGCCCAATTACTTTGCTTATGGTGAAAGAATTATCTTTTTATCTGGTCTGTACTGCTGATGTTCCTTCAGACTGAATGTAGTATTTTCTGAACCCCACAAGATCATGGCAGTTAAGCATCGCATATCATTATGCCTTTAGTCTGCCTTCTGCAGCAGGAGCTAACTGACCTATTTGGCATGAGGAAGGGGAAGAAATCGGGCAAGTAAACCCTTTTGATAATTAGCCCTATGCGGGTTTTTGTTCCTGGTATTAGTTAGGAATGGTACCTTGTGAAATCATTTAGTCTAGCTGCCAAACCATCACAAGCCCCGAAAGAGAAAAATAAATACAGCCTGCCCTCCACATTTGTGGGTATAACTTTTGTGGATTTGCTTAATCGTGAAGTTGATTAACACATTCTCTCTAGGAATCTCTGTTCCTCAAGGGTGAGTCTATGACTCACACCAAAAGACCCAGAAATTCTCAGTGAGAACTCTTCCCTAGACATTTGTAGGCCCTCCAGCATGACTTCATAGTTAGTGTCCAGCCGAAGCTGATTGTAGAACTCTGGAAAAGCTAGAAATTCCTAGAGAAGTGTTTTTCCAGGTTAAAAGATTTTTCTATTCACATCTTACCACTTTTCCTGGATCTTGGCAATCATTGGTTTTAACATTTAATCATTTTTCACAGTATTATAGCATTTTATGTTGATATTTATGTTACACAAGGAGATTCAGCTAGCAAAATAAGATCCCAAAAGAACAATTGACTTTCACAGTCAATGAATGAAAATGATTTCCTTTCCTTCCCCCGATGAAACAAACATTTATTTTAATGTTTTGGTCTTTTAATTGGCTGAAATGCTTAACAAAAGGGACGCACAGCTCAGGGATCCAACACCTGCTTTTTAATGCAAATGTCTCAGATTCCTTCTCCTGATAAGATTGGGAAACACTCTTATAGGAAAGCCTGAGGAGCTGGATGGACTTTGTTTGACATGGTACAAAATGAAGCAAGTCAGTTTCATTACCTTGTAAGTCAGGGATCAGCGCTCAGCCTTCTTTCTTAATAGAAGGACCTTGAAGATTAATTTTTTAGAAAGTAATTACAAAATTAATTACAGAGCCCGTGGAGCAACTTGCTATTGCCAGTATTGCAATTTTGTTGATACAATTGATTTCACTGCTTGTTGTGTTTCTTGCTAATCTTCAGTTTCTTTCTGTGGAGGAAAAGCCAAAATACCGTATATATATTTAAAAACTTCATGGATTGGCCTCCAAGCCTTGGAAGGACAATGGAAAAAGTAGTATCAAGTGTATGTTATTTACCAAATGGAGGACGAGTAACAGTGTTGGAAATTAATGTGGTTGAGCCTAAAATGAATATGTTATATTGTATTGTCACTTCTAAAGTCACATCTACACTGTAGAATTAATGCAGTTTGACACCACTTTAACTGCCACAGCTCAAATCTATGGAATCCTGAGAGTTTCAATTTAGTGAAGCACTAGCACTCATTGCCAGGGAAGGCTGAAGACCTTGTAATAGTACAACTCCTCTCAAATTACATTAATTTTGCTGTGTAGATACACCCTAAGATGTGGCTTCAAACATCTTCTCCTTCCATTGTATATTCAGATGTTAGTGTCTATGACTTTAGCAGGCAGAGGTATTAATCTTGTAAGCTGTAAAAAGGCCAACCTTTGCTACTGCCTTTAATTCATAGCTTCACACTCAGAAATTCAGGAGGTGATGTTATTTCTGTTAGATAGAAAAACACGTTCAGATGCTGAAGAGGAATAGGTTTCTACACCATGTTCAGGTGCTGAAGACGAATAGGTCTCTACACCTTTTAATTATCTATGTAATTTCAAGTACATCTGTTGAAATCCTCAGTACAAAAATATAGAAGCCAGAACATATAGCATCTGGCCTCCTTATATGAAAATAAGGGGGAAATGACCTGGTAGATTTCTGGGCATGAAACAGAAGGATATATCTAGTAAAATAAGTGGCAACTCAACCATCAATTTGGAAAAAAATGTACAAACTTGTAAACTGCACTGAAATGTTTTTCTTATGAGCAATATAGTGGCATAGAGTGGGCCCTCAGTATCCACTGGGATACCATGGATACTAAAATCTGTGGGTGCACAAATCCCATGATATACAATGGCATAGTAGAATGGTGTTCCTTTCTACAAAATGGCAAAATCAAAGTCTGTTTTCTAAAATATTTTTAAGCTGTGGATGGTGGAATCCATGGATGCAGAATCTGTGGATGTGGAGGACCAACTGTACGTCCTCATCTGTAGGTTGAAATGAGCAATAGTGATCCCACTGTCCTTAAACAGGATTGTTTGAAATGGGAAGACTTTACTTGATTACCATTAAGCAGTTGCAAGACCCCCTTTCCTGAAAAAGGATGTGATTTGACAGTCATTTGAATGTTCTATAGTTTGTAGAATTGTCCTATTTTTCTATTATTTCATAACTCTTCAATGTTATAAGCTGATTTTGACTCAAAAGAGTAAAAAAAACCCCAGAATAAATAAAGGAGTGCATTATGATTCAACAGGAGATGAAAGAGTGTTTAGCAATGCATATGTAGTTGGAGGTGAATACTTTCAGGATTGCAGCCTTAGTTTTATGTTTTGCTTTTCATAACTTCCTTGTTGCTTTGTGTTGCACCATTCCTTAACAAGAGGTTTTCTTATGCAACCAGTGCTGCTAAGTATATCCATTTTGACACTAGTCAGTACCAAGAGCTCCACCCAGTGGTTTGGTTTTAAGGCTGCCTTCAGTTGCCAGCACTGCTTTTTTAAAATTAGCATCCAGCTGTCTGTCATGGCTTGAGCACATCTGTTGCTCATTCCATTTTCCAATAAATATAGTTGTGGCACGTAAGGGGATCCCTAGCAATTGAGTCAATTAAGGTTGCCAGTTTGCAAGCTGGAGAGTCTCTTTCTCTCTCAATAGTTTCATAGTGCCAAAGAAAATGCAGATACAGCTGTTTTCCCCATACTTTTGCCTGGTTTGAATACTCTACTTTTCATCTCTTATTCTGTTTTCAAAATGTCTTGTGAATCATGAAACCTTTTCCCCTGTCCCTGCAATGCTGCAAGATAAAAACTTATTAGGTGAAACATTTCTTGCTGCTTCTGCTATACATCAGGGGCAACTTCACCTATTAAATTGTGTTTACAAGGCAGGAGACTCTGCTCCAAAAAATGATCTGGTGAGATTTACCTACGGTATTATAAGCTTTAGGTCAAAACTATAATGCTGTATCTCGTTGTTAAAAGTCAAATTGATAGTGTAAATGGGCAAGAAAACCGCTGTGAGTCGCCTTCGGGCTGAGAACAGCGGCATATAAGCGAGGTAAATAAATAAGAAAATGCACAATGACACTCCTTTCCCTGCCAGAACACACCAAAATGAAGTACAGTAGAGTCTTGCTTATCCAACATAAACGGGCAGCAGAACGTTGGATAAGCGAAAATGTTGGATAATAGGGAGGGATTAAGGAAAAGCCTATTAAACGTCAAATTATGTTATGATTCTACATATTAAGCACCAAAACATCATGTTTTACAACAAATTGTCAGAAAAAGCAGTTCAATAAACAGTAACCTTATGTAGTAATTACTGTATTTATGAATTTAGCACCAAAATATTGCAATGTATTGAAACAACTGCGGATCCAGGTGGGAGGCAGACTGCGTTGGATAATTCAGAATGTTGGATGAGAGAAGGTTGGATAAGCGAGACTTTACTGTATGTGGTTTTAAGTCCTATAGACCAGGCACCCTCAAACTGCAGCCCTCAGCTGTTTGGGCCTTCAACTTCCTGAATTCCTGACAATTGAACAAGCTCATTAGGGCTTCTGGGAGTTGGAGGCCCAAACAGCTTTAGGGCTGCAGTTTGAGGATGCCTGCTATAGACACAAGCCCACTCTTGAGAAAACCTTGTATGTCCTTCAATGTCAATCTCAATACAATTACCAAGGCTGCATCTACTCTGTAGAAAGAATTCAGTTTGACATTATTTTAACTGCTATGGCTCAATTCTGTGGAATCATTGGATTTATAGTTTGGTAGGGGACCTCTACTCTTTGTCAGAGAGGGTTAAAAATCTTGAAAACTTGAATTCCTGGGATGCCATAGCACCAAGCCTGGGCAGTTAAAGTTGTGTCAAACTGCATTATTTCTACTGTGTAGATCATCCATGGGCAAACTTCAGCCCTCCAGGTGTCAGCTCACAACAGCTAGGCTCAATGGTGACACGAGACTTCCATCGTAGTCAAACAAAGATCTTTACTCTCAGATACTAAGACACAGAAAAGCCGGGATTGTCTGGTCGCAGCAGACACTCCCTTATATACACTCCCACCAATTCAAAACGTGAGCTCCCGCCAAACCCAATACCCCGCACAAAGCTTCCCGCCACCAGGCAACTGCTTTCTTCCAAGGTCACCAGCTGCAGATTCCTTATCAGGGTCGAACGTCAGGATTCTAGTTTTCGGCGCCAAAATCTGGGCTCCGGAAACTGGATCCTGACATCCAGGTATTTTGGACTTCAACAACTACTGGCTGTTCAGAATTGTGGGAGTTGAAGTCCAAAATATCTGGTTGGCCAAAGTTTGCCTGTGCCTGGTGTAGATGCACCCCAAGAAATATTCTGTCACGAGGGATTTAGTTTAGGTCCAGTGGAAAGCTACTTGATGGCAGCTGGATAAATGTTGCTTTTCTGAGAGAGGTGGAAGTGTGATAGTGGACAATACATCAAGTAGCTTGGCAGAATGTTTTACTAACGTAGGTGCGTGGCCAGAGATGTTCTCCCCACAGCTGTCAGGGGACAGCTATATCTAAAGCTCCTTCTTTTCCTGAGATGTCAGTAGGAATGGTGCAGCCTTAATGCTACTGCCATTAATTTCCTCTTGTCTATTTTAGTCAAGGCAAGGGGAAAGGAGAGAAAAGGTTACCATTTTCCACCCACTGCCCTGCCCATAGCAATATCTCTATCAATGGATCTCCCTTTTCTTACACCATAAATAGAGAGCTGAATTGCTCTGAAAGTTGCTTGGTTCATTTTAATGATAGGGACTATGGCACCAGTGTTACTACTTACAGTAGTTACCGCTTTTAGAGATTGAATCACATGGCTAGGGATTCTAAAATAGAGTAAAGCCATTCATCCATCCATGTAGGTGTTTTCCTCTGTTGCTGAGGTATGGCATCCTTGGAAAGGATGGAATATATTGACATTCTTGTGGGGGTTCTGTTGGCTTCAAGATCAGGAATTGCAGCATCTTGGCATGTAGCTGTTTTTTTTAGTACAAGAAAAGAGCCATGTCCATAATACAAGGATAAACTTAATAGTCCACCAGCCTAAAATTGGAGAGTGAGTGTACTTTGAAAAGTAGAGAACACTTTACTCTGGATATACAATGTCTTTATTTTTTCTCAACTAAAACTTTGTTAAATAATGAAGTGCCTCAAAAGGATTAATGTGTATATGATATTCAATGCTGCTGGTTAAATTATTCAATGTATATTCATTGTTGTTGATGTCATGTCTATATGATGAGAGCTAGAGAGAATTATTTTTTGGCGTATGTTAACTGTGGGAGACTGGGAATAATTTTACAAGTAACTTTAAAGGTAAAGGTTTCCACTTGACATTAAGTCTAGTTGTGTCCAACTCTGGGGGGTGGTTTGTTGACACCTCTAAGGTCCTGTGGCCAGCATGACTGCATGGAGCGCTGTTACCTTCTCACAGAAGCGATGCCTATTGATCTACTCACATTTGCATGTTTTTGAACTGCTAAGTTGGCAGAAGCTGGGGCTAACAGCGAGAGCTTGTTCCCCGGATTCGAACTGCCGACCCTTCAGTCAGCAAGTTCAGTAGCTTAGCGGTTTAACCCATTGTGCCACCGGGGGCTCAAAAGTAACTTTACTGAATAGTTTAAAAACCCAAACTGTACCTTCTACATGCTTTGATGGGTTACACAGGTAGATCTGAAGGGACATTCTACACATACTCATGAGATAACTCTCTACAAAGAAAGAGACATCAGTTTCACTATTACATTAAGTAGTATTCATGTAAACATGAATGTAGGTAGAACATTCAACTCAAGGATGTTGGAAGCTCATCAGAGACTACAAGTGTATCCAGGGATGCCATGAACTTTGAAATCACACATTAAGTACAATTTAGGATAGTTTCTAGAAAGAAGATTATGTTAGTCTGCTTTAGTAAAAAAAAAGAAGAGGAAAGCATTGTTATACCTTGAAAACTATTTCTTTGTAAATTTTAGTATGGTATTTTGTGGGTTACAGTCCTTGAGATGCATTAATAAAGAACAACATTGAGCCTCAGGCATAAATGCAAATTGCATAATTGAGGTGGTGGGATCACTGATATTCAAGAAAACTGCTCAAGTTAAAGGCATGGATCTATACACATTGATTATGTTACATATCTGATTAGCTGTTTCGCCTCTGTCTTTATGATGGGTTGAGAATAATCTCTTGATGATCACATGTTTGAGTACAAATAACAATGCTGCATAAAGAGAAGTGTTTTTGCAAGATCCATTTGTCTAAGGTTTTGTCAGGCTCTAAGCATTACAAGCTAAACTCGGTGTCTCTTGGGATTACCAGTCAGTTCTCTGAAGTGACAAAGCTTCAGTTGTTTAGCTCTTGCTGTTGAAAAACTCTCATACAGTCTTCTTTTTCTTGTGTTGAAAGGTGGAAAATGAAGAAGAATTTATAAGAAAATTGGACTGCAAGCCTGACCAACACGTAAAGGTGGTGTCTATTTTTGGGAACACAGGCGATGGCAAATCTCACACGCTTAACCATACTTTTTTCTATGGCCGAGAGGTCTTTAAAACATCACCAGCACAGGAGTCTTGTACAGTAGGAGTCTGGGCAGCCTATGATCCTGTCCACAGAATGGTGGTGATCGACACAGAGGGCCTCCTTGGGGCCACCGTGAACCTAAGCCAGAGGACCCGGTTGCTTCTGAAGGTCTTGGCCATTTCAGACCTCATCATCTACCGCACTCATGCTGACAGACTTCACAACGATCTCTTCAAATTTCTTGGAGATGCATCAGAGGCCTACCTAAAGCACTTCACCAAGGAGCTAAAGGCAACCACAGCCCGTTGTGGTCTAGATGTTCCACTGTCTACTTTGGGTCCAGGAGTTATCATCTTCCATGAGACTGTGTACACACAGTTATTGGGTGCAGGTGAGTTGATGGAAATCTAATGGATATCTGTGGCTGCAATGTGGATGACTTTGGGTTGCATCTGAAAGTGCAGGTTGGAGAACCTGTGGCCCATCAGACATTGTTGGACTGTAGCTTCAACCATAATTGATAATTGGTCCTGTTGATTGAGTCAGATGGGAGTTAAATTTCAGTATCACTGTGAGAAAGATTTAGGCTTGATTACTGACTTACCACTATATGGAAGATGATGCTGAATGCTGATACGAGCCCACTGAGTTGTTGGATTTTCAGGGGAGGTCCTTCTCTCTGTCCTACTACCCTCATGGGTATGTGTGGTGGGTGAGACCTTGCTCTGTGTCTGCTCCTTGGGTATAAAACTCCCCTCCAACAAGAAACTGATGGACTTACTGTTGTCTTTAAACTGTCAGGCAAAGACCATTTTGTCCAGGTAGATTATTATCAATGGTTATTGCTAATGCAGAAGAGTAGGTGCTGATTTTTTAAACGTGCGTTTAAATTGTGTAAATTTTGTTGTTTTAATATGATAATTTCTTAAACTATGTTTCTGAGTCACAATGTTTTTTAATTTTATTTATTTTTAATTATATTGTGATCTTGGAGTACTCAGTACTAGATGAAAAATAATGAGTGAGTGAATGAATGTCAGTTGAGAAAAAGAAGTAACGGCAACCCATTATCTTTCCAGTACTTTTATATGTTAACAGTGCATGTTATACGACACTGGTTTTGGACTTCAGTTTCCACAGTTCCAGTCTGCTGACCAAGTTAATGGGATCTTCTGGAAACTGAAGAACAAAATACCTGGAAAACTAAAGTTTGGAAATCACTTGTTATAAGAGATTTTTTTGTGTGTCAGAAGCGACTTGAAAAACTTATAACTGTGTTGTAAGAGATGGATGACTGAGATGATTAAGAAGAGATTCTGTACTGTAGGAACACTTTGACAATTGATTCAACTGCCTCAAAGGGTGTTAGACTCACCTTCTTTGGAGGCCTTTAAACTGGAGTTGAATGGGTACCATTTAGGGGTGTATTTGTGTATTCCTACAGGCAAGAGTTGGACCAGATGGTCCTGTCAATTCCCTTCAACTCTTAAGTTTCTGTGTTAACATGTCTGCTCAGAAGTAAACACTGTAGCAAGACAAGGAAGCCTATAGCCCTTCAGATTTTGCTGGGCTTTAGTTTCTATCAGCTTGACCAACAGAAAGGGGTGGTAAAGGTGGTGATACTAGTTTATTAACAGCTGAAGGGTTCAGATTTCATTCCCTGCCTTGCCTTACTGAGTTTAGTGGGATCTTTTCCCAAGTAGATGTATATCAGAGAAAAACCTCCATTAGCCTTTGCCTCTGCTCTTCTGTTTTCCATGAATTCATTGATAGAGCATAGACATCAAAATTTCATATGAGAAAATGTCCTCCAGGATCTGTTTTCAGGTATTTGCAGCGTATATTTGGCTATCTAATTTCGAACTCATTCAATTTTCATTCACCAGGATCTTTTTTTCAATGTTGCTCTGAATGTGTTGCAATGTATTTTCTGACCACACTGAATTTCTAATATAGTTTGCCCCAAAATCACATGGGCCATTTTTGTTTCAGTAAGTTCCATACATCAATAGCAAGTGTGTATGTGTTTATTTGCTTGTTGGGTGGTGAATTCTTTTGTTCTATCTGTTTTGTCTATTTAAAAAGAAAGTCAGATCTCTGCATGGTATGTAATTGAAACTTGGAGATAATTGTTTATGGCCCTTCAAGTGATGATGTCATTTATAGCTCTAGTATTAAGTGGACCCTGAAGCAAAATGTGATTCAGGAGGACTAGAATGCCCCATCTCAGGGCATTAGTGGTGCATTGTATAATGTCTCCAAACTGTTTTTGTGCCCCCAGCTATCTCCTCTGTAAGAAAAAGGGAAATTGCCTTGACTAGACTCCCACAATTGTGGTACTATACCTATTAAATTGTTCCCAGGAACCTCTTGTACTTTAACACCCTCTAACATTCCCTTTTCAAAACCAAATGTCTTTGAAATTTTTGTTGCTGTTTTAGGCAGTTTTCACAATCTGACTCTGGCTCAGTCTGCCAAAGTTCTTCACTCCCGATAGAAATTCTCCATAGCTAAGAAGAATGCTGTGTTTTCACAAACTGCTTCATATATTTAGATCACCCTTCTGAGGTGCCTGAGAAGCTGATCCAGGAACGATTTCGGAAGCTTAATCTCTTCCCTGAGGCCTTCAGCTCGATCCATTACAAAGGAATAAGGACACAGAATCCCCCAACCGATTTTGCTGGGCTCAGACACACTGTGGAGCAGCAACTAGAAAACAATACCACACGCTCCCCTCGGCCTCCTGGTGTTATCTACAAAGCGCTCAAAGTAAGTTCAAAATTCTGAATTGTTGTTCTAAAAAATGATCTTGGATTATATAGATGGGTTTAAAAAAAATCTAAGGCTGGAGTGGATAACTGTGATTCTTCATATGTCTTGTGGACTGGCATTATCATAGTTCTTCACCATTGGAAAAACATCTGGATGGGCTCAGTTGCCTTCTGCTGTCTGCTTGCTGTAGACTGGAAGTTGATGGCTTCCTGACTACTACTTTGAATAGGGCTAATTTGTTTAATCCAAAGCCATAGCTGTGTTAGTCTGGAATATCAGTGTGCAAGGGGATCTTGTGGAACTTTTCAAACTGAGTGGAAGATGTTGGTAGCATAAGCTTTTGCTTAAGTCTTCATCAGATGCCATCAGGTGGGAATACATTCCTCCACATTTGCAGTTTTGACTTTGTAGATTTAATTATTTATTTATTTATTTATTTATTTATTTGAGGCACTTATAGACCGCCATTCTCAGCCCTTACGGGCGACTCATAGCGGTGTACAGTACATATAAAAGACAAATTACAAACCAGTGTCAAAACATATAGCAACAATTACAATTACAGACTACACAAAAATCCGCTTCGTCTCTTAATAGAATCATAGCCAATCTCATCAGCCTTGTACCATTCCAGATCTCATTACCGTATTATCTGTTTCTTAGCACTTAATTAAATGCCCTCTCGAAGAGCCAGGTCTTAAGGTTCTTCCGAAAGGACATGAGGGAGGGCGCCTGTCTGATGTGTGTCGGGAGGGTGTTCCACAGCCGGGGGGCCACCACCGAGAAGGCCCTCTCCCTCGTCCCCGCCAGCCGTGCCTGTGATGCCGGTGGAATCGAGAGAAGGGCCTCCCCGGACGATCTCAAGGTCCTCGTGGGCTCGTAGGCCAAGATGCGGTCAGAGAGGTATTTTGGGCCGGAACCGTTTAGGGCTTTGTAGGCCAAGACCAGCACCTTAAATTGGGTCCGGTAGCAAATCGGCAGCCAGTGGAGCTGGGACAGCAAGGGCGTTGTGTGCTCCCTGCCCCCCGCTCCAGTTAGTAACATGGCTGCCGCGCGCTGAACCAGCTGAAGCTTCCGGGCCGTTTTCAAGGGCAGCCCCACGTAGAGAGCGTTGCAGTAGTCCAGGCGGGATGTGACAAGAGCATGTACCACCGTGGCCAAGTCTGACTTCCCGAGATACGGTCGCAGCTGGCGCACAAGCCGGAGCTGTGCAAATGCTCCCCTGGTCACCGCTGAAACCTGGGGATCCAGGCTCAACGCTGAATCCAGGGTCACACCCAGACTGCGAACCTGCGCCTTCAAGGGGAGTGCGACCCCGTCCAGCACAGGCTGTAACCCTATATCCCGTTCGGCCTTACGACTGACCAGGAGTACCTCTGTCTTGTCTGGATTTAGTTTCAGTTTGTTCGCCCTCATCCAGACCGTCACAGCGGCCAGGCACCGGTTCAGGACCTCGACAGCCTCCTTAGTAGCAGGTGGAAAGGAGTGACAGAGTTGGACATCATCTGCGTACAGATGACACCGCACCCCGAAACTCCGGATGATCTCACCCAGCGGCTTCATGTAGATGTTAAACAGCATGGGGGACAGTATGGAACCCTGTGGCACCCCACAAGTCAAAGGTTGTGGTGCGGAACAGGAGTCCCCCAATAACACCTTCTGGGTGCGACCCTCCAGAAATGACTGGAGCCACTGCAGAGCAGTGCCCCCAAGACCCATTTCCGCGAGGCGCCCCAGAAGGATACCGTGGTCGACGGTATCGAAGGCCGCTGAGAGGTCCAGGAGCACCAACAGGGACACACTCCCCCTGTCTAGCTCCCGGCGCAGATCATCCACTAAGGCGACCAAGACCGTCTCGGTACCATGCCCCGGTCTGAAACCAGACTGTGCCGGATCTAGACTATCCGTGTCTCTCAAGAATACCTGGAGTTGTGCGGCCACCACGCTTTCCATGACTTTGCCCAAAAAGGGGAGATTGGAAACAGGCCGAAAGTTGTCCAATTTAGTGGGGTCCAGTGATGGCTTCTTCAACAGCGGCTTTATAATAGCCTGTTTTAGGCTCGCTGGAATCTTGCCTTCCCGAAGGGAGGCATTCACCACCACTGTTACCCACTCAGCCAATCCCCCTCTGGCCTCTCTCAGAAGCCAGGATGGGCAGGGGTCTAGGATGGACGTGGTGGGCCTCATTCCTCCAAGTATCTTGTCCACATCCTCGGGTTTCACAAACTGAAAAGAATCCAACAAAATAGGACAAGCAGGTGCTCTCGTTACATTCTCGGAGTCTGCATCTAACGCGGCGTCGAGCCCGGAACGGATCAAGGCGACTTTGTCTGCGAAGAACCGAGCAAATGCTTCACAGCGTGCGACCGAATTGTCAGGGCTCCCACCTGGAATGGTGGGAGTTAAAAGACCTCTGACAATCCGAAACAACTCCGCCGGACGGTTCTTTGCAGACGCAATAGTAGCCGCAAAGAAAGCCTTCTGAAACGGACGGTTCTTTGCAGACGCAATAGTGGCCGCAAAGAAAGTTTTCTTTGCGGTCTTTATTGCCGCGGCATATGCCCTAAGAAAGGACACAAACCGTGTTCGGTTTGACTCGCTTGGATCCGAACGCCACACGCTCTCTAGTTCCCTCTTCCTTCGCTTCATCACTGCCAGCTCCTCAGTGAACCAAGGAGCTGGTTTAGCTCGGCTACTTGAGAGGGGACGTTCCGGAGCAATCATGTCAATAGCCCTGGTCATCTCCCCATTCCAGAGAGCGACCAAGGCCTCAACATGGTCACCTACCGCGGTGGCGGGAAAATCCCCAAGAGCCGTCAGGAAACCATTCGGATCCATCAGTCTCCTGGGGCGGACCATCTTAATGGGTCCTCCACCTTTGCAGAGGCTTAGGGGGCGCAGTGAGCCTAAATCTGATCAGGAAGTGGTCGGTCCATGGCAACGGAGAGATGGACAACTCCTCCACCGCCACCCTGCTCCCATCCCTGGCAGAAAACCAAGTCCAATGTATGTCCAGCACAGTGGGTGGGGCCAGTTATTTGTTGGGACAGCCCCATGGTTGCCATGGCGGACATGAAGTCCTGAGCCGCCCCTGTGAGGGTTGCCTCGGCGTGGATGTTGAAGTCCCCCAGCACAAGAAGCCGTTGAGACTTCAACGCCAGGCTCGAGACCACCCCCGCTAGCTCAGGTAGGGAGACTGTAGTGCAGCGAGGTGGACGGTACACTACCAGAATCCCTATACTGTCCCGGTCACCCACCCTCAGGTAGACGCTTTCAAAGTTTGTGGTCTGCGGGATGGGGCACCTGGTCAGATGGATAGAATCCTTATAGATCACTGCGACTCCGCCTCCCCGCCCTCCGGATCTTGGTTGGTGCTGCACGGAGAAACCCGGAGGACAAAGCTGGGTCAGATTTACTCCTCCCGCTTCATCCAACCAGGTCTCCGTGATGCACGCCAGATCTGCCCGTTCGTCCAGGATTACGTCCTGGATCCAGGTCGTTTTTCCGTTGACAGATCTGGCGTTCAACAGCACCACCTTCAGTCCGGAGGGCCGCTCGCCTGGTTACACCAATTTACCTTAGGAGACCGATTTGGAATTATTAATGTAGATAAGCGTTCCGAATTAGGCCGAATTTGATGTCTCCTTTTCCCGCATCTCCTCCTTCCCACCACGACCTCTATGGGGGCCCCTCGGCTAGTGGAACACCTCCTCTCCTCCATGCCGCCTATTCCAACTAAGATCTTAATCTCTATTACATCAGATGTTTTAACTATTGGCGTTTTTTCTTGCCACTTACTTTGGTCTTCTTTATCCCCCCTCCCCTCCCCATCGTTCTTCACTAATCCACTTCCTCCCCTGTCTCCACCACCAGACAATACTAACAGGGACAGCAAACACAGGAGGGTGGGGGGCCACATGGATGGAGACAATACACTTCGGTGGATGGAAATACAGATAGTAACACACTCAGCTGCACTATAGGATAGTCCCTGGAGTGCTAAAATCTTATACGCAACAATATCCCGGTAGCAAAGTCCCCAGCTACGGGTAGTTCTTAACGTGCAGGAGTCTAAAGTGCAGCAGGCTATTAAAGTGCAGCAGGCAATTAAAGAGATATTAAAGTGCCACAAACCGAAGACTTGGCCCTCGATGCTAATAAAGTGCGGCAGGAGGGATCGGGGGGGGGGGCAAAGTGCAAAGTGCGGACAGTAGGCAAACGAGGCAGGCGCCTTTAAAGTGCTATGATTAAGTTCTTATTAACACATTAGCAACAGTAGGAATGGAACTATAACGATTGGGTGTTAACAATATATAAATACGGTAAATAGATGATTAACAGTTGACCCACATCCATTATTACTGGATGTTATTAAAATGTACTTTCTAGGAATCTCTAGGTCTTCTGGTACAGTTTCCTTTGATCCTGCCTGAGAACCTAAAGATTTCTACATCCTCTAGTTCAATTTTATGATAATCTTCCAGCTATATTCAACCATAGGGTCATGCTGGAAGATGTAGAAATTCCTACAGAGGTGTTCTTTCATCTTTAAAAAAACCCCAAACAATTCCTTTATTTGTGGTTTTTTCACTTTCATTGGGATCCTGTGCCCCTAACCTCAGCAAATAGAGAGTTGAATGTAATGTTTGGATGGTACAAACTGTGTATGTCATTGCTGTGTTAGGGTGCTCCTGCTTATTCTGCTGAATGGAGCTATGAATGTCTGGTCCAAACTCCCACCCTGATAGTACTACTGGTTTCATGACAATTGTTTTTATTTCTAGACCACTCTCTCTCCCCAAAGGAGACTCAGATTCAGGGCTGTTTACATACATATAAAAAGGCAAACATTCAATGCCACAATTTAATATCACACAACATTAGAAATGCAAAATGGACAGTAATAAACTAATTACCATAAAAGAATTAAGGTTAAAGTAATATAAAATACAGCTACTTAAATAAAACATAATTACACTCATTGAACATAATTGCACAAGAAACATATACCCTAGACAATTAGACAATTAAAATGTAAACAGTGCCTGACCATAGTTGAACATTAATATAGACCATAGCAGCCATAAAGTGCTAATTAAATTGTGCTAGTCCTCCTCCTCTATGTACGCTAAAGTGCATCGGTGTGTTTTCTGAAGTTTTCTGAGGGAGAGGAGGGTGGAGGCCATTTTTATTTCTTTAGGAAGGGAGTTCCAGAGGTGGGGAGCGATCACGGAGAAGGCTCCCTGCTTGTTCCCGCCAGCCACACTTGTGACGGGGGTGGGACCGAGAGTAAGGCCTCCTCTGCTGATCACAGTGCGTGTAGTGGTCTATATAGGGAGATGTGGTTAGACAAATATCCTGGACATGAACCATTTAGGGCTTTATAGGTAACGACCAGCACTTTGTATATAGCCCAGAAGCAGACCGGCAGCCAGTGAACATGGGAGCCATTCTCTCCCTTTATGGAGCCCCAGTTATTAACCTGACTGTCGATCTTTGGACTACCTGTAGTTTCCAAACTATCTTCATAGGCAGACCCACGTAGAGAGCTTTGCAGTAGTCCAAACAGGATATAACTAAGACCTAGACTACTGTGGCCAAATCAGGCATCTCAAGGTGTGGGCGTAGCTGACACACAAGTTTAAACTCTGCGAAAGTGCTCCTGGCCACCGCCTACACCTGGGGTCCCAGGGTCTGCAATTAGTCCAGGATCACCCCCAGACTGCAAACCTGAGGGAATGTGACCCCATCCAGCACAGGGTTGCAACCCAATGCCTTGTTTAAGAGACTATAGGAAGGGAATTACAGTATGTCCACTTCCTCTTTATGATCTCCCCAGCAGAGCAGCATCTAGTCAGCCTGAACTTAGGGAAGAACAGCAAGTCTAAAACTTGCACTGAAGTCTGAGTTTCAGTTATGACAATCCGATTGCCTGGTTTCTATTAGATAAAAACAAACAAAAAACAGACTAGAGTAAACTTTGAACTGGGTGTGCAAAGAGTACTTTTCAGGTTGAGGTAACTCAGCCTTCTTTGCTCTCTGCCTCAGGAAATCTTTGTTTTATCGCTTTTGCAAGGCAAATACTTGGCCTCTGAGGCTGGGAGTACGTACTGAGTATTCATGCTCTATACATGCATAAGCAAGACTCTGAGGTCTTGTAGTACAATGGCAAGGTCCATATTGTTGCCAGGGTAACTGAATGTCAGGACACGGTCTCCGGGCAACAGCCCATTCTCTGACTTGCCTTGATTTCCCTGAGTTTCCTTAAACAGGAAGATGGTTTTTTGTCAGTAAACAGCAAATATGTGACATCTAAAAGTCAAGAGCACAGCTCTTCAAGGGACTGTGTTATGAGTATGAATAGCCCCTGGGGAAGATGTATGAACAAAGTTCTGTGCATTTTACAATGAGAGTAAGTTTTTTGTAGGAAATTTTCTTTCCTTTTTTACTTATTCCCTTGTGTTTTGTTTTCGTATTTAACCCAAGTGGCATTACCCATAGAAGACAATACAATACTAGATGGGTTTACTCGGAAATAAGTCCTATTGGTTTCAGTGGGGCTTATGTCTAGATAAATATACATGAGATTGCAATTGAATTATTTTCAGTAACCCCCTCCAGCAAATATTTAAAAAGAGTTTTTACAAAATCAGTTTGACATATCAATGTTACATTAGCTCATGCTATTAATGTTCATTTCCTATTCATGAAATTATTTATGGATGATGGAGTGCAAAATATGCACATTTTAATCATACAATAAGTGATATTTTTCAAGGATAAGCATTTGCTCTTTCTTTATCTGTGGTTGTTCTTTTCTGAACCAAGGACATATTATGTGGTTTTATAATAACATGGCAGGGAGAAGTCTGAAGTGCTGCTTTTTATTGACCAAACATTGACACATTCAAAGTTTCCAGGGTGGTTTCTACGCTCTTGTACTGTGTCATTTCTGACTTATAGTGACCCCACCACGGGATTTTCTTGGCAAGATTAATTCACAGGCAATTAGTCATTGTGTTCCTTTGAGGCAGGGAGAATGTGACTTATCCAAGGTTACCCAGTGGATTTGAACTCTGCTCTCCCGAGATGTAGCCCAGTGCTCAACCACAATGGCTCTCCATTCCATCCTCACACCTGTGCATTCTGTGTTTATCCTACATGAAATTTTGTTACAATTTATATTGTTGTTGTTGTTGTTGTTGTTGTCTCAGATTATTTTTCACTCACCTTCTGCCCAGTCAATGATGGTGGAGTGGGATGGGTACCCTAGAAACGATCACAAGGATAAATACAGAATGACGGTATCCACTGCTGTCTGTATCCAGTCCAGAGATAATGAAAAAGACTCATAGGAGGGGAAGGATTTCCCACTTATTTCCCAGATATCTGGCTAAAAGGGCAGAAAGTGTGCCAACAGCTAGTGAAGTATCTGGGATGTCTACTTTTTATGGAGGCCTTGTGTAGGTGGAGTCAACCCCTTCCTTCCCCCTTTACCTCGTATCAGTACTCCTTGAGGAAAAACTCGGTGTGTATTTGCTGTACGACTAGCCCCTTTCTCTGCTCTCCCTCATTCAAAATGTATATACAAATACAAAATATTTCAAAATATAGAAAAAATCCAAAACATGAAATATTTCTCACCTCAAGCATTTTGGATAAGGGAAACTGTGCATTCCAAACCATGTGTTGCAACATTTTAGTGTGTCAGCTGCAGTGTGTAGGTGTGCATATGAATGTAATGAAAAACCTCTTGAGTTTATGTACATAAGCAATAAATCATTTATTTTTATTTTTAAAAATATAAATGAAAGGTTTTCATGTTCCCATGCATTTCATTATTACAATTTGTGTGTGTCCATTTAACCTACGGTTGGCTACTAAAACTGAATTATTGTGTCGCAAAATGATGCATGTCTAAAAAGTGTACCACCAACATGAAATGTTTGGAAAGCTGTACTGTATATCTGTGAAGCTGTTGTTGATTTTGTGTTCTTCCAGGACAACGTTCACTAGTAGTTTCTCTCTCGCTATTCTGCAGGCATTGAGTGATCGATTCTGTGGGGAGATCCCAGATGATCAGATGGCACACAGCTCCTTTTTTCCAGACGAATATTTTACCTGTTCTTCTGTTTGTCTCAGCTGTGGGTAGGTAGATGGGAAGACCTCCCTTTGAATATGCTCTGTGGTGCCAGAATACATATTGCAAAGCACTGTCTTTGTGGTAGTGTCCCAAGCTCTTCTTTGTAGTCCAGCAATGCACCCCAGAATTCTTTTTATTTTTAAAGATTGTCATTGTTGCTTCCTGTTCTGCTTTAGAGCAAACCATTAAAAAACTCTATAGGCATTTTAGTCCCTTTTAGTTCAACATCATGGTCAATATATTAATTAAAGTGAATTAGAGGATGTTTAAGATTATATAATTATAACCTTAAGGTTATAAATAAAAAATTAATAAATGTGAATGGGGTTTTTTATTTCTTAATAAGTAGAGGGATAATTTTAATGAATATAACATTATTTAATGAATAATGCCTTTTTGATTTTCAAATAATCTTTAATTTATTTTACAAATGTGTAGCTGATTTTATGTATTTTAACTGAATTATTCTTTTTAAAAAATAAGTGTGGCCCCTGGTGCTATGGCAGAATAATTACATAGGCGTAATTTATTTTGACGGCATTTTAAAAAGGTTTTTTTTCCCTATGATGAATTTAATGCAATTTATTTTTGCTTCTTTGTAGTTGCATTTCATGTAATGAAAGCTTGTGCCAAAAGTACTTTCCAGTTTTGGTGCAACCCTAGTAGAAACTCACTCTGTGTTGTTGTAGGTTTTTCGGGCTGTATGGCCATGTTCTAGAAGCATTTTCTCCTGATGTTTTGCCTGCATCTGTGGCAAGCATCCTCTGAGGATGCTTGCCACAGATGCAGGTGAAACGTCAGGAGAGAATGCTCCTCGAACATGGCCATACAACCCAAAAAACCTACACAACCCAGTGATTCCGCCAATGAAAGTCTTTGACAATACAACTCATTATGTGTAATAAGTATTTGAAAATTATCTTGGTGGAAGCCTGTCTGCCTCTAAACATCCCTCTGCTTTATTTTGAAACTCTAGGTGTGGATGTAAAAACAGCATGAACCATGCAAAAGAAGGGGTGCCTCATGAAGCTAAGAATCGGTGTAGATATACTCATCAGTACGATAACCGAGTATTTACATGCAAGGTGAATGGAACAAATGAAACAAAATTTAGGGGTGAAGGAGAAGAGTTCCTGCGCCTATCCCAGGGGCATAGAATCATAGAATTAATGCAATTTGACACCACACCTTGGGGTGCATCTATACTGTAGAATTAACGCAGTTTGGCACCACTTTAACTGCCATGGGTCAATGTTATGGAATCCTGGGAGGTGGAGCTTTGCAAGAACTTTAGCCTTCTCTTCCAGAATGCCTAACCTAAGTACAAATCCTAGGAATCCCTAGCACTCTTTGACAGCAAAGACTAAAGACCTTATAAAACTGCAACTCCCAAGATTCCATAGCATTGAACCATGGCAGTTAAAGTGGTGTCAAACTGCGTTAATTCTACAGTATAGATGCACCCCAAGTTGTAATCATACCAGTTGTTTATTATGGTGAATACTTGGCAACCTGTGTTGGAGAACCGACTGTATCTCGTATACGAGGCCATCTCATTAATCATAATGCCTAATGATCCCATTGGAAATTAACAGTGTATGAACACAGTATTATTTGTTGAGAAGAAACATCACATCTCGTCCATCCACTTCTTGCCGTCCCTTTCGTTTGCCTTCTGGGTTATGCAGTCAAATATTTTTTCCTGGATTCACTTGCAGTTCTTCCTCAGATGAGGTTTAAGGGGAGACCAGAAACAACTAGAGTGTAATGGAGGGCTTAAAACAACAACAACTATTAGCAATTTGAGGGGATCTTGGGAGCACATGGAAGCTGGGCAGGAACTAAAGTAGACCTGGGTGCGCTCACCTCTTTCCCCCTGTGAACATCCCACACATTTTTGCAGGCAAGAATAATAGCTTTGTTGAGCCTTTGCTGTTCACTCTGATTGGTGTCACACATTGTACTGCTTTGAAAGCACTGTAATTTGTTTTAGCCTGTTGAAGAACAGTAAGGCAGAGATTGTGCCGATGCACTAGGACATCTATTTCCAGGGCTCTTCAGTGGTGGCAGAAGTCGAAATCTGGCAGCTCTGAGAATTTTATTTCTCCACTGCTTTGCTTTTTTCACATCATCCATAATTTTTGTTGCCCCCTGGCACTGCCAAGCTATTGTACTTAAACCACTGCAATGTACCAAGAAGACCCCTATGTAAATTCTTAAACCTCAGTCAATTGCTAATCTCAGCAAGAGTTGCTTTTGTCCCAGTTCAATTTACAAAGGTGCTGACTTACAATTCGGCATTTAATTTGATGAGTCTACTATAGTTGGAATTAGCAGTTGGGTTTAGGCCTCAGTTTTAATGTCTCCTTTGGCACTGTGGGTCACATTTGTGGGGGGGAAATGCACAGAACTTTTCACATACATGTGAAACTGACACTTTAGGCTTGGAGAAGACATACGGTATTTAAAACTGAACTCTTGTGTTCCAGGCATGTTATGAACGTGGGAATGAAGTCAGGGTGGTGCCCAAAACATCTGCTTCTACTGATTCTCCTTGGATGGGACTTGCCAAGTATGCCTGGTCAGGGTATGTACACAAGCCTTTTATCCCTTCCCTGGCTTCTGTTCTTCTCACGTGGCACATGCTGGAGTGACCGGCTCTTTTCCTTCCCTGATTTATAGGTATGTGATTGAATGCCCCAACTGTGGCGTTGTGTACCGTAGCCGGCAGTACTGGTTTGGGAATCAAGATCCTGTGGACACAGTTGTGAGGACGGAAATAGTGCATGTCTGGCCAGGAGTAAGTTTATTGCATGGAGTTGTCTCCTCATCTTTTAAAGAAAAAGGGAACTTATTAGACTATTGAAGTGATAGGTCTTCTGGCATATATCATATATATTCGAGTATAAGCTAACCTGAATATAAGCCGAGCCACTTGATTTTACCACAAAAAACTGGAAAAACGGATTGACTCGAGTATAAGCCAAAGGTGAGAAATTCAGCAGCTACTGGTAATTTCAAAATGAAACTAGATACAAATAAAATCACATTAATTGAGGCATCAGTAGGTTAAATGTTTTTGAATATTTATATAAAATTGTAATTTTATATAAATATTCCAAATGTAAACTGCCTCGAGTCACCTCCGGGCTGTATAGTAAATAAATAAATAAATAAATAAATAATTGAAGATAAGACTGCCTCAATGTATATTTATGCTTTTGTTGTCAGCTGCCCTGAGTCCCTCTGCGGAGGTCGATATAGGACGGGATATAAATGTCTGAAATAAATAAATAATAAATGTGCTTATGTATCCTTCGAATAATAATAAAGACAGTAAAATAATAAATGTCATCATCATAATAATAGAGTGAAATAATAATAATAAACTTTATTTATACCCCGATAATTAAGTATAAATTAAATATAAATTAAATGTAATAATAACAATCATAAATAGAGTAAAATAATAAACGTAATGATAACAATTATAAAATAAAATAATAAATGTAATAATAATAATAAAGTAAAATGATAAATATAATAATAATAATAATAATAATAATAATAATAATAATTAGAGTAAAATAATAAATCTAATAATAATAATAATGACAGAGTAAAATAATTAATAACCTTGAGTACAAGCTGAGGGAGACTTTTTCAACCTAAAACAAGGGTTGAAAAACTATACCTGAGTATATACAGTAACCCCATCCCACGATCTGCCAGACAGAATCAGCAAGAGAGACATTTATACATGTCTGGATGTTTATCTAATGACGGTGCCAAATTTGCTGTTGTGTTTCAAGATAGGGATGCACAATTGTAGAAGAGACAGGCCATTACCCCTCCAGTGCCTCCTCAAGAGCTTTCCTGAGGAGCCACTTTGAGTCTCTTGTGGAGAGAAAAAGCGGGGATATAAATGATGATGATGATGATGATGATGATGATGATGATGATTCACAGCCTCTTTCGGAGTGACTGAAAATGATGCAGCATCATTTCTTGATGTCAGATATAGCACATGGGATTCTTTTGCTTTGGAACATGTTTCTGTGGCAGTTTGACTGGCCATAATATTTTGGGGCTATTTTTTCAACATTTAAAAAATTTGGACCTCTGAAGCTTTGAAGGCTGCAAAGTGAGCCACCAGGTCACACTTTCTCCACAGTTGAAGACCTACCTGTTCAAGCAAGCTTGTGATGAATGAATTCAATTGCTAATGACAGCAAGGCTGATTTGCACTGAGCTTAGCAAAATATACTATTTAATTGATGAGTCTCCACAATAATTGTAATTGGTTTTAAATGTTTTTAATGCTTAATATTTATTTATATCGTATTTCTGGATGTTATTATGCTTTGTGTGCTTTTTGTATTGGAGTTTATGTTAAATGTGCTTTGATTTGTATTGTATTATGTTGTGAGCCGCTTTGGGTCCCATTAGGGAGAAAAATGGAATATAAATACAGATTTATTATTATTAAGAAGCAAATCTTTGCTGTCAAGCTGCATTGTGATATTTATTGTAATGTTCTCTATATGTCTGTATTGAGAGCCAGTCCCTGTGTTTACGTACATGATTCCAGGGCAAACATTGACATCTCTTCTAAGAACTCACACAGAACTTAGAACAGTTACATGCTTGGACTACAACTCCTGGAATTCCCCCCTCCAAAAAGGGCTGTTGGATTCTGGAGGGTGTGATCTAAAAGAGTAACTTTTCTAAACTTTGGTTAAAAATGCTCCTCAGGAGGTAGCAAGAAAATGTTGCATTATGATCAATCATGGCAGTCCACTACAGTTGCACTAATGAATTCTCTTCTCTGAATAAAGAGTTCATTCCATGGTTATATTTGACTGAGTGAAGCATGTCATTATCCAGGCCAACTTGAAACATCATTTCATTTTCTTCTTTCGTTGCAGACGGATTGCAGTCTGAAGGACAACAACAATGCTGCTCAACGCCTTATAGATGGAATGAATTTCATGGCACAGTCAGTATCTGAATTGAGTTTGGGACCCACAAAAGCTGTGACCTCTTGGCTGACTGATCAGATCGCTCCAGCTTACTGGAAGCCCAACTCTATGATTCTGGTAACTAATGGGCACCATACTTAGAACAGTTACATGCTTGGACTACCACTTGCATGGTGTTGGGAAATCCTTGTTCCTTCCCCTTGTTCTTCGCCAAAGAGATGTAGTGGTGATTCATTGTTTGACGAAGTAGATCTTTTTTATTTTAGATTAAAACAAAGAATTTCACACTTTGATGCAACTAAGCACACCACTTGTGCAAACGAGTGACTTCCAAGCAGCACAATCAGGAGACACCTCAGATGGGAAACTAAATACTGTCTTCTGTATGGAGGCTTTCATTCTCTTTCTCCCTAATTGCACACAAAAAAGAAAGACCAGGCAGGGGTAGTAGTCCCCATAAATGAAGCCTTATTTAATTCTACTTCAAAGATGAGACAGTTCGACCACACCTTTTCTGCCCATGACTGGCTGCGCTATTTGGCATATCCTCTACTTTGCTACCAGATTGTTTCTCACCTCCTTTCTGGAGGAAATAGTCTCCAGGATAGAGCTGTGAGAAGCCAGTTTGGTGTAGTGGTTTCAATTAGGACTCTTGGAAATCTAAGTTTGAACCCCTATTCAGCTTGGTATTGCACTTGGTTACCTTTGGTAAATCACACTCTCTGAGCTTTACAGGAAGGCTGTAGCCAGCCTCTGCAAAATCTCTATGGTCTCCTCAGTTGAGAGTTGACCTGAAGGCATGTAACAACAACAGAGCTCCAACTTCCACTCTGAATTCTGGCCAAATTTGTGTCCCTACTCTCCCTCCCTGCTACCCAGAGAAAGAAGGAAGGAGAAAAAGAACAGGATTCCTGGCAGTTATTGCTTTTCTCTGGCAGGCATTGGTGATTGTCTATATTTGCTGCCTCTCAGAGCCAACAGCTGGACTACAGATGCCTCAGATACAGCTGCTGATGTGATTAAGTGTAGCAAGGACAACTCAGGCATCCGTAATGTTTAGCTCTGTCCCCTGGTGGTGCATTCAGTTAAACTGCTGAGCTGCTGAACTTGCTGACCAAAAGATCAGTGGTTTGAATCTGGGGAGTGGGGTGAGCTCCCACTGCTAGCCCCAGCTTCTGCCAACTTAACAGTTCAAAAACATGCAAATATTAGCAGATCAATAGGTACCACTTCTGTGGGAAGGTAACGGCGCTCCATGCAATCATGCCGGCCAATTACCTTAGAGGTGTCTGTGGACAACGCTGGCTCTTTGGCTTAGAAATGGAGATGAGCACCACCTCACAGAGTCGGACACAACTAGACTAATGTCAGGAGAAAGCTTTACCATTACCTAGAGCTGTTGCAAATGCTAAGCAGCCCTTGACAGCTGCCTGGATGCTCCTGGTAAGTAGCAAGGCCAACCTTACTGGTAGACCGAGAGTCAGGCACTTGCCTCAGGCAAATGATTTGGAGTCATGAAAGAGCAATATATCGTTTGTTATCATTGTTATTTTAACTGTCAGAGTAGAGTAAACATGTTTATATCAACTTGTGCAGATATATACTGCCTACCAGCCTGAGATGTCAAAATAACCTGACTGATCTTTTATGGCAGCAGATGGAATTTTCTTTTCTGCCTTTGTCAGAAAGTTATCTATCATAGGACTGTTCCAGGAATTTGTGGTCCTTTTCACGCTACACTATTATACAACTGTGTCTTCACTTTAACTTCCATGGCTATATCCTATGGAGTCATGGGGTTTGTAATTTTGTGGAGCCTTCAAGCACTTTGATTGCGATTTCTAAGAACTCCTACCTAAAAATGAAAGACTCAGGGTTCCATAGGATTTCCTCACAGCAGTTAAAGTTAAATCACAGCAGTTAAAGTGAAATATAACAATATGATTGTGTGCTATGAATGGGATGTAGGTTTCAGGAATTTTGAGGAGTGCACAATTTTTGTTTAGGGAAGGATATTTATTCACACTGACACTCCAAAAACATTGAAAACTGCTTTTTCCTTCAAATTCTTCTCCATTCTCTTTTGTTCTTCCATCTAAACTAAACAGAAGGTGAGTTCAGGTTTGTTTGTTTTCTCCCCTCTTCTCTTGTTCAGAATTGCAGGAAATGTGGCATATCCTTTAAGGATAATGATACCAAACACCACTGCCGGGCATGTGGAGAAGGATTTTGCGATGGTTGTTCGTCCAAGACCCGTCCTGTCCCAGAGCGTGGCTGGGGGCCCACCCCTGTGCGAGTGTGCGACAGCTGCTATGACAGCAGGGGTTTTCAGTTAGGTAATCCTGACCTGACTGTACTAGGTGTGTGATTCAAGGAGCGGAAACTTACTTATCCATTCTTTTTAAGGAAAGATGTTGTTGCTTTAAATCTGTGTCACTGCTGTTTGAGAAGTGTGTAATGTTAAACAAAATGTTTGAATCCTGTGTTCATCAGAGCTTAGGAGGACACATTTAAAAACTTCAGTTCCCCAGAAAACCCCAGGTAGCACATAGTAAACTCTGGATCAGATCTCTCACCTTGTTTTTTAAAGCACCCATGTGAGTCCATCAGTGAAAATCTTTAACCATTCACATTTTTCACCTTCACCCTGGTCAAGTGGTTCCCAACCTTTTTTTGACCAGGACCACTTGACTAGGGACCACTCTCCAACATTAGTACCAAAAGGGTTACAAATCGGTTTTGGTCAACTTTAGATTCAGTTTGGTTATTTGGGATGCTGATTCAGGATATTGAATTGAATAGACCACACCAGCTCTAGTCTCTGATACACAAGATATGCCATCCAGTAGCCGCCATCTTCTCGCCCACAGAAAATCATATTTAATAATCTGCATAGAAGCAATGGTTACGTTGTGCCATGAAACCCACTCTTGAAACGAGTGCATAAATTCCCCTTTTCTCCTGCAATAGTAGTAATCTTTCATGGGTAGTCAACGTCTCCCCTCCCAACATCTCCGTTGCTTCGGCACAATAAGAGGGTTTCACAAGACCAGTTCCCCTCGTGGTTGTTTTGACGCAACAGTGTAGTAATGGACCATATTTTCGTTCTTGGGGACCACTGGTGGTCCACGGACCACAAGTTGGGAACCACAGATCTAAATGGATCCTCACATTGTTTATCCCAAGGATAAAGGATCCACTTGGGGTCCCATGACTACTTTAAACAGAAAGATCTGGCCATCTGACATCTAATCTTGTTTGGCCTATGAGGACCACACCTAGATCTAAGTGTGGTCCTCATACTACAGTCATATATTGGGGAAAATACCATGCAGCAGAATAACACCATTGCAACACCATGGAGTACAAGAAAAGTTTATTACTAAGTTAGTTTACAGACTTTTTCACACATTTAGAATACACATCTTCCAGGAAAAAAGAACAGTTGGGCATATAAATTAAGTAATCAATATTCAGATTGAATTCCTCCTCCATTTTAATGTAGAATACATGAATGTATTCAAAGCTCTAAGAAAAGATTTTAATCAAACATAATAGAGCAGCATTATGTAAATGTCTTGTTATCTTGTTTTAATTAAGGGATGGGGAACATTTCAGATATTTTGGCTACCATTTGCTCAGCCCTTTACTATTGGCCATGGTATGCAGCACCAATGGGAATTATAGACCAACACATCTGGAAGTTCACAAATTCCTTGTCCCTCCTTTAGTTCCCTATTTCAATGTCCCCAGATGTGATGGGTCCAATAATCCCACAACCAACATTGCCAGCATTCAGGGATTTTAAGAGCAGTAGTATTTGGAGAGCACATGTGCAGAGGAGATGTACGTATATGTCTTCCACTCTCCCTTCCAGAAGAACTCTGCTTACTCCTATGGCTACTCCCCCCACCCACTCCATGGCTATTTAGTGGCTGATTGAGAGCATACAACATCAGAGAGATATATATAAAAGTGATGTCATCCTTCAGGACCTCTGGAGGACAGAGGAGATCTTGAAGCATGCCTTGGTTGTTCTGCATCTGACTATCAGGACACATACAGATTATTTTCAAGTGCCCTTTCAACTCTTTATGAGCCACTAAATAGCCATGGAGGTGCTACAAGAGGAAGAAGAGTCCTGAGCACATTTTTGGTCAATGCATAGGGAAGCTAATGAAATCCCAGAGGACAAAGGTCCTCAAAGTCTCAAAGGATGATATACAGTTGTATATGTCATGAACAGAACGCCAGCCACAGAAGGGGAAGTCTACTATATCTCAGTTGATAGCCTTGCCATGGCTATTACAGTTACATAACACGTGGGCTTAGTGTGAGCAAAACAAATGCCAAGGCCCATCAGGAATTATGGAGTCAATTGTCTCCCTCCACCCCATTTTCAAACTTTTGGAACATGTGATGCTTTTCTGTTAAGTGCTGAGTGAACTGGAGCAGCCTCTACCCTTACTGACCATAATGCTTCAGTCCCGTGTTCATTTGGTGCTTTTCCATAATAAGCTGTTGCTTCCCTGATATGTTTGTGGGATGAGGAAGAGGTCATGGGCAGGCATGGGGAGAATTGGGTGGGGCACAGCCTGTCACTCGTAACAAAAGTGTGGAGCAAACCTAATTCAGGTGCTGCTATGTGGATGTGGTGGAGGGGTGAATGCAATGTACAGTTTCCCAGTCTCTCCCCACCCCCATGATGTCTAATGTTGGTCTTGATAATATTGGATTTTGGAAGTTGATGCTGTAGCTAACCCTGTATATAATTCAGTATGACAGAAGGGATAATAGAAATTGTTTATTCAACTGGGGGTAATTAAGTGTTGACCAACTGCTATGATCTGCAGCAAATATTGGGTTGCATTTGACTGAAATTTTAGTAGTAGGAATGTGAAACTGCACTTGTTACATTGTGAGAGCGTGTACCAGGCTTCATTTAAGAGATGTGTTTGGGGTTTTTTTTTGGGGGGGGGGGGGGGCGATGGTTTCTAGCATGTGGTCCATTTGCACTGAGCTGATTGGCTTTCTTCTGTGTGACAACTCTTTCTTTTAGCTTCAGATTCATGGTTCTAATCAGTCAATCGATAAAAAGAAAAAACTATATCAGTAGAGTAAGGTGACCTCTATCATATCATGCATAAATAGACCAGTAGTTGGGGGAAAAAAAGTTAGAGCGATGGAGGCATTACTTTTTGACCTACCCTCGTACAAAGGTCTGGATCTAAATTTATTGAGTTTATTATTTACCATTTATGTACAATTGATTTTTAACCAATCTTCTCTAAGCATAATGGGTTGTTTTTAACAAATTATTATTGTTTTTATTTCATTGTACATTCTTTGGAAGCTCAAACAGACAGAAAAATGATAAATAAATACTTCAGTGAAGAAATAAACCTGAATGCAACCCATAGTACCTTAACTTGGGATGAATAAGCCTCTAACGTAGCTTTAGGAGATGGATCATATGACTATAGTGCAAAATGAACAATCTGCTGTACAGTATATGAAAACATCTCATTTTTGTAAGGAATTGCCCAAAAGTGATAATTTTAGCCCTCTCTTGTCTCTCAGTTGATCTCTCTTTGTCTATTCCTGGCTTGAAAAACTTGAATAGTCACATTACAGATGTCAATCATAGGATAGAAAACCCAACAAGTTTCTCTTATTTGCAGTCTCCTTAGATTATATCATCCGTACTTGGTGTCATTTGAAAGTCATCCACATTTCCTAAAGGACAAACAAGAGAGATGGGTAGTCAGTTATTTGACTACTGATTAAAGGATTTTGTTTACAAAGACAGCCAGTAAGTTGTGTAAGTTGCCTTTGATCTTGAGCCCCACTGCCTGTCTTGCAGATGTGCCTGAGGCTCCAACAGACGAAGAAGGTGGAACAGTGATAGCCAGGAAGGTTGGTGAAGCCGTACAGAACACTCTGGGGGCTGTTGTAACTGCCATTGACATCCCATTGGGTAAGTGTTGTTGAGTTGATTTAGAAATTATTTTGCTTTTTTAAGCTAAAAGGCTATAGAGGTGGGTTTTTAAGAAGTAGCATGATGAGAAAATAAAAGGAACCTGGTATTTTGGAGGACATTTGGTATTTCTTCCTAGTTGTAATTGATGAATCAACTGAGAGAAACACTGAGATTTTGATTCTGCTTTGCACACAGCTGTGGGATTATGGGAACCATGTCTGTGTGATGGCAAGATGTACAGTAAAGCCCCCCATATCCACAGGGAATACATTCCTGGCTGGACTGTGGTTACCTGTAACTGCGGAAACGATAGAAGCACATTCAATTACCTGGTGTTTGATCCCAGCAAACCATAGAGTTGCTCTGGAAGATCTAGAAATTAATTTCTTGGAGTTTGCTAGTTCCTCCAAAACAACTCTGTGGTAACTACATACCTAGCAAATCCATAGAGTGGCCTTTTCTCCCTGGGTGTGTATAAATGAAATCACAGGTATGGGTTTGCAGTTATGGGGGTCTTACTGTATGTGGATACAGCAGCCATGTGGGCAGGAACGATTGTAGGAATCTTTCCCACCAAATCACCCTGAAAGGATACCAGCTGGATCAGACAGACAACCCCTTATTATTGAGTCTATTTGTGACCAGGCTTGTGATCTACACAACTATTGTAGTCCTGTGAGGTTGTACAGCATCAAAACTTAAAAATAATGTTTTTACCACAACATAAAGCATGAGAAACCTGGGAACCTGGAAAGCACTATGGGCGCACAGATTTCTTTCACAAAGCTGCAGTTCTGTGTGAAGGAGGAAAAATGTTCATGTGTCTTTAACTGAAGATACGACAACAGCTTCCCTAATATTTGGTCCTTCCCAAAGGAATTTTAGTTTTCCTGACAGTACTCACTCTTGTTCTTACTCCATTATGAAGCAGATCAGAAAAACAGAGAGGTAATAGGACATCCCACCCAGATTGCATGTTTTGTGATTTTTGAAAGAGAAAACCTGAAGGAATAATAATAATAACAACAACAACTTTATTTCTAACCCACCCTGTCTCCCCAAGGGGACTCTAGTTGGGCTCTAGCTCAAAGACTGAGATGTACAACTCCCATATTCACTGCTTTTGGTGGGAGAAGACACAGGATGTAGATCTCTTTTGAGTTTCTGAATTGAGATTTTTTTATTTACATATATTACCAATTTACAGTGTAAACATTATATAAAACAATGAAGATTTTACAAACACATAACCCTCATTTCCATTGATAGTTTATCATTTAAGGTTATGTTCCATACCTCCCCATACCATGTTTCCAACGTGAGATTGGTTGCTATCTTCCAATTTGTTGCAATGATAATCTTGCCACTGTGAATAAAATAATCACCAGTTCTCTCCCCCCCCCCCCTTTCTAAGTTCAGCTTTGTGGCATCCATTAGTAATGGTAACCCAGCATTTGGGGCAATGTTTAATCCTATAATGTTACCTGTTTCCATAAATATGTATGAAGATTTCATGAGGGTCACTGGTGGGGTGGAAGTTGAAGACCCAGGCTTTTGAAGTGGTAGAAGTGAAGGATTCCCACAGGTACAGCACTAGCATAAAATCACTTGCACTCTTATCCCTGGGACTGGTTTCACCACTATATGCTATATTCTAAAGCAGGGCTTCTTAACCTTTTTTGACTTGCAACCCCTTTTTATCTTAGAAATTTTCATGTGACCCCAGTATATAAAGGATGGAGTGGAGAGAAGGAAAGGCAGAGAGGAAAAGACACCCCAGCATACAGTTACAGCAACCCCATTGGGGGTCCTGACCCATCGTTTAAGAAACCTTGTTTTAAAGCACAATCAGGGAAAAGAGAAAGGTTAATAAAGGATTCCTTATAAATGATTAACGTTTTGATTAATCATTTATAAGGCATCCTTTATTAACCTACTACAAGAGGACAACTACCAGGAATAGGAGGCCTCAAAGATCACGACCTACTGCTACCAAATTTGCCAAAGCAGTGAAAAAGTGTAAAAGCAATGCCTATGCTACTGAAGAACCTCCTTTACATGTGGGCCTATGCTTCTAAGATGCTTTGGGGAGGACAGTTTTATTTGTAGATGAAGTACACAAGCATTTCTCAACCTGGGGGTCGGGATCTCTGGGGATGGTGCCAGAGGGGTTGCCAAAGACCATAAGGAAACACAATATTTTCTGTTATTCATTGGGGTTCTGTATGGAAAATTTGGCCCAACTACAACTCCCAAATGTCAAGTCTATTTTCTCCAAACTCCACCAGTGTTCACATTTGGGCATATTGAGTATTCATGCCAAGTTGGGTCTAGATTCATCATTGTTTGAGTCCACAGTGCTCTCTGGATATAAGTGAACTACAACTACAAAACTCAAGGTCAATGCCCACCAAACCCTTCCATTATCTTCCAGGAGTTCTGCATGCCAAGTTTGGTTCAATTCCATCATTGGTGGAGTTTAGAATGCTCTTTGTAGGTTAACTTTAAATCCCAGCAACTACAACTCCCAGATGACAAAATCAACCCCTCCCCCCAACCACACCAGTATTCAAATTTGGGCGTATCAGGTATTTGTGCCAAATTTGGTCCAGCGAATGAAATTTGGTCCAGCGAATATGCATATCACATATTTACATTTTGATTCATAACATTAGCAAAATTACAGTTATGGAGTAGCAACGAAAATAATTGTATGGTTGGTGTCACCACAACATGAAGAACTGTATTAAGGGGTTGTGGCATTCGGAAGGTCAAGAACCACTGTTTTAAAGGGAAATTAGTATTTTGATGCTTCCACCCCCTGCAAGTTCAGTGATGTGAAATTAGAAATAGGAAGATCACCTTCTCCACAGCCTACATATTTCCTAGAAGAATTCTGTAGATTGGTTACAATCCTTGAGAAAAAAAATAGAGAGGTTTTTGGAGATCCTGTGATATCAAACTGAGAATGCATTGCAGGTGTTTCTGATACTTTTCAGGTCTTGTGAAGGATGCCGCTAGACCTGCCTACTGGGTTCCCGACCATGAAATATTAAACTGCCACAACTGCCGTAAGGAATTCAACATCAAGCTGTCAAAACACCACTGTCGTGCCTGCGGCCAGGGTTTCTGCGATGAGTGTTCCCATGAGCGCAGAACGGTCCCTTCTCGTGGCTGGGATCATCCTGTCAGAGTCTGCTTTAACTGCAATAAAAAGCCTGGTGATCTTTAACCCCATGGACTTTTTCTGGATCCTCCGTAACAGCTTAGCTTCTCAGGGTTAGACCACAAAACAAAACAAAACTTCACTGCTTTTAACTTTTCCTAGTCAGAGTGCATGCTCTTGATCTCTGGCCTCTTTTTCCAAGTGTGGATTTCAGTAAGATTACCGAATGGCAAAGGGCCAAGGCAAGGCCTGCTTTCAAACAGATCCTAACCGTTGACATGCATAGAGAAGCTTGAGAAAGATGAGGAATCCAAAATACAGTGTATTATATACCAGTTAAAAGTATGTTATCTCTATATCTCTATAATTTAGTATGCTAAGAATACACCTGGCATTGATGATTTACAGTTTAACATTAAAGCAAAGCAAAGGTGAGTGGAACTGTTTTTGAAGGGAAATGGGTCAATCACACCACCTCCTGAGTGCCTTGGAATTCCTTTGTGTGGAGCATTTGACAGCTTGCAGCATCACAGGTTTGGAAAGGTTTCGATTCCTGAATCTGCGGTTTGAAATAACCATTGTTTGTGGTCCCTAGTTTGGATGGGGAATCCTAGGCCTCTCCGTCTGGCCCTTTGAGACACCATTAATAATATTTATTTTTCCCAATTTGTTTTGTTCGATTTGTAGGACTTAATGCAGAGTGAATGAGTTTTCCGAGGGCTGAAACCAGCCAGGGAAGTTAGTAAGAATGTCTTGTCTTTGCTCAGAGTTGCTCTGTATAGGTCCTGATACAGCTAGTGCCACTGTGGGGAAAAGGTACTAGTTTTGAGATCTTAGAATGACGCTGACCGAACCACCCAGGACGTTTAGTGAAAATCAAGGGAAAATACCCAGAGCTGGTCCACTAACAACGATTGAAGCTTCATTTTGGTCTTATGAGGCTTTATTCTATGTGTCCATATTCCCTTGCTTGATTTTCTTGTGGTAGACTTACGTTTTTCCACTGGAAACCCTCAAAGAACAGCAGAAGGGATCAGGCAAGCTCCCACACTATGTAGTGTAGTCTTTGCTTAGCATCTTAGTCATTGTAAATTGACTTAGTTAAGTCTAATTCTTAGAGGTGTCTGTGTGAACCACCCTTCAAACACTCAAATAAACCAAACTGGAAAACATATTACACTGAGGCATTATTCTTTTCAAAAAGCCCTGCACTGAATCACTTTGAAGCATAGATCAAACTACTAAAAGAAATTGTAGCATTAGGCTTTTCTGTAGCTCTTGGCTTCTGTGATAACAAACGGGAAGCTGTCACAAGCTGAAGTGGATTGGAGAACAAATCCCGTCCTCCTTTCAGGTCTTACAAGTATGGCATGTTATCTGGGCACTGTTGTTTCTTCCAACTATGAACTATATATCCTTGTATACCTTGATGATTGAAACCCTTTTTGGACTGTATTATTAAGTGCTATAAAGGACTATTGCTCCTGAACAAGAGTGCTGACTTCTTCTGTGTACCTTCCTGATCATGCCCTGCCACTGGAAGGAAGAGACAAGTTCTGGTTTGCATGCCAAAAGATGAACTGGATTATGTAATACAAAATTCCTGCTATCTGAATTCCATGTGGATTAAGATATATTTTGTAATTAGAAGCTGACAATTTTTTCATGGGATATAGAGGTGGGGGTAAGAGTCCAATTGTAGAGATTTTTCAGCCTAGGTACTGCACTTTGAAGTGTTTTTATTTCTGACTCTGTGGTGAAAAATACAAATGGAATTGTTTGTAGTCCATGCCCTGTGTGTTCTCCCATGCATGTAGCTATTCTTGTCATGTTACTACACATACAGAAACCTTCCCTGACATTCCTTGTATAAAATCTTCATGTGTAAGCTTTGTTTCACTGACTGGTCTGTCTCTCTGTGTATTTTTCTAAAACAACCATGGGACTACCTCATTCTCTGAACACCAGATACACATTTTATAACACAACTCAAAAACCACTCAATGAATTGACACCAAATTTGGACACAATACATCTATCAGGCCAATGAGTGACCATCACTCGTAAAAATACTGAAAAAAAACAGTGGAAGGGACTTAAAAAGCCAAAAAAACCCCAAAAAAACAAAAAGTCACTACAGCACATTTGCAAAAATGACTCCCCCAGCAAACAAAACACACACTAGCATATCCACACTCTCTTCTGGAATACAGCTCCCAGCATTCCCTAGACCAGGCCCTTTAGGAGAGGAAGATGATCCAAATGCACTGCTTCCAAGCTGCAAGCTTTCTTCTCTTTGAGTTTCTTTGAGAGCATCCCAATCCCTGCATATTTCCAATTTCCTATTCCTGGACTACAACTCCCAGCAATCCTCCAGATATATATATTATCTAGAGATAGGTAGTTGATTGATCAGGAGGGCTGCTGGGAGTTGCAGTCCAAGAATAGGTAGAGAAGGAAGAAAAGGGAGAAAGAGGAAGGGAAAGGGGAGGAGGAAGGGAAGAGGAAGAGAAGGAAGGAAGGAGCGAAGGAAAGAAAAGGGAAGGAGAGAAAGTAGCACAGAACAAGGGATACAGCTATACTTATATAGTATAAAGTTTGGCATCTGCAAAAGCATTGACACTTAATTGTTTCATCGGAAAGGAGAAAAATAGCAGTTATTCTGTAACTGAAAACCAATTTTCGTAATGCATCATTATAACAAGCATGGAGGAGTTAAACTTATAACTTTATAATACTAAGTTATTTATTTATTTATTTCGAGGTTTTATATACCGACCCTCTCACCTTCAAAGAGGGATTCGGACGGGTTCACAACATGTGTTAACATACAAAAAATATACAATAACAACGCAATGCCACTTAATTACACGATTAAAATATCAGCACCATACACATTAAAACATTATCATCCCAGTTAAAAGAGCCAAATCGTCCGACACCATCACAATCCCATTCATCATCCTCCTTTCATGTGGGCAAAGAATTAAATCAGTTGTCAAATGCCGCGTTCCACAACCAGGTCTTTGTTAGTTTCCTGAACGTCATGAGGGAGGGGGCAGTTCTGATCTCTAATGGCAGGGAGTTCCAAAGTCGAGGGGCCACCATCGAGAAGGCCCTGTCCCTCGTCCCCACCAGCCGTGCTTGTGCAGGCGGAGGGACCGAGAGCAGGGCCCCTCCAGACGATCTTAGTGGTCTTGATGGTTCGTAGGGGAGAATACGTTCGGAGAGGTAAACAGGGCCGGAGTCGTTTAGGGCTTTATAGGTTAACACCAGCACTTTGAATTGTGCTCGGAAGCTAATCGGCAGCCAGTGGAGTTCGAGTAACAGCGGAGTGGTGTGCTCCCTGTACCCCGCACCCGTTAGTAATCTGGCTGCCGCGCGTTGTACTTGCTGCAGCTTCCGGGCAGTCTTCAGAGGCAACCCCACGTAGAGAGCGTTGCAGTAATCTAAGCGGGATGTAACCAAAGCGTGTACTACCGTGGCCAAGTCAGCCTTCCCAAGGTATGGACGCAGCTGGCGCACAAGTTTTAATTGTGCGAAAGCTCCCCTGACCACCGCTGAAACCTGTAACACAATGGAAACATTTTTTTACTGTGTCAGGCAGGCCCGTAGCCAGGATTTCGTTTCGGGGGGGGGGGGGGGGCTAAAAAATTTCAGAGGGGGTTTCGGGGGGGGCTGAGTTTCAGGGGGGCTGAGTCTGAGTGAAAGAGGGTCTAGCCTAGCAAACCTTTTGTATCATTACCCCAATACCCCCATGCATATGGGATATATTGAGTATGGTGATCAGATCATGATATGAATAAACATAACAGTTTAAATAATGCACCTGTAAGGCCTTTTCGCGAACCACCATGAGAATTTCGGGGGGGGGGGGCTGAAGCCCCCCTCAAGCCCCCCCCCCCCTGGCTACATGCCTGGTGTCAGGAGCAACTTGAGGAACCTCACGTCACTTCTGGTGTGAGAGAATTGGCTGTCTGGAGAGACATTGCCCAGGGGACACCCAGATGTGTTACCATCCTGTGGGAGGCTTCTCTCATGTCCTTGCATGGGATGCTGGAGCTAACAGATGGGGGAGCTCACCCTGATCCCTGGATTCAAACCGCTGACCTTCAGGTCAGCCGGCACAAGGCTTTAACCCATTGTGCCACTGTGGCTCCTCTAACACTAGAAGACCATAATGCTCAGGGCCAGCTTTGGGAGTGATCCCCAGGGCTAGCACTGAGCAGAATTCAGTGGCTAAATGTATGTCAATAGAGGGAATCCCATGCACAATTTGGCTATAGTTTTGTAGCCAAGGAAGGGAATGTGTTCTGGATTTCCCTTCTCCATCAGCTGAAGTTGTGCACAGTGTCAGAAGGGAAGAACTCAGATAGAGGGCTATCGTCTGCCAGTAATTTGCAGAATCTCAACCCCTTGGATGTAACAGTACTGAGCCTTCCTTGTTTTCCAAAATAAATGGGCGACTGCTACTTGAATTCTGAATCATAGCATGCAAATGTGAAAAGTTTACATTTCAGAGGGCTAAAAGATACCAGCTATAAAATTAATTTCCGCTGCTACAAAAATTTAGGGAGTGGAGGAATGTGTGCCCTACTGCGCCTTTTCTGGCATTTAGCTTCCTTCATATTTTTAGCAATTTAATACATTTGCAAGTATATATCTTTGCTTTCCTCCCTAAATTTGAAGTGCTTTAATTGTTGGAGTCTTAATCTGCTTATGGGTGTTTGATTTGGGAGTGGCATTTTGTTTTTGCTCTTCTTCACAATGGTTTTGACTCATGGGTTTTGAGCCCAGCCTGGAAAAAGGCTGTGACCTAGGAGATTTGTCTAGTGCACAAAGCAGTTAGTGTAATGTATTTTTCCCTTTAGAAAAAGCCTAGCAACCTTTGGAAATAAATTTTAATTCTAACATGTCTCTGTCAGGTTTCTTAGTCATACTGGCTTATAGCCTACTCCAGGGACCTTTCACTATTCTTGGCTGGTTGCAATCACATTTTGAGGTTCCCTGTGTATCTGCAGTATGCATACAAGATCACTCCTTGCTGGAAATTATGTGTGTGTGTGTGTTTTAATTTTTTATAAATGGTCTAGCACACTTTCAGTAAGGTACTATTTGAGCCTTGGGCTGTGGTTTGCAATACAGATTGTTTTCAAGCGATGCAATTGGTTGCCTGGGAAGAAGATTGCCTCCTTTTGTTTTAATGCAGAAAGGTGAACAGAAGGGTCACTCTAATTTCTTGAGAGGAGCAGGCCACTCTTATTTCTAGAAACATGACTTCGTTCTGTGGATTCTCAAGAAGCCTCTGTCAGTTAAAGCATGGGCAAAAAAAGGATGAAGTATTCATGCAACAAATCATACCTCAATGTGTTGTAGATGGCTTTCATGGCCAGAATCAATGGGTTGCTGTGAGTTTTCCAGGTTGTATGGCCATGTTCCAGAAACATTCTCTCCTGACGTTTTCCATGCATCTATGGCAGACATCCTCCGAGGTTGAGAGGTCTGTTGGAAACTAGGCAATTGGGGTTTAGATATCTGTGGAACATTCAAGGTGGGAGAAAGAACTCGTGTCTGTTTGAGGCAGGTGTGAATGTTGCAATTGGTCACCTTGATTAGCATTAAATAGCCTTTCGTCTTCAAGCCTTTCGTCTTCTACTTACTGCCTGGGGGAATCCTTTGTTGGGAGGCGTTAGCTGGCCCTGATTCATGTCTGGAATTCTGTTGCACTTCAGGCCAGGAAGCCCTCTGACTTTAAACACCACACAGCTGAGTAAAAATGCAAGCAGTTTATTGGAGATATTTAAAAGCAGTAGCAGTAAAAAGCAATCCACAAAAATAGGTAAATCCAATTAGGTAGAAAGATAGATAGAATAAAAAATAGTCCATCAGAGTTCATGAAAACAAATACTGGAACTTCTAAGGTAAAACTCCAAAACTTGAGCATGAATCAAACAAGACAATTGACACAGGAATCTATACAAGGCAAGGCTTCCAGGGACCTGAAACGACGTCTTGACTCAAATCCAATGTTGCTTCGTCTGGCTACAGATTCTGTACTTGGCACTTTTATCCTCTACTCTATATCCCAAGTAGCCAGGAATGGATTTCTTTTCAGCCTTGAATCTGTTATCAATCTCTCCCACAATCTGGCAGAGAGCCGGAGAGCCTGGTTTGTTTGTCTTTGCTGACTGAAAGCATTTATCCTATCTACTGGCTCATTAATTTCTGCAGCTGGCCCAGATGCCGAGCTTTTCTCAGGCTCAAAGCCTTGGGAATTCTCTGGTAGCAATTCAGGCCTAGGGAACATACCACCATCTCCAAAACCTTTGGGTATATTCCCATCAGAAAAGTTACTTTGAACAGGAACCCCATTGTCATTCTCTGCATCTAGAGCAATCTCATCATTAGACACATGAACCTCATTGTCAGACACATGAACCTCATTGTCACTCCCAACATCCAGAGTATCCTGATCATTAAACACAATCACAGGCTGAATTCCAACAAATTCCTCTGTTTTCTGTGTGGTGTTCTTTATTTACTGTCCTGATTTCAGAGTTTTTAAAATACTGGTAGTCAGATTTTGTTTATTTTCATGGTTGCCTCCTTTCTGTTGAAATTGTCCACATGCTTATGGATTTCAGTGGCTTCTCTGTGTAGTCTGACATGGTGATTGTTAGAGTGGTCCAGCATTTCTGTGTTCTCAAATAATATGTTGTTTCCAGGTTGGTTCATCAGGTGCTCTGATATGGTTGACTTCTCAGGTTGAATTAGTCAGCAGTGCCTTTCATGTTCCTTGATTTGTGTTTGGGCAATGCTGCATTTGGTGGTCCCTATGTAGACTTGTCCATAGCTGCATGGTATACGGTAGACTCCTGCAGAGAGGAT